AACTGAGAGCCACAAAACCTGAAACAGCCACTCTAAAATCTTAGCCCAAGTGCCGCATCCCTTAGAAAACTGTATGGAGCACGTTAGAGCGAGCCTGTGGGGGTGACAGCTCTCCCGATCATGGAACACAGCCTGGTCTTGAGATTCTAGAGTTCAGGGGTCCTTCATTGAGCCAAGCACCCATTTCTGCGTTTTTAGTGTCTGAGAGGTCTGCCATCACCCTCTCTTTTTCAGAATTTCAATCCCTCGTGGAAATACCATATGCAGTATTGGCTCTGTCACCGGAGCAGATGGACTTTGGAAAACTGAGAGCGGCAGTTAAAACAATCATGGAGATGTTCAAGTGTGAAAACATTTTTTAAAAATTATCAACCAAAGATATGGCTTTTAAAAATCGATTTTAGAGTGAGAGGAAAGAGGGAGGAGGAGAGAGAAACATGGATCAGTTGCCTCTCGTACTCCCCCTGACCTGGGATTAAACCTGAAACCTTTGGTTTGGGACGATGTTCCAACCAACTGAACCCGCACAGCCAGGGCTCAAGTGCGAAAATTTTAACATGAAATATATTTCCCCCTTTTGAACAATATCATCAGGTCCCATTCCCTGATAAATATTCATTAGTGAACTATAATTGAAAGAACCAGAAGTGCTTCCTCTGACCTATTATAATAAAACAAAATCATTAGAAATGGACAAAATGTCTTTTAGTCGCTGCAGAAAGTTGTTCTTCACAGTCACAGCCCTGCCCGTGGCCTGGCCTGGAGCACCTGGAGGACTTCTCCGTGTCCCTGCTGCAGGGCACTGTCCCCCCCAGGCTGACAATAGCCTGCAGGTGCACTTCCAACCTCCAAGCCCATCAGCATCAAGAAGGCGATTCGGTTGGAGGCGAGGCTTCACCCATCTTCAGACTTGGCCGTCAGAATGTGTACACACTGGGATCTCTGACACACACACACACATTACCAACACATACACACTAAGCCAGGCCTCCTCCATCTATAATACTCAGTCAGCCCTCAACCCACAGCATCTTGCTCTGCATACACTGTAAGCTTCCTAAAGGCAGTCTTGTTTGTAGCTGATGTCCCAGTGCTAAGAACAGAGCAGTCAATCAGTGTAGAGCAAATGAATGAATTAGTGAACAAACGAATGATGTTGCTATCCCTAGGTGAGCATTAGGTTCCTGACTTCACACTCCAAACCCAGTCACCCTCAGATTCCTCTTAGGAAATGTCGCCATACACCCAGTGCTCCCAGATACCTAAGAATCATCCTTGATTCCCCCCTTTTCCTGATGGTTTCCCTTTCAACCTAGTCCTCCAACAAGTCTTGTCAACTCCGTATTCCAGTGTGTCTTCTGTGCATCCGCTTCTCTGTCTACACTGTCACTACCACCCTCGTCCAGGCCACCTGCAGTGTCTCTCACCTGGCCTTCAGCACAGGCTTCCTAACTGGTTTCCCTCTTCACATTCCCATAAGTGTCCAGGGCAGAGGTCCCCAACCTTTCAGACCCCATAGACCAACAGTGGTCCACGGACCACCAGTTGGCAACTGCGGCTCCAAAGGTTTCCTGAAACTTGTGGTCACTAACCGTTAAGACCTCACAGACCACCAGTGGTCTGTGGACCAAGGGTTGGCCATCGCTGGTCCAGAAAGGTCGAGAAAATGTCAGTCATTCTCCTTCCTAACACACTCTGCCGGCTTCCACTTGCAGGGAGAATAAAGCCCGGGGTTCTCACCTGCCTCCAGGCCCTGCCTGCCTCTGTATCTGCCTCTCACTCCACCCTAGCTCTCACCCGCTGGCTCCCGTCACAGGGTCTCTCAGCTCTTTTCTGACGTCCTTAGGCTCCGTGGGAAGCTGGCTTCCCTTTTTGGGGGAAAACTACTTATTGTGGTTGGGAAAACTTTTGAGACAGATGAACCTGGGTTTTTAAAGTGGGTTCTAGTTGTGAAACCTTCAAGATTTCTTGACCTCAAGGAGTCTGTTTCCAAATTTGTGAAATGGGATAACACTCTCTAGCTAATAGGACAATCATGCAAAATAATTTTTGGTCAAACAAAAGGAAGCTTCTCTCTCCTCCTCCCCACAAATCTGGCAAAGAGCTCTTTACATGTGATGACTTTATTTTTTATTTATTTAAAAAAATATATTTTTATTGATTTCAAAGAGGAAGGGAGAGGAAGAGAGAGATAGAAACATCAATGATGAGAGAGAATCATTGATCGGCTGCCTCCTGCATGCCCCGTACTGGGGGGTCGAGCCCGCAACCCAGGCATGTGCCCTTGACTGGAATCAAACCTGGGACCCTTCAGTCCACAGGCCGATGCTCTATCCACTGCGCCAAACCGGCCAGGGCTACAAGTGAAAACTTAAAAAAAATCACTGTTATGGACTGAATTTTGTGGCCCCCTCCAATTCATATGTTGAAGTGACTGTATGGTGGTTCCCTTATCCACGATTTCACATCCCAGTTTTAGTAACCCGTGGTCAACTGTGGTCTGAAAATACTCCATGGAAAATCCAGAAATAAGCTAACCATAAGTTTTAAATTGTTTGCTGTTTTGAGTAGTGTGAAATCCTGTGCTGTCCCGCCTGTGATATGAATCATCCCTTTGTCCAGTGTATACAAGCGATATGTTCAGCACAATAAGAAATTTTGAGAGAGAGCAAATTCACATCACCTTATACAGGGTATTATAATTGTTCTATTTTACTATTAGTTATTGTTAATTTCTTACTGAGCCTCATTTATAAATTAAACTTTAACACACATATGTATGTATAGGAAAAAAAAATATAGAGAGTTCGGTACTAACCTGCGGCTCCAGGCATCCACTGGAGATCTTGGAACGTATTCCACGATGGTAAGGAGGGACTACTATAGTGTAAGGCAGTGGTCAGCAAACCCATGAGTTAACAGAGCCAAATATCAACAGTACAATTGAAATTTCTTTTGAGAGCCACATTTTTTAAACTTAAAACTTTTTTTAACACCACTTCTCCAAAAAAGACTTGCCCAGGCCATGGTATTTTGTAGAAGGGCCATACTCACGGGGCAAAAGAGCCACATGTGGCTTGTGAGCTGCAGTTTGCCGACCAGGGGCCTAAAGAACTTACCAAACAGGACACTCCTCATCCCAAATATGACTGAAGAAGGCTAGAAACTGACGGCAGGGTCTTATAGGCCAGTGCTTCTCAAACTTTCACATGCACTTGAATCACCCAGGGATCTTGTGAAAATGCATCTTCTGATTCACAGGTCTGGGGGAAGGCTGGAGAATCTCTAACAAGCTCCGAGGTGAGCCCAATACCGCCGGTCTGTGGGCTACGCTTTTGACTAGCAAAGCCCTTGGGCTGCAATGTTATTTCCCCACTGAAAATGTATGGCCATCCATTCATTTAGACGCCAACTGACAAATACCACCAGACGCTGTGCTAAGTGCTGAGGATACCGTATTTTCTGGCGTATAAGACGACTTTTGAAACGAAAAAAAAAAAAAAGTCAACCGAAAATTGGGAGCAAAAGACCAAAATTGCACAAAAATTACCTGCAGATCTTGACGGCAAAGTAAGTCTTTTCTTTGAAGTGGGGGGTAGTCTTATACAGCGAATATAGGCCTAAACCTATGTTTTAACTGTAAAATTAGGGCGTCGTCTTATACGCCGGAAAACACGGGTAAATACAACAGGGTTTCTGCTCTGAAGGAGTCCTAGTCCAGTTAAGGCCATTGGGGTTTCTCCAAATTCCACAAAACAAGAGAAATGTCAAATACAAATTGAACCCAGTTAAAAACAAAACCCTTACAGGACGGCTTGCAGAATGAAAGCACTTATACAGGTTGTGCCGAGAGAAATGCCTCTATTCAAGGGCTCATCAGATGATTTCAGCAGTGATAAAACCAGACATTCCCAAGAAGCAGAGTGAGTGATGGACAAAACCAAATGTCAATGCATCTTCACAGCCAATAAAACCCACGGACATGGAGGCATATCTATACATCACCTCTGCTCTCTTACTCAGTATAGCAATACTCAACATTGAGAGTTGCCAGCATTAGTGACAGTCAGGGTATAATCAAGAAGCAGTCAAGAAATTAGTTCTTGGTGAGAGAAGAAGCTAGGTGGTTCTGGACATATTGAATGTTAGAGCTGAATGGGAGGGTCCTCTTAGCAAAGTGCAAGCTCTTTAGTTGAAGAGGAACTAAAACGCAAAGCAGTTAAGGCTGTGGTTCTCAATCTGGGCACCCCAGGGAGGGACCAAAGATCTGACTGGGAGAAAATAAAACTGTAAAGCAGTAGAAGAAAAATTGTAATAAAACATTCCTAGTTCAAGATTTTGTTTTGTACATTGGGAAATAAAGCATACTGTCCTATCATGGTCACACACACCTATAATAAGATTGCAGAAGCAAAGAAAGATCAAAATTACTCCTACTTCCACTTGCAAGGAAGGTTGGTGACATGACAGAGGCAACATAAACGGCCCTTTGAACCTTGAGATCTTGAGGTTTCAAACCTGACTTCTCCACTTGGTCACACCTAACTGTCCCTTTCACTTCTCAGAATGAGTCAGAAATGAGGCAGGTCCACTCGTTAGCAGATTCTTATGCTTCCCACCTCCCTCCCTGAGGACCCTGAGGACCCTGTGCCCCGCACTGTGTGCTAATAAGCACTAAGCATCCGTCATGCCGCTTCGTTCTCACTGCAGCCTTAAGCGCTGCACATACATTATGTCACTCCAGCCTTTTGGGCACCAGGAGGTAAATTACTTGGCCCAAGTCACACAGTCAGTCAGTCAGTCAGAAGAAGCAAAGCTGGGACTCCCAATCTCCTGCTCTTTTTAACACGGCGCTGAAGGCTAGACCCGGGGCGGCAACCCTGGCTGAAAGGCGTGAGCTTTCTGTCCCCCCAGGGAGCTGGGCGCCGGCGGAGCCAGGGCGGGTCCCGCCTCCGCTCCCTCCGCTCCCGCGCCCAACCCGGGATGCCCGCGGCACTCACTTCTCGATCTCCAGCGCCGCCACCTTCCGCTTCTCGTAGAGCTTGTCATTGAGGGCGCGCACGATGTTGGGCGTGAGCGGCGCGAAGTCCTTCTCGGGGTTCATGGTGGCAACTCGGGGTGCCCCCCGGAGCCCCGCGATTCCTCCTCAGCCCGCGACTGCCCGGGCTGCGCCGGGGACCAGGGGAGTCTGCGGCTCCGCGCTGCCTCCGGCGCTGGCTCATGGGCCACGCCGCCCCGGCCCGCCTGCCTCGCTCCGCCGCAGCGCGCCGATTCGGAAACCTGGGCCTGGACCCCGCCCCCGTACACCTGTCCCCAGCGACTCAAGCGACCAGGTCCATTCCCGCACCTGCCGCGCTCAGGGGGCGGCGGCCATGTTACTCCGCTCACGTGACTCCGCAGCCGCTTCCGCCTTCCGCCTCAAAGACCCGCCCCTCCCCAGCCACGCCCCCACGCCGGCCCATCGTGGTTGACCACGCCCCCGAGGCCCCGCCTCCTCCTCTTACACTCCCGCCTTCCGTCCCCCTCCCCCTTCCCATTGCCTAAGCCAGGTTTGAGGCCTGATGGGTGGGGTGGGTATCCTTTGCCCTTAACTTCCCGCAGGTGGTAGGCTTGGGGCACAGTGGGCTTCTGCAGATGCTTGTGAGACAGCAGCTTGGGAGCATGGCTTAGCGTAATTTATTCAATACCCACTGAATCCACAAGTTCATTCACGACTTTGATTTCGCATATGCCAGTGTTTCCCAAACTGGGAGTGACACACCATCATGATTTTTGCCACATTCTAGCCACTTATTTTAAAAAATAGTTTTCTCAGATCAACTCACTTAAAATCTTAAATTCTTATTTTATTCTTGCGTATGACCTAAAACCATGCGTTTGAATATTTTTTTTGTGTGTGTATTTTTCTAAAACATTAAAATAAATTCTCAATAAAAACAAAACAAAACAAAACTGAACTAACCGTCTGCCACCTAAAAAATCTCAGGTACCAACAGTGGCTGTCACCCCAACATTTGGGAATGGAAATGGGTTTACCATGCTCTGATCTCTGAAAAGGGCTAGATTCCAGACAGCAGAAGCCCCACATCTGGGTGTAGGTCCCCAGATGGAGCCACTGTAAAGCAGCCCCTCCAAGCACAGTGTCACACTAAATCGTGGAGCATAAATGGAAGCGATGTGGTAAGTTTTTAAAAAGCACTTTCTGGATGTCGTGTGGCTAAAAATGCAGTAACAGTGAGATGCGTCAGTGTTCCTTATTGTAACCTTCTACAGTGGACAGGGACTTAGAACAAGGGCTAGACCACAGCCGAGCCCAATGAGTATTAAATATGAACATAACACAAGGTGGTACTTTTTTTCTGAGTGAAAGGTACACTTCCAAAGCTTAGAACAATCTTGGAAATAAAGTATTCTCCTCAATTCATAGATTAGAATTTATGGAACACAAGTAAGGGGCTATGGTAGGCAGAATTCTAAGATGGCTCTCAAGATTCCCACCCCTTTGGGTACATGCCTTGTATTATTCCTTCCCTTTGAGTGTGGCCAAGACTTGCAAATATGATGGGCTGTTACTCTAGCAATTATTATGTTATGTAGCAGAAGGGATTCTGCAGTTGTAATTAAGGTCCCTAATCAGTTGGCTTTGATTAAAAGAGGGATTATCCTGGGTGGGTCTGACCTAATCAGGTGAGGTCCTAAAAGAAGTTAGAAGGGATTTCAAATGAGAGAGAGATTCTCTTTGTGGTCTTGAAGAATAAACAGTAACAACAGTGAACTGTCTATGATGGGCCATGTTGTGAGGACCTTAGGGTGGTCTCTAGTTGCTAAGAGTGGTTCCCTATTGTCAGTTGGCAAGAAGAGGAGGACTTCAGTCATATGGCCGCAAAGAAATACATTTTGTCAACACAGTGAGGGAGCTTGGAAGTGGGTCTTTCCCCAGTTGAACCTCCAGATGAGGATGTCGCTGGGTAGCATCTAGATTTTAGCCTGGGGGACCCTGAGCCAAGAATCCAGTTCAGTCCATTCCTGACCCATGGAACCTGAGATAAGAAATTGTGTTGCCTTAAGCTGCTAGGTTTGTGGCAATTTGTTGTGCAGCTATACAAAACAAATACAGGAACTAATCCAAACTCAGTAAGTCTTGAAAAAACCCTGTCTAGGAAAATCTGTGAAAAATGTGTTTTTCTTTACTAGTGGGATTTTCACAGCTTTTAAAACCTTTGCCAACAAAATCCAATGAATGAAGATTCACCTCCAGAGAAAATGTATCACTTAATGTTTCCATCTCCTACCTTGATACCAAGCAACATTGATAAGGACATTTCCAAATGTCTTGAGAGGTTGATGTCTTTAGGATGCTGATGATGGTTGATAGAAATCAATGAAAAAAAAAATCAAATCACTGGGAATGGTTTGGCTTTATTTCTCCAGTGCATACTCATTTCCACTGGACCCATATCTATATATATAAAAGCCTAAGCCACCCTTACAAACAGTTGACTGAATGACCGGTTGCCATGACACATACTGGCCACCAGGGGGCAGACACTCAATGCAGGAGCTGCCCCTTGGTCAGTGTGCTCCCACAGCCAACCTTCCGCCGTCCCTCTCTGTCTCCCCTAGACTGGGCGAGATGGACCCAGTCAGCTCTGATCACCAGCCAGGCACTGGCCTCTAGTCTAATATAATATCTCATCTGTTTCTTTTGCTGCTTGGTTTGACATTTTCTTAAAGGTGAACCAAATTCCCAAGGGCTCTATGTGATGCACTTTTTAATAACTGAAACAGTAAGAATTTTTATATGTTTTTACTGGAGGAACTCTTTTCTCCTGAGGCCACCTTTTGGACGAGGTTGCTAAGAAACCAGCTTCTTACTCAAGGCCCCAATCTTTGTTCTACCTTTAGTTCAGCAGTTCCAAGAAAGAAGTGGCTTATTTTATCTATCTTGAAAATGCCAACTGAATGAGGCTATTTATTCATAACTAGACTAGCAGTGGCACTGAGAATTAAGCCCAGCACCCACCATGGCCTTCTCTGTACTCACCTCTCCACTGTGCAGGCCAGCCTGCCCAGCCCTTCCATGCTTAGATGCTTCTAGACCGGTCAATAATTGATATTCCTGGTTCCACACTGGCCATCACTTCACAGTTGTAACCCATCTACATTGGTAGGATGCCTTGTTTTTACACTTACCTGTTAGTGGCTTTGAAAATAGCGAAAGCAAAATAAAACACCCCATCCAAGTAGAGTCACGTCTAAGGGCTCTCTGAGCATCATGGGTTTTTAAAAAAGAAGCGATGGTGCCTTCGCATCAGGCACTGCTCAGTTCTGTACAACAGAAGGCCATGAGTGTGACACCTGTGTGGTCTTACTAAAAAAATGGGGATTACTGACGTGGCACTTGAGCTTTTGTGGGCATGTTAAAGAAACCAAATTAGGAGACTTGCCCTCGCAAAGTAAAAGATAGCTCTGTTTTTGTATAGTGACCACATTTAATAGGGAATACATTTCGTTCATGTACTTGGAATACATATAATGTGGACAAAAGTGAATGAGGAGGATAACACACGACCTTTGAGAATTCTGATTATTTATTTTCTCTATTCACCAGGCTAGAACAATATATAGATATCAAAGCGGAGGAGATGGCTTTTTTTTTTTTAATTTTTTAAATTCTTCTGGATGCAACTGTCCCTGGTTACAGCTAAGGGGTCACCCCCTTCAGATAATAAACCCATTTGATGGTTGTGTCCCTGCCATCGCCGGGAGGGCACGACACGATCAGCTTGCTGGTGATGGGTGTTTTGTAGCCGGAAGGGTTTCCTTCGAAGAAGACGGAGATGCTGTTGATCTTCTTGGGCCGCACGGACTCGGCAGCCCGCACGGAGAAGGCCGGGTGCTCCACGATGAAGGAGTAGGTGGCGGTTTGGTAGAAGACGTTCTTGAAGGGGATGACTATGTTGTACCCGGCCCGGACCTGGAAGGGGCCCTGTGGCTTCGGGGGCAAGGCCACCCCGAAGAGGGGGATGATGTACTCTCCGCCGGCGATGGAGGACAGGGACAGGGTGCCCTTGGTCTCCCCCAGGTGGCTGGGCTCGAAGTAGACTTCCACGCTGACTTCCGTGCCGCCCTGGGACCCCGCGGCCGCGCTGATGACCTTTTCCGTGTGGAAGTCGACGCAGTCGGTCTGGAAAGGGGGACAGGTGCACATCCGGTTCACACGGGGGTCCTGGTGGGCATGGCAGCCGCCCAGTCCATCCCCAGGCCCTCCTCCACGCTCGGTCGGGCAGGATGTAAGAAAGCTGTGTGTCCTTATATTACTCCCTTGAAGATAGGTAGTACTTTTAATTGTTATTCCTATCTATCTATCTATCTATCTATCTATCTATCTATCTATCTATCTATGTAAAAGGCTAATATGCAAAGTGTCCCCCCTGGGAATTCGACCAGGAGAACAGGAGTTTGATCGCTCGCTATGATGTGCACTCACCACTAGGGGGCGATGCGGAACATGGCGGGTGACCAGCTGGGCACTGAGGGAGTGAGAGAAGGGGGAGGCGAGGAGGCAGGTAGGTGGGGGGAACCTGATCAGCCCTGATCGCTAGCCAGGCCTGGAGACCCTACCTGTGCAAGAATTCATGCACAAGGCCTCTAGTTTTAATATAAAGAAACAGAGGCCCAAAGACATGTGGCTGGATGATGTTAGTATGGGCAGTCATTGGTGTGGCTCGCCAAAACCGGCTCTTCTTTCCTTCCATACATATGGAAGACCGAACAATCTAGATCCTCATGGACACGGTGAGACTACTTCTGGACAATCAGTTGAGAGAAGTGAAAGGTGCCACTTCCACAACAGAGTATCTAGTTGCTCATGCAACTGTAGAGACCTCTCACCCCTCTGGTACTGCGGCTGGAAACATGGGAGACGGTGGCTGCTCGTCCGCCTGGATCCCCGAGGGGCTGTGAGGGCCAGAGTCCCCGCTGAGCCTCATTGCGTAGACAGTGCGGACGAGACACCTTTGTGCTCTTAAGCCACTGAGATATCGAGGCTCCTGGTATATGACAGCATACTCTAGCTTCTCCCGACTGACAGAACTGATGGAGTGCCTCTGTCCCTTGACTGTAGCTCTGATGTTGACTGGGCACCTGACCACCCAGTGTAAAGGCTACACCTCCTCGCTCCCCTTGTTGCTAGGTGAGGTCCTCTGCAGTTCTGTTCAATGGAATGTGAGTGGAAATGGTATATGCAGCCCCCCCGCCCCCCCAATCCTTTTCCCTTGTCCCTGGCTGAAATGTGGGTGTCACCGTAAGCTGTCCTGGTCCATGTGGACCAAAGCAACTCTCTACAGAGAGAAGAGCATCAGGACAGGAGCTGGGTGGCTGATGTCATCGAGCTACCATTCCAGCTCAAACTGCGTATGCCCGCAGTTATCTGAGAGAGAAATAAGTGTCTATTTTGTTGTCATTTTGGGTTTCTGTTTCACGAGTTAAGCCTACATTCTGACTGATATATTAGGCAACATATATGGGACATTCACTGTGGGCCTGGCTCTATGAAAATGGTCTTCTGTATGTATTTTAAAATCCTCATAGAGATCCTGTAAGGTCAGGGTATGATCACCCTTTAGAGATAAACTTAGATTTAGTAAGTTATTCATACAAAGAATATAGTAAAGCCCAGCCGGCATGGCTCAGTGGTTGAGCGGTGACCTCTGAACCAGGAGGACACGGTTCGATTCCTGGTCAGGGCAAATGCCCAGGTTGCAAGCTCGATCCCCACTGTGGGGCATGCAGATTTTTAAAATTCTCTCTCATCATGGATGTTTCTATCTCTCTCTCTCCCCCTTCCTCTCTGGGAAAAAAAAAAAAAAAAAAAAAAAAAAAAAAAAATATATATATATATATATATATATATATATATATATATATATATATATATATATATATATGATATAGTAAAGCCAGGATTCAAATCCAGGTCTGTTGGCTTTCACAGCCTATCCTCATGACCATTACGCTCTCCCGTCTCCCTTTAATGACTACTGAGCATGCACTGGGAAGCAAAACTCCCCACACCCCTCCCAGCTTGTTAAGACAGAAAGTCTTTAAGGAAGAACCCAGGCCTTGCACTATTTCCTTCTTGCTGGGAGTTCCCGGGCTATATGATGCACCCGACTCTCCTGAGTTTCACAGTTCTGCAACCCTGAGTCCTCCTCCCGTTATTCCTGAGGCCAGCCTCCTGGCCAGGGAAGGGCCAGAGGGTGGGGCCGGGGGCTGCTCACCCTGCAGTAGTATTCTGTCTTCTGCCGGGTGTAATTGATGAACTTGGCAAAGATGCTCTGGCCGCTGCCAAGAACCGTCTGGAAGTGGATGGGCTTTTCGGGCACCGCTGGCAGAGCCTTCAGGTTGAGCTCATATTGGAAGTAACCCAAGTCATTGTTGTGCATAACTAGTCTCCCGAAGGTTTCTCCGGCTCGCAGGGGCTGGAACTCGAATGAGAACGTGCCCTGCGAGGGAAGACAGAGGCCTCGGTGATGCGGGAGGTCCCGCCTATCCCCTGCCACCCAGGGACCTCAGAGCAGGTTGGCGGCACTGCACACGGCAGTGCTCACACTGAGCGTGAGCCGCGGGAACCTCTGCCCAAACCTCAGCCCACTTTCCCTCCCCTGGACTCTTCCTAACTTCTGTTCCAGGTCTTTCTAGACCTGGAATCTGCTTGAATCTAAAAATAGGTAATGGGGCAAGCGCACTATAGACCTCGGCCAGGGCTGGCCCGACCTCCGAGGGTGCAGAACGTGGACCCAGAGGCCCTAGGGGCAGAGCCTCCATCGCGGCTCTCAGGGGCCCCGGGCGGCGGGGTCTCACCTCCGAGTTAGCGGGCACCACGAACTGGGAGGGCAGGTTGATGTCAGGCACCCTGCACTCCGTGGCGAAGGTCACCGAGTAGGGCAGGGGGTTCTCCACCTTGACGGAGGCTGACGTGCTCTGCCGGACGGGGCTCACCATCTCGATGGTTTTGATGATGCCCGAAGGGATGACCCTGAAACTCACCACGTAGTACAAGAACTCGTTGGTCACCTCATTTCGGAAGATCACCTGGGTTCACAGGAGGGCGGGGAGGAAGCAGGACAGAGGAGAGGGGTCAGCAGGGGGTCTTTCTCTCGGTGGGCAATGCTTGGGCATGGGAAGCGTGGGTGCCAGGCTGATGTGGGCCCCCCCAGCCTGCCTGTATCTCTACTAGCTGGCTCTTCTCTTTATTTTATTATTTTTATTTTAATTTTTTATTGATTATGGTATCACATAATTGTCCTCATCCCCCCATTCCCATCCCAAACCCCTCCCCACATATGCCCTCACCCCCTGTTGTCCATGGCCACTGGCTAGGCCCATATGCATGCACACAGGTCCTTTGGTTGATCTCTTCCCCTCACCCCCACCCTCCCCTACTTTCCCTCTGAGGTTTGAGAGTCTGATCACTGCTTCTCTTTCTCTGGGTCTGTTTTTGTTCATCAGTTTATGTTGTTCATTATTTCCTCTAGATGTGCGAAATCATGTGATCCAAGAAATAGCCTTGTAAGAACCGAAACTGCGACAAGTCATAATGGTTATGCTGAATCAGTGAATATGAATCAGTGAACTATGAAATCAGTCTGTAGTGAGTTTCTTTCTGGGCCAACAGTTCTTTTGAGACCCAATTTCAATGTCAAATAGTTCCTTATGTGTACATGCCAGCCATGATATTTCAGATCTCGTTGGTGGACAAACGGTAAAAATGCAGGTCCGACCGTCTCTGGTTTGGTCCTGGGCATCCTTCAGCAACACGCAGCTGCTGTCTGCTGGTGTGGCAAGGCGTCGTCAGCATCTTCCATCTCTGAGTTGTGGCCCTTCTCTTTAGATACTCTGCTCTGGCGGTGAGAGGCTGTGACACAGCCTGCGTTTGCTTTGGAGGCCACGGCAGCCCTGTCCAGAGCTGCAGGTGTAGAAGGCCTCCTCAGTGAGGACAGCTGACTGGCCCTGAGAGCAAGCAGTCCTGGAGGGGTTCATGTTGTAGTGGGTTTCACTCCCAATCCCGTTGGTGCTGGAGTAGATGATGACGATGATGACGTCGATGATGATAATGATGATGACGACGACGATGATGATGATGATGATGATAGCATCTAACACTTAATGATTTCTGTGTGCCAGGCACTAGAAGTACTTAATTGGTTTAATTCACACAGTTTTGTAAGTGGCATGATGATTCCCCTCACTGTGGTGTTGTTGTTTTTTTAAGATGATGGAAATGAGGCTTAACAGCATGAAGGATCTTTTTTTTTTTTTTTTAAGCAAAGGTTGTGATTTTTTTATTATTATTATTTTTTTATATTTTATGATTTTTTACAGAGAGGAAGGGAGAGAGATAGAGAGCTAGAAACGTCGATGAGAGAGAAACATCGACCTACTGGGGATGTGCCCGCAACCAATGTACGATACATGCCCCTGACCGGAATCGAACCTGGGACCTTTCAGTCCGCAGACCGACGCTCTACCACTGAGCCAAACCGGCTTCGGCAGCATGAAATATCTTGACCAGTGTCACATGCAGAGAAGTGTCAGAACCAGGATCTGGTTGGACTGATTCAGGAGCTCATACCTGTAACTGTCATATATTGTCAGCCCTGCAGCTGACTTGTTATGGGTGGACTACTCACCTTTTTAAAGTTCTTTTCCCCGATGACTGAGGAAGGTGAGCATCTTCTCAGCTGCTTATTGCTCATTCACATGTCTACTCCATGAAGTAGAGTCTATTAGATTGTTTTTGCCCCCCGCCCCCCCCCCTTTTTTATTTTATTTTTTTAACACTTTCCGTTGTTTATCGTATTAGGCAGCCATAGTTCTTAATGTGTCCGGCCTTTTTCTTTCAGCCTCTTCCTGTGTTTAGATTTAGAGTGCTTCTGACACCCTCTGTCTTTTCATTGGAGCATCCAGTCTTTTACATTTAAAATAATCATTTATGTGTTTGGATTGAAGTCTGCCTTCCTGCTCTTTCTTTTTCATTGGTCTCATTTTTCATTCCTCTGTTGCTACCTCCCTGTCTTCTGTTGGGTCAGGATGTATTCTTTCAGAATATATTTCATTTCCTCTAATGGCTTCATGGCTCTCTTTTTAAAGGAAAGATTTTTCATGGTTGCTATAGAGCTGACAATGTGAAGTGTTAACTTGTCAAAATGTAGAGTTAGCATTTCATCACTTTCCACTTTACAACTGACCATTTATGCTTCCTACCTCACATTGCCCACAGCACAAATGTCGTAGCTGTACTAACCTATAATTTCATTGTCCTGTCTATCCCATTTTTGTGCTTTTGTCATACCTTTTACTTCTATGTAGGTAAGAACATCCACATTATAATGTCATATTTGCTATAAACTGTCAGTTGTCTTTTAAACAAAGTTATGAGAAGGAAAACATGTTTTAATATTTGCCTATTTATTTATAATTTTTCGTGCTGTTCTTCCCTTCCAGCAGACCCAAGTTTCCATCTGGTACCATCTCCCTTCAGAATGACGAAGACCTATTTGCATCCCAATAATGCTCATGCATTTAGTAATGCAAGTCTCCTGGCCATGAATTCTCTCATGTTCTTTTTTTCTGAAAATGTCTATTTCACTCTCACATTTACAGGATATTTTCAGTGAATAAAGAATTCTAGGTTGGTAATTTCTTTTTCTTTCAGCACTTTGTAGATAGCTTCCATTACTTTTGAAGAGAAGTCAGGGGGCACCTTTTCTGTATGTAATACAATATATCTTAAATCTGGTTGCTTTAAGCTTTTCTTTTCATGTTTGGTTTTCAGCAGTTTTACTATGATGTGCATAGTCATGATTTCCTTTATATTTTTGAGGTTTGCTTGCTTGAGGTTTGCCAAGTTTCTTGGATCTATAAATTATATATATAAAAATCAGGGAAATTTCAGCTATTATTTTTTCAAATAATTTTGTCCCATTCTCTCTTTTCTTCTGACTCATATTACTCATGTACTAGACCATGTTATATTTTTCTTACAGGTTCCTTAGGCTCTGGTTGTTTTCCCTTAATCTTTTTACTCTGTGTTCTTCAGATTGGAAACTTTTTATTGATTTGTTTCAAATTCAATGCATCTTCTCACATCTCTAATCAGCTGTTGAGCACATCCAATGCATTTTTCATTTCAGTTTGTTGTACTTTTCAGCTCTAGAGTATCCATTTGGTTCTTTTTCATAGTGTCTATTTCTCTGCTGAGATTCTTTATCACTACACTCATTAAGATAATATTTTATCTAATTACATAAAATATTTCCTTTTAGTTCTTGAAACATGTTTACAATAGCTTCTTTGAGGTCTTTGCCTGCTAAATCCAATATCTGTCCCATCTTGGAGTCAGTTTCCATTGACTGACTTTTTTTCTTGCCTATGGGTCATATTTTCCTTCTTCTCCACAAAGTCTAGAATTTTTGTTTGTGTACTGGACACTGTTGATGATCATTGAAGAGATTCTGTATTCTGTTAACTTCCTGATGAGGGTGTTGATCTTATTCTAGGAGGCAGTTCAATCACTGACACTTTAAACTTGTGTAGCTTTGGTTTTATGCTCTGTTAGAGCAGATACGAGTAAAACTCAAGGTATTCCTCAAGACCTTCCAACTTGGTGGGTTTCGATATCCACATTTCTTTAGTGAAGGCTTTTCCAGGCCAGCCCCTAGAAGATCTTACCGAATGGACATGGTGCTTTCTTCTGGCCTGTCAGGTGTTTCAGCTGGGTTACCAGGGCTGAGGAGGTGTGGCTAATGCAGCCTCTCCACTCTGCAGGGGCCAGACCTCCCGTGTTCCCCAGCGCTGATTAATGTAGTGCGCCTTTATCCCACATCACCCCTGTAGCAGCTGCTCTCTCATGAAGTCTCTTCCTGTGCATGTGCAGTCCATCTTCAGCCAAGGACTTCGAAGAGAACTCCTGTATAGACTTTGGTACTCCCACGCCCTCCATATCCTGCTCCCTCCTTTCTGGTGCCTTTCCCTGAAGAGACGAGCGATTTCGGCTGCACCAAACTCTGACTGTCACTTCAGTTCACTGGGGCTGCTGCACTTTCCTGAGACTGGAGCTCACTGCACTGCAGTCAGGAAATTGTCCGTGGGCAGAGATCCAGGACAATCATGGGACTCATCAATTTCCTTCTCTCTGGTGAATTGCAGTATTGTGCTGCTTGTTTTCCAAGGTCCGAGAAGACTTGCCTCCGACATTTATTTTGTCCAGTTCTATGGTTTATATGGTGGGAGGGCTAGTTACTCCATCATAACCAAAAGTGCTCTTGATTTTTAAAAATTCTGTTGTTATTGTTGATTTAAAAAAACATTATTGTTATGGTCAATTTAAATACTTATTACTGTGAAGAAATTCTGTGATCTGGCTTCATTGTCATTTTTACTCAAAAGTCTTTATACTTACATTTTAATACATATATTTATTTATATGTTTCTCTTCACACCTACAGTTTATGAAAATCTCCATTTCCTCCCTATGCTTCTCTATAAAAGAGAAAATATCTCTTACTTCCCCATTTACTTCCAACAGAATGTGAACATTATTTTCATTGCCTTATTTTATTCTTTCCCTTCCTAATTTGAGGCCATATGAAGTATTTCAGATTGCTTTTCAACAATTATTTGAAATTACCTATGAATTCAGATTCTTTTTTGATTGTATCCTTGTACTTTCCGTTGGATTCATTTACTTATCTTTAAAATTTTGTTAATTTAAAAAATTTTAATTTGTAGTACTTCTTTCAAAGTATATATGGGTGGGTTACTTTGAGTCATTGCATGTTAAAAATATCTTTATTTAGTTCTCATAATAGTTTTGAATTCTAGGTTGAAAATCATTCTAAATAGTTTATATTTTGGGTATATAACTAGGAGTGAAATTGCTGAGTCATATGGTAACTATGTTTAAGAATATAAAGAAATGCCAGACTGTTTTCCAAAGTGACAGCACTATTTATATTACCATAGCTAAGAATTCATTTCTCTACACTCTCACCAACACCTGCTATTCTTTCTTTTCACCTTTAAAAAGTATTTTATTGATTTTTTACAGGGAGGAAGAGAGAGGAATAGAGACCTAGAAATATCGATGAGAGAGAAACATTGATCAGCTGCCTCCTGCACAACCCTTACTGGGGAAGTGCCCGCAACCAAGGTACATGTCCTTGACCAGAATCGAACCTGGGACCCTTCAGTCCGCAGGCCGACGCTCTATTCACTGAGCCAAACCAGTTTTGGCTCTTTTCATCTTTCAATTTCTTTGTACTCATGTGCTAAAGCCTGGTGATATTACTCCGTTCTGTATTCTAACTCACAAATAATTCTTCCTCAGAGTTCATTACACTTTTCATCTGTACTCTATGGTTATATCTTTAAAAATGTTTTTATTGATTCTTAGAGAGAGGGAGAGAGAGAAACATCAATATGAGTCAGAAATATCAATCAGCTGCCTTCCGCATGCCCCCGCACTGGGGATTGAGAATACAACCCAGGCATGTGCTAGACCAACTGGAATTGAACTGGTGCCCTTTTGGTGTATGGGACAACACTCAACCAACTGAGCCACACTGACCAGGACCTTTATGGCTTTCTATTCCAAATATCCTATTTTTCATTTCCAGGGTCTCCAATTGATTCTCCTCCACAACAGCCTGTTCTTATTGTATGGGTATGATTATCTTCCTTTATTCCCTTGAGAATATCTATATCTATCTATCTATCTATCTATCTATCTATCTATCTATAAAAACCTAAGTGACCATTACGACCAAATGACTGGAGTGAGCAGAAGGACTGGTCAATCAGTGGCTATGACACACACTGGTCACAAGGGGACAGATGCTCAATGTAGTATGCTCCCACAGCCAACCTCCCTTGGCCCCTCCCCCTTCTCAGCCTGCCGCGGCCTCCTCTTCCCCCCATATGCCTTGATCACCAGCCAGGCTGAGGAATCCCACCTGTGCATAAATTTGTGCATCGGGCTCTAGTTGATAATATTCATTGAAAGTCTTCTTCTGTTTGCTTTAATACCTCTTATCTCAGGAGCTGGTATTTCTATTTTATGGTGGCTTTTCCCCCTTCAGATGTTTTATGATTCCTTGATTTTAAGGTTCTCTGTTAACTTGTTTGTGAAGGTGACCTGAGTGATACAGTCTAACTCAGTGATTGTAGAAGACAAGATGACATACTATTGGGTGAGTTTTACCAGTATCTCTTCTGGCAGGGGAGATGTGCTCCTACTTTCTGTTTCCCCCCACCCCCACATTAAAAATCTTTCCCTATGAATTATAGGTAATTCCATTCTCTGCATAGTTTTAAATACTACCGATAAATAGGTAATTCCCATATATTATCTTCAGCACTGACCTTTCTTGTGAGTTCACATATGCTCCATTTCTTCAAAGCACATACCTCATTTTATGATAATGCATTCATAATGCAATTACTATTTGATTAATGTTCATCTCCCTTCACTGGACCGTGTAGTCCATGAGAATAGGGACTGTGTCTATTTTTGATGATTGCTGTGTTAGCAGCACCTAGTATATGGCATATATGCTCCATAGATCTTTATTGAACTAATGAATGAATTAAGAACAACAGCTCCTATGTGAAAGATGCCATGGTGTCTTAGAGTAGATGCCTGAGTTGAATCCTGGCTCTGATATTACCAGCTATGTGTATTGAGTGCTCAGCACAATGCTAGACACTCTATAAGCACCCAGAAAATGGGATATTTTATTACTGTGGCCTGGTATTTGCCAGTCCAGTGTTACAAACTGTGTAAGGGTTTTTATGACTCTTCTTCCTGAAAGACTGGCATGGGCCTACGTGACGGCTGGCTGGCCTCACAACCTGGTCCCGTCTTAAAGAGGCTGGGGATCCGGACTGCCTTTGCCAGGTCGCTATAAATGGTCAGCCCGACAGGATAAGGATAGGCTGGCTATGGAGGACTTCTTCACTCCCTAACACCCAGATTGTCAACCTCAGGGTCAGACCTCCAGGGTTCCAGGGCAGTGCCTTTGGCATACGGATACCTTTGCGCTGTATAGTCCCTCCTTATGGGAAAAGAAGTTCAGCTTGTAGTCTTTCTTGGATGTAGACAGTACATCAATGTAATCAAGGCCCTTTAAGGTGGCACTTAGGTCTGGCTTCTCTGGTTTCACCATTTCCACAATGACCCGGAACCTGGGGGAGACACAGGGAGCACAAGAAGGGAGGACAGAGAAAGTGAGGTATCTGCCCAAAGAGAGGAAGGAGAGGTGCTATCTCTACTCTTGATTTTATGTAAAACACCTGGGTCCAGGGTTCTAGCCTCCGCTGTCTCGACCAATTGCAGTAACTGCCACTTACTGACCACCTGTTATGCGCCAGCTATCAAGCCAGTGCTCTGCATGTGTTACAGGCCTTTAATTCCTGTGATGTCTGCAGGAGGTGCATGTCATTACATCTCCATTTACTAGCGAGGAAACGAGGCCAAGAGAAGGGAGACACCATGCTTGGGTAACATGACCATTTATTGGCAGAACTTAAGCGTGGGCCTTTACCCACAATGCTCAGCAAGTGGCCTCTTCTCCCAACCTTTGGCTCCTGAGCTATAAGAGAAGGAGACTAGGCTGTTTGGCCTCAAGCTCCTCTAGTCCTTGTATTCTTCTCTACTCCCACTGCAAGTACAAAGTCCAAGGGATGTCCTTCTCTGGCCAGTGGCTTAGGTCAATGGTCAGCAAACTGCAGCTTGCAAGCCACAGGTGGCTTTTTGGCCCATTGAGTTTTTAGCAAAGGCCAGCTTAGGAGTACCCTAATTAAGTTAATAACAATGTACCTACCTATATAATTTTAAGTTAAAAAAAATTGTCTCTCAAAAGAAATTTCAATCGTTGTACTGTTGATATTTGGCTCTGTTGATTAATGAGTTTGTCGACCACTGGCTTAGGTAATAAGACTGAACACTCAATAATAACCACCATGATTATCGTTATGACAATAGTAATAACTAACATTTATTGAGCACTTTTTTTTGGTGGCAGGCACTGTTCCAGGAGGTTTGTAGGTAACCAGCCACTTATAGAGAGCACTGAACAGGAGGATGTCTCTGGAGGCTTAGAGTTCAGGCAATGCCTGGCCACCTCAGGGACCTTGATCTCTGGCCCTTTTAGCCAATGTCCTCCAGAGGCCCTGACCAGGGGAAGGGCCAGGCTAAACAGGAGAAATCTCCCTTCTGTCCCAACCCCACTCGAACCCCATGCCCCATTCCCTTACCTCTGGGGCTTGTTCAGCCAGTTGGTGATTGGCAGGAGCTCAGTGTAGGGCGTCTTACATGGCACTTCACGGAAGATATTGGCCACGGCTTTGGGGGGCTCGGCAGTCCCATGCAGCGCATATAGCCAGCCGGTCCCGTCCGGCAGGGGGAAGAAGAGGGTGCCCTAAGGAGGGGAAGAAATGCAATCAGAATGACGCCAAGGGGCCTTTATTAGGCACCTCTCAGGCCTGGTAGTCACACGGGATTAATGGAGGCTCTGCCGATGAGCATTAACACTTGGGGAAGCAGCTGCTTCAAGAGTCAAAAAACAAAAAACAAAAACAAAAACAAAAAAAAACATTCCAAGGTGTTTGAACCAGGAATCACAGACAAGGGATCTTACTTTAGAAAAATCCATCTGGGGGAAAAAGTTACCTACCTATATAAGAATATATAGAAAATCATTTATAGGAGCATGACAATTGGGAGCTAGCTTGAATATTCAACACCTGGGAAATGCCTAATAAATCATGAAACCCTCGTTCAAAATTTCAGGCAGTCATTAAAAATGATTATGAGGACTAGCTGGTTTGGCTCAGTGGATAGAACATAAGCCTGTGGTCTGAAGGGTCCCCGGTTCAATTACAGCCAAGGGCACATGCCCAGGGGGTGTGCAGGAAGCAGCTGATCAATGATTCTCGTTCATCATTGATGTTTCTCTCTCTCTCTCTCTCTCTCTCTCTCTCTCTCTCTCTCTCCCTCCCTCCCTCCCTCCCTCCCTCCCTCCCTTTCCCTTCGTCTCTGAAATCAATCAGATATATACTAAAAAGAGAAAAATTATCATCATGAAGACTACCCAATTAAATAGAAAAATGCTCATGATAGAATGTACAGTGAAAATAAACAGAATGAAAAACTGATGGCAGCCAAGGCTGTATCTGCATAGTATTGGGAGTGAAGATATCGGAAGAGAGGGTCCCCTCTCGTTCTAACGTTCTCTGAGCTGCCAAGCTCTGTCCCCTAACCTCCCTCACACAACTTCTCCCTAAGGTCACACCTCGAAACGAACGGATGGGGTGCTCGGCCTACCTGATGCTTGCGGTTCTCCACATTCATGGTGCGGGGCTTGTAGGTAATCTCATAGGGCTTGTTTTGCTGATGGGGCTCCAGAGTGATGAACTCGGGCCCCTCCCAGTGCTCGCCCTCAAAGATGGGGTGCAGATTCCAGGTCTGGTTGGTGCGATTGGAAAGCAGGATGGTCTGCGTGTGCTTGGAGCGTACCTGGCAGGTGAAGTTTACCGTCTGGAAGAGAACAGGCGCTTTACACAGGCAGTGGAATTTACAAGTTTGGAGTTCACAGCCAAGTCCAGACTGAAGGTGCATATTTGGGAGTTGTCAGTTTAGCAATTTTTTTTTTTTTTTAAGATGAAAATACTGGATGAGATTATCAGGAAGTTAAGTACACTTAGAAAAAAAGAAGGACCTTATGGATGAATTCCTGACTGGCACACTCCATTGTGAAGAATCAGAAGAGATGGGAAGGAGCAGCTAATCAGATAGGAAGAGAACCAGGAGAGGGTGGTATCCTGGAAGCCATTTGAAGGAACCGTTTGAAGAAGGAGGTACTTGTTCAAGGTGTCAAATGCTACCAGGAGGTCAAGTGGGATGAAGGTGAGAACTGGCCATTGAATATAACAACACAGACCAATGTGGTATCGGTGTTAAAAGAGTCAAATAGATCAATGGACAAGAATAGAGTTCAGTAATAGACACACACATATATGATCCATTGATTTTTCACCAAAGTGCAAAGGCAATTCGGTAGAGAAAGGATAATCTTTTCAACAAATGGTGCTGCAATAATTAGATATCCATGTACGGAAAAAGAAATTTGATCCATATCTTGTACTACATACAAAAATGAACTTGAAACAGACTGAAGACCCAAATGTAAAATTTGTGTCCTGTATATATATAAAGAGCTCTGAAAATTCAATATTAATAAAACAAACAACCCAATTTGTTAAAAAAAGATTTGAACAAATACTTCAAAAAAGAATACTACATATGGACGGCAAATAAGTAGCTGAAAAGATTCTCAACATCATTAGCCATTAGGGAAATTCAAATGGAAAACTACAATGAAATACTACGATATATCTATTAGAATGACTAAAACAACAAAGAAAGACCATATCAAGCGTTGAGAAGGATGTAATACAAATGGAAATGTCAGACATTGCTAGTGGGAATGCGAAATGACACACACAGTCACTTTGTAAAAACAGTTTGGTAGGTTCTGAAGAAAGTGAACATATATCTATCTACCCTTGGACCCAGCCATTCACTCCTAAGTAACCAAGAAAATGAAAGCATGCGTTCTTGCCAAGATTTGTTCATGCATGCTTACAGCATTCTGTATGTTTCCCTTTACATACCATGCTTGAAATAACAAAATTAGAGAGATGGGGGTCAGGTCTCATTTTTACCATAAGCAGTGTTGCCAGGAACACGGCGGGCAGGGCACTGGTAGGCTTCTGGGAACGGAGCTAGCAGAGGGTTAACCCAAGGCTATCAAAAAACAGCAACACATAGCAAGGTGTTCACCCCTCACTCATGGCTTATAACAGAACTGGGTCTAGCCAGAGATGTCCATGCAAGCTTCCTTGAGAATGTGATGCTTGACTTGAGAGCTGAAGAATGAATAGGAATTAACTAAACGAAGAGGAAAAAAGAACATTCCAGCAGTGGAAAAAGTACGTGCAAAGGCCCTGGTGGGGGGGTGGGGTGGTGGTGGTGGTGGTGGTGGTGGGGGGGCGCGCATGCGCGCACGGGAGCAGGTCGGAATATCTGAGGTGGGCGCTGGGGACTATTTGAACAGAGCATCTGCCTCCGGAAGGCCTGGCGGAGCTCACCTGTGGGGCTTGCCAGGCCCACTCTGGCCAATGGCCCTTCTGCGGGCAGTGCTCACTGACCTCTTTCACTGCGGGCGGTCCAACACAGATTCCAGACAGAGTCAGGCTGAGGGCGGGGCCTCCCTGGACGAAGCAGGGCAGGTTTCTGCAGAGATTCTCCTTGCCCACCTCCGTGGGATGGTAGGTCACCTCTAACGAAACCTCCATGCCCGTGGTGATGTAGCCTTCTTCCGGGCTGATGGAGAAGTTAGGCTCAAACTTTCTGACATCCCACTTAAACCTTTTCCGAGACAAAAGGAGACGAGGAAGACAGGTTACCAGGGTCCTGGGGATGTCCTCAGTGCTGCTGAGAACGAGACCGGAGGTTCGCCCCCTTGTGGGCTCCACGGGACCGGGAGGAGAAAGATTGCTCGGTAACGCGGGGGCTGTGTGGACAGGGGAAGATGACTCGGCTCCCTCTCAGAGCTGAGCAGGGTGCGAAGTGGCTGCATCGGGGGGACATACATAGGAACGTGTTTCCACGTGTGCACTCAAGGTCTCATAGCTAGGAAGTGGCTGAGGGAAGACTGGAACCTTCCGCAGGCTGTGGCCTTAACCACTCCCTGCACGGCCTCCGCGGCCGGAGCCAGGGAGGTGGAGATGATCCCTGCCTGTGAGGGCTGCATCTGCTCTTGGTGGCATTGGGCTGCGATGGCTCTGAGTGGTCGTCACTCTGTGGTCTGGCATTTGGTCCAGGCAGGAGACAGAGGGTGGACGGTGCAGACCGACGTGCTTCCAGGGCCAGGGCTGCCACACGGCACCCTCGGGGCCCTGAAAACACTGAGTTTGTGTGAGGGGTGCCCCTGCAGGTGTGCGGCGTGCGGCCTGCACAGCTTTGTGGCATGCCTGAGTGCTGGCTGGGGTGGGCCCCCGCTAGGGAGTGGGAAGAGCGTGGGAAGGAGAGCTGCCATAGGTACACTGGGGTTCCAATCCCGTCTTTCCCACTTCCTGGCTGTGTGACCCCGGGCAAGCTATCTGACCTCTTTGAGCCGCAAATTCATCTGTGAAATGGGGACAATACAGAACCTATCTTGGGTCCTGGGGCAGCCAAGTGGGATCTTCTATTTGAGAATACTCAGCATTGCACCTGCGCCTGGTAACTTCTTGCTAAATGTGGGATTTTGGAAAAGGTACTGACTCTCTTTTTTACTTCAGTTTTCTCATCTGTAAAATGGATCAGTCATAGCACTGGTCTCGTAGAATTGTTGGGGTTAAATGAGAGGAGCCATGCAAAGGGCATGTCACAGGAGCAAATGCTCCAGAATATTAATTTTAGTAACCAGGCCATCACAGTCACATTTTTGAAGGAAGGAAAGAGATGTAAGAGGCAAAGGAAAGAAATAAAAAGCGGCCAGGCTTGTGAGACAAATGTGTAATCTGACGCAGGGCCCGAGCGCTCTGCTCCAGCTCCTACCTGGCACCCACGTCGCCCGTGTTCAGCAGGAGGATGCGACGCGTGGCCTTTGTCTGATACACGACTGGCCCGAAGGGAATGTGTTGCTGGTCCAGGGAGACCTCCAGAGCGTGGCAGCAGCCGCTGAGCAGGAAGAGGGGGCGCAGGAGCCCCATGCTCTCCATCAACACTTCCTCGGAGAAGAGGGGGATGCGCTTCTTCGGGGCAAAGATGACCTCCAGCTTGCGGACTTCTTTGGGCTTCAGCGTGATGTGGCCGAAGGGCATCAGGGTGATGACCTGGGCCAGAGGACAGTGGGCCTCAGCAGCTGAGGGCAGGGGGCTGCTGGGCCCTCCATTCCTACAGGTCTTGCTGCTGTCACAGCCCAGGGGGCAAATCTCAATGCTGCTCTCTCTTACCAGCTGTGTCATCTTTTTCTTTTTTTAATATATTTTATCGATTTTTTTTTTTTTTTTTACAGAGAGGAAGGGAGAGGGAGAGAGAGTTAGAAACATCAATGAGAGAGAAACATCGATCAGCTGTCTCCTGCACACCCCCTACTGGGGATGTGCCCGCAACCAATATACATGGCCTTGACTGGAATTGAACTTGGGACCCTTCAGTCCACAGGTCAATGTTCTATCTACTGAACCAAACTGGTTAGGGCCAGCTGTGCCATCTTTGACAACTTATTTTAACATCCTGTGATCCATTCAGCTAGATCATCTATATAAAATATATGGCACAGCCTGGCTGGTGTTGCTCAATGGTTGTGCGTTGACCTATGTACAGGAGGTCACGATTTGATTCCCTGTCAGGGCACCTGCCTGTGTTACGGGCTTGACCCCCAGGGTGGGGTGTGCAGGAAGCAAAGGATCAATGATTCCTTGTCATTATTGACGTTTCTGTCTCTCTCTCTCTCCCTTTCCTTTCCTCTCTGAAATCAATAAAGATATATTTAAAAAAAATAAAGTAAAATGTAGGGCACAGAATAGGCACTCAATAAATGTTAATTCTCATTCTAACCCCTTGCAAAGAACCACTACTCTCTGCTGGAGGAGACAGAAGAGGGAATAAAAACACTCAGCGCTCTGTGGTTTTTGAGGATCGCCCCCCCACCCCCCCGCCCGCAGCTCCCTGTGCTGGCTACAATGCAGATTCACGGGCCCTGCCCCAGACCGCTGATCCGTGTTCTTGGAGGAGCCTGGGGCCTGCATTTTCAAAAGTGCCCTGGGAGACTAAAGTTGGAGTCCTAAAGTTGGAGAACCACTGTCTGAATTTGTGTGGTCCCCTCTCCTCCGCCTGGTCCTGGTAAAGGCAAATCAAAATCAGCTCTAAGGAAGCCAAACCCCTTTTCCACCGTGAGCTCCCTTCGGTCTGGAGCCAGGCAGTCACCAGCAAGTGGGCCCAGGCAGCGGGGCGTGGGATAACGGGCAGAGAGGCCGCGATAGCACGGTGATCCTAGCGAGTTCTCCAAACATGAGGATGTCGGAAGCCAACCCCAGGCGGTGGGGTCAGCACAGGTCCCTGGCAGCTTGTGTCCGATCAGCTAAAGAAGCCGGTTGGCAGGCAAACCGTGAGGGCTCTGACCTACTGGGAACCAAGACTTGGACTTGGATTAATGAGGCATGCGACGCCTCATTAGTGGGAAGACAGACACCAACATGTTCAGTGATGATTGCTCTCTTTCTCTGGACGGCAAAGTGGGCAACGCGGGGTCCTGGGTGGAGGTACCCACCGTGTCTCTGGCTGTGGCTGGCCTCTCACGGCCAGTGCTTGTGTGTCCTGCATCCCCCAGGTGGTCCGCAGTGTGCCTGTCACACTGAATCGCATCTGAGTTTCCTAAAGCACTGACGCTTGCTGGCCGGTATACCTTTGCCTGCTGGAAACACCCTCCCCCGCCTGTCTGCCTGGGAGATCCCTCTCCATCCTGTAACACTCAGTGCAGCCGCCCTCTGAGCAGCCCCCATCTTTTCCAATTCCTCTGGGAAGTAATTAGGCTTAGATGAGGCCATGAGAGAGGGACCCTCCTGATGGGATAGATACACTGGATAGCCCTCTCTTCTTGCTCTCTGCTGTGTGTGCACACAGCCAGAAGGGGGCCGCCTATGAGCCGGGAGGAGAGCCCTCACCAGAAGCAGACCATACTGGCACTCTGACCTCACACTCCCAGCTCCCAGAACTATCCTATATAATAAAAGCCCAATAGGCTAAGTATCTGACCGTTCGGCCATTTGACCAGTCTCTCTCATGTGCCCTGACCACCATGGGGCAGATGCTCCGACCAGTAGGTTAGATTGTTGGTGGGCTCCAGCCAATTGGGATTAGGCGAGACAGGCCGGACATGCCCTGAAGCCCTCCTTCAGTCCCTCCCTGGACTCCATCATGCACCAGTGGGGTCCCTTGGCCTGGCCTGTGCCTTCTTGCAATCTGAGACCCCTCTGGGGGACGTCAGAGAGCCGGTTTTGGCCTGATTCCCGCAGGCCAGGCTGAGGGGCCCCACCAGTGCACGAATCCATGCACCGGGCCTCTAGTGAGAAAATAAATGTCTGCTGAGTAAGCCACCCAGTCTACTTGGTTAGGGCAGCCCAAGTTAAGACACATCTGTATATTTTTTGTAGCTAGCACATATTTACTGAGTAAATGTAAGGGATGGATACATTTACCCTTGGGATGAATGAAGCACACCTACTCCATTGTCAAGGGGCCATCCGCATACTGATGCCCGTAAGAGGGGAGCAGGCAGCTGGGACGGGCAGCTCCTCTCTCCAGGGAGCTTGGGACATGGATGCAGGAACAAGGGTGCCTCTCACACAGATGATGAGTGCAGAGGGGGACACCCTTTCAGGGGCAGGTGGTGATGGGCACTGAAACTTCCTCTTCTCCTTGAACCCACACGCCCTCTAGGAGTCCGCCCTGAGCAGAGAGCCATGGATGCACACAAAGCTTTGGCTGCAGGGACAGACATTGTTGCTTATAACATAAAGCATCAGGAACACCTGAGTTGAGCAGAAATAGACAACTGGTCTGTCTACCTAATAGAGGGAGCAGTGGACACATGGCAGTGGAGGACATGGACAATATTTACGATGTGTTACGAGATGGGTTCAAAATAACATGAACATTGTTGGACACAAAACTCTGGGGAGGGAGGCTATGTATGGGAGGGGGAGGGCAATGTTAAAACATGTACACAGATAATAATTTAATAAAAAATGAATACAAACATTGTAATTTTATTTTTGTAAAAAAATATGTAGGGCCTAACCGGTTTGGCTCAGTGGATAGAGCGTCAGCCTGAGGACTGAAAGGTCAAGGGCATGTACCTTGGTTGTGGGCACATCCCTGGTGGGGGGTGTGCAGGAGGCAGCTGATTGATGTTTCTCTCATTGATATTTCTAACTCTCTCTCCCTCTCCCTTCCTTTCTGTAAATAAATAAATAAATAAATAAATAAAAAATCAATAAAATATATTTTTAAAAAATGTGTAGGAAAAACCTGGGAAAGATAGACATCAAAATGTTAAGTGATTATTTCTAGGTCTGAGATTATGGGCAAAATGTTTTCTTTTATGATTTTCTATATTTTCCAAATGGTCTGCAATGAAGATCTGTGTTTATTCATTAGAATTTACTGCCTCCCTTCTGTTTCACTCTGTTGCCCTGTAGAGGGATGTTGCCTCTTTAAGCCTCGGTTTCCTTGGATGTGAACTGAGCAGAGTGAAAGCACGGACCCCGGGCTGTTCCTGTGAAGATGGTCGGGGACGGCGCACGGAGAGCTGTGAGCGTGTCCGGGCACAGTGAGGGCGCAGGAGATCTGTGACCTGTTAGTGACGTCGGCCTGGCCGTCCGCGCAGCAGGGAAGCATGGAGAGGCCACTGGGAGCGCCGAGCACCCACCTTAGGCTCCCGGAGCTCTGGAACTGAGAACAGGACGGAATGGCTAAAGGTGACCGGGGCTTGGCTGTTGTTCATGATCGAAACCGTTTTTTTCACCACCTGCCCCGGCAGGACAGCTCCTAACTTCAAGATCCTGTTGGCCGGATCCAGGACTACAATCTGTGGGACGAGAAAGAGAGCAGGGAGGGAGGGGCTGTCAGTTAATGAGAAAAATGTCTATCGGGGGCGGGGAGTCAAGGGTGGTCCCTCGCTTTCAGGGTCCCCCATTCTTCACATTGGATGAGCCTTCCCTCGCTCAAGAACATTTATGTGCATAAATGTGCCCACTAAACAACAATGACATAATTACAACTGTGCTAAGAGACGTGATGGGAAAGCTCAGGGTACTGGAGAGCCCATGGCAGGGCATGAGATAGATGGGAGTCTGGGGACTGCCCCCACCCTAGGCATGTTTTTTTTTTTTTTTTTTTTTTTTTTTTTTTTTTTTTTTTAAGTCAAGTTTGGAATTGAGTAAGAGAGCCATGACTCACTTGAGTCTGATCGGCTAATTCACCCCTCGGTGGGACTGCTGACGTGTGGCAGAGCAGTTTAGGGGCAGGAGATGGGGCGAGGGGAGGGAAGGGAGAGGCTCAGGTGGGCCAAGGGGGCTGGGAAGGGCAGGGAAGCTGCCAGTCTGAGGACCTCCTCTTACCTTCATTTCGGTGCCTTTCCCTTTGATTTCAACTACTTGTTGGGAGAGCCCATTGATTTCAAAGGGGATGAGCTCTCGGTAACTGATACTTTCTCGAGGATAGAAGGTGATTGGGATCTCCATGGACTTTCCTGGCTTTATCACGTCCACACGGAAGTTCACCTCAAGGTAGGTGGTATTGGTGTACAAACAATCGATGCTGGAGAGAAGCAGGAGGAAGGTGGGTAAGTTCTGAGAAGGCTGACCCAGGGGGACTGATTGGGTCCCCGCCTCCACGCCCGAGCTTGGTCCTGATGGATTTCCTGCCCTGCTGTCCTGCAGTCATAGCATTTAAGGGCTGAAAAGGACCCAGCAATGATCCAGTTCACATTCTCTTGGGCAAAGTCAAGCTACTTACCTCAAATAACACCATGAGATCCTGGCAAAATCAGGCCTCAAGCTCAAAGTCCCATGATCCTCTGCCAGTGCTCATTTTTAAATTTTTTTTTAATAATGTTTTTATTGATTTCAGAGAGAGGAAAAGAGAGGGAGAGAGGGATAGAAACAATAATGTTGAGAGAGAATCATTGATCCATCACCTCTTGTACACCCTACACTGAGAACTGGGCCCCCAACTAGGGCATGTGCCCTGACTGGGAATTGAACTGTGACCTCCTGGTTCATAGGCTGATGCATAATCACTGAGCCATGCCCTTTGGGCAGGGGAGGTACTATCATTATCACCTACTTTGGGCAAGGAGACAGAGGCACAGAGAGTTTAAAAAATTTGCCCAAGGTCACACATAGCTAGGGAGGAACCCAGACTTGTGTTACCCAATATGATAGCCACTCGGCACATGCAACTAGTATTTAAATCCTATATAATAGAAGGCTAGTATGCAAATTGACCGAATGGCAGAACGACCTGTCACTATGATTTGCACTGACCACCAGGGGGCAGACACTCAATGCAGGAGCTGCCCCCTGGTGGTCAATGCACTCCCACAGGGGAAGCACCACTCAGCCAGAAGCTGGGTTCATGGCTGGTGAGCACAGTGGAGGTGGTGGGAGCCTCTCCTGCCTCTTTGGCAGTCAGACATCCCTCGAGAGCTCTCAGACTGCGAGAGGGTACAGGCTGGGTTGAGGGACCGCCCCTCCCCCTATTACCCCCTCACAAGTGCACAAATTTTATGCACCAGGCCTCTAGTTTAAAATAAAACAAAACACTCAGTTCCTCAGTTTCACTTATCATGGCAGGCTGCCATACTAGATAGTGCAGAAATATAACATTTTTTTCATTGTCAAGGAAAACTCTATTGCATAGCACTAATCTAGCAGGTCTCTCAGCCAATTTCTGGAGATTCTGTTTTGTTAGGTCTGTAATAGGGTCCAGAAACCCGGACTGGGACATTCTATACTGGATGGTGTGGAGAGGCTGAATTTGAGTCAGAAGGCTTAGGCTCAGTATAGATCCACTGTTTTCTGTGAGGTCACTGGCCTGAGAAATTCACTTTTTAACTCTCCAAATTTTCGTTTCCACATCTGTTACACGAGGAAAATCAGCGGAGGCCCTCAGTCCTCTCATCGGATCATCCTGCATTGCCTCCTCACTTCAGGAAGAGGATTTTCCATGGAGGAGCCCGAGGCTCTCCAAGCATCAGTGTCAGTGGCGGGGAAAGGAGACCTGGGGATTCACGCCCACCTGTGTCTGACTCATCCCCACAACCCCTCTCCTTCTGTTGTGGCTGCACACCACCTGCAGACTCATCTGGGGGCTCCTGGAAGTCCGCTCACCTCATACCCGTTTCCTCCTTGTTGGTGATAACCAGGGTCTGTTTGTACGCGGGCATCCCGGCTTGGTAGATGAAGCAGGTCCCAAAGTTGTGGCTGGTGAATGAGAAATGGACAGCAGGGCTCACAGCATTGCCTGAGATGCTGCACATGAATGTCGGACCGTGGCTTATCTGTGGAGAGGAAACGGCAGGGGGAGTGTGATTAGAAGTGAGAGGGAAGGACTTTTAAGCCCTCCTCGAGTGAAGGAGGGAGGCAGGCAAGTGTTTAAAAAACAAACAAAACAAAACATAGGTCCCACGGTTCTATCTGCAGATTCTAACTCAGAGGTTAGAAGTTTATTTTTTATAAAGTATTTTTTATTGACTTCAGAGAGGAAGGAAGAGGGAGAGAGGGAAGAAAACATCAATGATGAGAGAGAATCATTGATTGACTGCCTCCTTCATGTCCCCTACTGGGGATGGAGCCCACAAATTAGGCATGTGCCCTGACCAGGAATTGAACCGTGACCTCCTGGTTCACAGGTTGACACTTAACCACTGAGCTACTCTGGCTGGGCAGAAGTTTGTGCATTTGAGAAAAGCAAGATGGGTTACTCTGCAATCAGTCTCTACATTGGTTCTTGCTTTGCTCCTGAAGCAATGATTCATCTTGAAGGCAGAGGGGTGTGGCAAAAACTACTACTCCCCAATATCTGATTCCCAGCACTCCTACCGTTGTCAATGTGCCCAGGTGAAAATACTTGATTTCCCATTTTTAAAATGTTAAAAAGTTAAACCTATTGCAGTAACATGAGTTAATAACATTATATAAATTTCAGGTGTACAACTTTATGACATCTGTGTGCTCCGTTGTGTGTTTCCCACCTGAAGTTTAGTCTCCTTCCATCACATTGTATTGACTCCCTTTACCTATTTGTTGTCCCCTACCTTCTTCCCCTCTCGTAACCACCATTATTTGTCTGTATGTATCACTCTATTTTTTGTTTGTTTGAATGTTTGTGTTTTATGTTCATTTGTTGCTTTTTGTTTTATAGCCCACATATGAGTGAAATCATATGGTACCTAAATGTCCTTCAGTGGATGACGGGATAAAGAAGATGTGGTACATATACACAATGGAATACTACTCAACCATAAAAAGATGAAATATCGCCACCTGCAACAACATGAATGGATCTTGAGCACATTACGCTGAGTGTAATAAGTCAGGTGTAAAAGGACAAGAACAGTATGATTTCCCATTCTTCCTTGCAGCTAAGAGTGGCCATCAGACATAGTTTGGTCATGTCCTATTTTAAATAAAGAGTCAAAGTCTTGTTGGAGAAGTATTTTGGCTCCAGGCTCTTCCCCTTATTTCCACTCTGAAATGTAGACATAGGGCTGCAGGAGGGATGGTCAGCTTGTGACCATGAGATGACAGGAATGAGGTCAAAGGCCAATATGCTCAGGGTGAGAGGTAATTTAGTGAGTTCTGAAAAAGCTGATTTTGATAGTTTTTGCCAGTGTTCTCATTGCTCCAGAAGAGCAGCTTTTCAGAGATCCTTCTCTGCCATCCCCACTGACATCACAACTCATTGGTTTTTCATTTGATAACTTACCTTGGAAAATGTTGTACATGTTTGTTCTCTCTCTCTCTCTCTCTCTCTCTCTCTCTCTCTCTCTCTCTCTCCCTCTCATCAATCTCCCTTGTTTATTTTATTTTATTTTGTAAAAATATGCTTTTTATTGATTTTGAGAGACAGAGGGAGAGAGGGGAATAGAGAGAGAGAAACATGGATGAGAGGAACATCATTGATCGGTTGTCTCTTGCATGGCCCCTACTGGGGATCAAGCCTACAACCAAGGCATGTGTCCTGATCAGGAATCAGACTGGTGACCTCTTGGTTCCTTGGTTCCCTTATTTATTTTAATGGCTGCATGATATACCAATGCAACCATTAAAATAAATAAGGCAGTGCTTAACTGCTTTTTAGTTGACACTCACCAGGCACCTGGGTGGAGGCCATGAATAGAGTGTATGGGACTATCTCCAACACAGCCACTCCCCAGGAGCTGCTGGCAGGATAGAGAAGACCAGAAACATGCAGGACAATTATTCTTCCAAGACAGGATACTGTGAGTGCTTTCAGTGTTGGGCAGTGTTTAATCAGTCTCACCTTGATTCTGAGTTCCAGGCCCTTCAAGACACATTTCTTAAATGGTTGGAAATTCAGGCTGGCAGATGCACTCTGCCCTATATCCACGTTGCCCTCTGTGGGTGAGAACTCTAAGTACTGCATCAGGGCCTTGGGGCCAGAGAGCTCTGCCTGGTAGCTGAAGTTGAACTTCCCAGTGTTGATAAAGGTGAACTCACACTGGACACATTCATTCAGCTCCACCTGAGAGACAGAGCACATGTTGAGTGAATGCAAACCATTGTTCACCCCTCTGGGATCAGGATATGCAACATGTTGGGGGAAAATATCCCTTGGAAAATAGAAATGGACAATGATGTTAGTGAGTTGAACATCATTAGGCTAATGTGGCCAGGATATCCCAGCAAGAGCTATCAAGTGTTGGGGGCCCCTCATATCTGAAGAGTAAGAGGGCAATTTAGTTCTTAGACCTCCCTTGGTAGTCAAACAACCTGCCTATGTGCTTAACACAAGCATTATTCCCCTTGCCTACCGTCTCTCCATCCCTTGAAAAATAAGAAAACATTCACATCAAAATCATATACATTCTGGAGATGGAGCAGCTCCTGGTACCTTTCTGTTCTCCTGGTCTCCCTGGCATTTGAAACGGAGAGATTCAGCTAATAATAGTCACTGGTACTGCCTTTCCCAGCCAGCGTGGAAACCAAGAGGGAGTAAGGCCCTCTCCCACCTTTACCTCATAGAAGTTGACAATGGTAGTCTGATTGGGAGTCAAGAAAGTGACTAAGCCAGTCCTGTCTTTGCACTTGACATCCGCATTCATGGTGTAGCCCTCAGCCTTGACATTTAAGGTCATAGGCTGGGCTTTCCTTTTCACATTGCAGATCAAATTAAAGTTCACATCTCCTTCTTGCTTTGGTGTGAAGAAGACATCAATTTGTACCCTGATTGGGGAAGATGACAGCAGGTTAGTTGAGTAGGCCACCTGCTACAACCTGCTAAAGAACAGGAGGCCAATAGGTGAGCAGATACACTGTGAGGAAAAGGTATTATAACTCCAAATTATGATGAATTTAAAAAAAAACAACACACATTTTTATTGATTTCAGAGAGGAAGGGAGGAGGAAAGAGAGAGATAGAAACATCAGTGATGTGAGAGAATCATTGATCAGCTTATCCCCTGCATGCCCCACCACCTGGGCATGTGCCCTGACCAGGATTGGAATCGTGACCTCTTGGTTCATAGATCAATGCTCAATGAATTTTGAAGATTTTCCAGGCAAGGCAGGACATTGCTTTATGGATTCACAAATATAGTAGATAGCAAGGAAAAGAATATATATGAGAAAATACTGAAAACAAGGGTTTAAAATCCTCAACACTACACAATTCATCAGGAAAACGAGTAATATGGAATACGTAGTACGGAGATGGAATTGTTAATATCTAAGGGGTTCTCTTGGTTGCCAGGCCTGGGACTCGGGCCATTTTTGGGGGGTTGAAGTCTTGGGGCCTTCCTATTTCTTTACCTGGACATCGGCGGGAGCCAGCCTTCCATGGGACATACGACCAGGTTTTCAGTGAAACCTTCAGAATACCGGGAGCTGTCCAGGAAGGCAAAATTGAACCCTTGCTCCTCCCTGTTGATGATGTGCACGGTCTCCCGGGCTTCTCGGCCTGAGGAGGAAACATCAGTTCTCAGGAGCAGCCTGGACATTGGTGGGGAGCAGCCACCTGCCTGCTCCTGCAGTGTCTCAGCAGATACTGCTCGACTGGCAAGAGGAAGTCTCCTTCCAAGAGATTCTCCAACTTCTTTCCTTTCCTCTTCCCAGCTCCTCAGCCTGTGACTACCTCTTTCTTCCTTTCGCTCTACAAGTGACCTTCCTCCCCTGGAAGGACTCCAGCTCTTACTCTAGAGAACTTGACCCGCCTGCTCCTGCTAGATGGTGCCTCTCGCCAGTCCCAGGGATCCTGGCGACACTGTTTTCCCTTCTTGTTCCTTCAGACCCAATGCCTTCCTTCTTTTGCTAATGGAGCTTCCCCTTCCCTGATAGGCCCCTTAACTCTGCCCATGTCTTTGTAAAGCAGGGAGGCCCCCTGCACTGAACACTTTAGATAAGATCTCCTGCATGTCATGAGTCTTGACAGGGCTCTAACTAATGCATTGCTGTTACTATTTTGCTTTTTCTTTCTTTCTTTGACTATTGTAGAGAATTTATTTTTCCACATAAACTTTCCAATCATTTTATCCACTTCTCTCCCCTGCCACCCCACCCCGGTAATCCTTTGGGATTAAGGTTACCAGATGAAGCAACGTTTTGTTTTTTTTGTTTTTTTGTTTTTTGTTTTTTTAGTATATGTCTCAAATGTTGCATGGGACATACTTATGCTGACATACGGATTCAAAAATCATTCACTGTTACCTGAAATTCAAATGCAACTCTGTGTTTGTATTTTACCTGGCAACCCTCGCTGAGATTCTAATAGAAACTTGATTAAATTTGCATTTATTTTTTTGGGAGAACTGACAACTATTCAGATCTTGGTTGGGGGCATTTTAATAAGATTTCTATAGTTTTCTTCATACAGGTCCTGTGCTTTCCTTGTTATGTTGATCCTTAGATGTTATATAGGTTTGGTCAACACTAAATAGAGTTTTTTTGTTTGAATCTAAGTGCTTACTACCAAAAGAAAGAGATACTATTGATTTTTGTATACTTGTCCTGCATCTAGCCACTTACTAAAAATTATCTTGTTTTAGTATTTGTGTTGCTTTTCTCTAGAACCTCTTGACATTTTCTATGTCTGAAGTAATCAGCCATAGCAATATGATATAGTGTTGTCTCATTTTCCCTCAATGTTTATGCCAATTGTTTAATTTTCTTATTTTACTGTATTTGCTAAAGTCACTAAAACATGTTCAACAAGCCCTAGCCAGTTTGGCTCAGTGGATAGAGCATCGGCCTGTGGACTGAAGGGTTCCAGGTTTGATTCTGGCCAAGGGTACATGCCCAGGTTGCAGGCTCAATCCCCAGTAGGACATGTACAGGAGGCAGCCGATCTATGAGTCTTCCTCAGCATTAATGTATCTCTCACTCCCTCTCCCTTCCTCTCTGAAATCATAAATATATATTTTAAAAAATGTTCAACGATAATGAGCAGTCTTGCCTAATTTCTGATTTTAACTGACGTGCTTTTAGTGGTTTGTTACTTGACTAATAATCCAGTGCACAGATTCATGCACATTGAAAGGAAATTAATTAGAAGAAATATTTTAATATTGATATTCTTGTCTTGCTAATGAAAAGAAAATAGGATTCCACTGAGTCTCCTATCTACCTACTCCAGGAATTCTGTGAGGATCAAATGAGATGAGGCACAGGAAACGCTTCACAGACATTTGCTTAAAGTCTAAAATGTTTGCATCTGGCTATAAAGCAAGTCGGTCCCTGGGCTGAAGAAACTCTAAGGGTGCTAGTTGCTAGGGAGAGGAAGCCGGGCTTTGCTACATGACGTCATTACCCAGCGCCCACAATGACTGTTTCAGAGTTGGGCTGGGTTGTGTGCCACATTTTGTGGGTCTTGGCAGTGTTGGCTGTGATTTGGTAGGATGTTGCTCCAAGGTGGTGGCAGGGCCTGTGTCCCACTTGGGAGAAGTTGAGTGTTGGTTTGTTGGTGCCAGGTCTGTGGTGCCATTTATTTTTAAATGGCCAGTGCGTGTCACAGCAGCTCCTGTGTTGAGTGTCTGCCCCCTGGTGGTCAGTGCGCGTCATAGCTATCAGTTGGAGGACATAGCCTTTTATATACATAGATAACATTTGCCTCTTGATTTTAGTTAACCTTCTTTATTCAAGTATTTTCCTCCATTCCTCTTTTTCTATTAGAGTTTTTGTTGAGAATGTCTGCTGAATTTTAGCAATGACTTTTCAGTATGTATTAATATAATCACATGGTTGTCCTTTAAATGGTTAATGTAATGATTATATTGAAATGCACCAGCCTTGAATTCCTAGATTAATTTCTGTTTGTCTTGCCGTTATTATTCTTATGATACATTGCTCATTTATTTTCGAAAACCTCACTAATCACCACAATTTTCTCCTGTCAACTTATATGTATCAGTATGAAAGATGCATGCAAATAGTACATATCAAATTATTAGCATTGGTTTTCTTTGATGGAAAGGGAAGGATGAGGTAGGATGGGTGGGGAGAGATTATTAAGCTTTTCCTTTTACTACACTACATTGATTAGCTTTTATAATAAAAAATCAAATTACTAAAAAATCCTCTGGCTTTAGTTGTATTTTACACACACACACACACACACACACACACACACACACAACACCTCCATGTGATAGACTCATAGAGTTATAAGGGACCTAGTTATCACTTCTTTTATTTGCTCAAAAATCACCTTCCCATTGCCAAGTACCCTGTTTCCCCGAAAATAAGACAGTGTCTTATATTAATTTTTGCTCCCAAAGATGCACTAGGTCTTATTTTCAGGGGATGTCTTATTTTTCCATGAAGAAGAATATGGTACACATTTATTGTTAAGTGAAAATAAAGGAAATTTATTACCTGTATAAGGTACAGTAGTATGGTAGTTGTCAACACAAACCAGACAAACTGAATCCTACAGTATCAAGAATTTACTCATTTATTCAATGACAATCATGTCATCATCTTCTGGAACATCATCATAATAATCCAATTCCTGAATTTCCTGGTGAATTTCTTGTGAATCCATTTCTTTCAGAATCAGTGGACCAAATCTCTCATGTTTAGCCTATGGGGGGGCCTTATTTTCAGGGGAATGCCTTATATTTTACTCAGAAGGAAACCTGTAAGTAGATCTTATTTTTGGAGGATGTCTTATTTTCGGGGAAACATGGTAGCATTCTTCATTCTCTCTAGTCTGCTTTATTCTCTTTTATCAGCATCTGACATGCTATATATCTTGCTTTCTTATTTTTGGTAGTTTGCATCCTGTCCTTAGAATATAATCATCATGAGGGTAGGAACTGTGGCTGTATCCCCAGATGAGTGCCTAGGTCATACAAGGGGCTCGATAATATTTGTTGGACCAAATACATGCATGAAAGGATGGCAGAGAAATCTGATCACTGTGACACACACCAAGAAGCAAACAAATACAGCCCATAATCTGGGGCTGACATGAGACTCTGGAAATGAAGACAGTCAGTCCTGGCCCTAAAGGAATCTTCCAAGGAGGATCTGCAGCCAGGCTCCCAAATTTCGGTTGGTTGCGAGTGCATGGGTTTAGAATATCCTTGGTGGAAACTGGATTGAGAGGGAAATCTTTTGTGGCTTTGTGAACAGCAGGAAAGGCCCTCAGTCATGCTTCTGGAAGGCGCCAGGGAAAGTCCCTACCCCTGGCTGCTCCTGGAGCACACGCCTGGGTTGGTCCCACTTCCCGCCTCTATTTCACGCCAACTCGGAATGTGAACCACCAGGGCAGCCTTACCGATGAGGAGACAGCAGAAGTTGATGTGGGACTTGTCCAGATTGACCAGAGGGTCAGAGGCTTTGCCCACCAGCAGGAAAGGGACTGTGATGTTGTGTTCAGGGACTGAGAAGGTCCAGAATGCTTCTGTGATTCTCAGATGCAAAGGCATGAACTGGAAGATAATCTGAGAAGACAGTTTGGAACACAGTGGTAAGAGGTACTACTGTTTACTTACCCCACGTGCCCTTAGAGGCTTGTGGGCACTGGGATTCTGATGGCTGGCCATACCAGGTCACCACTACCTTTCTACCCTCTCTGAAGGGCACGCAAGTCTGGCTGTACTGTCTGCTTGCCCTGCTTGCCCATAGGTCTTTCTAAGCGGGTCTACGCCATCCACGGCTTCTGCTGGCTAGGCTGCCATATTGGATGACATGCACAAATAGAGAGATTAGGATGGAATTTGGAATTTTGACTTTTCCCGAGAAGTCTGGGAAAGTTGGCAATCCTGGGCCCACTTGTCTGTGTGGTGGTGATATGCTGGAGAAGCACTGTGGCCAGCCAGCTCTGCTCACACTCCCTGCCAAGATCCCCTTGGCTTACACCATTTATTCGTATGACCTTCCTGGAGGCATCTGAATCCATAATTTCTGTTTCTCGGATTTGTTTCTGCCTCTAAGATTCCCTGTAGGACTTACAGAACATGGGACCCGCAGTGAGCCCATGTTTCTTCCAGCTGGACCCCCTAACCTATGTCACCGTGGAAACAGTACGACTGAGACATGGGACATGACTCCAGTGTTCTGCTTTGACTTTTGTCCTGACCAAGTGAAAACACATCTGTGTCCTTCCGCTGCTCTCGGCCCCTTGGACAAAAATAACTTTGTCCTACAGTGTCCAGGCCTTCTCAGCTTCCCTGTCCTGCTTTCATAATCTCCATCTTTAAAACTCTAAATACTAAAGATCAGCTTCTCCATGGCCAACCAAGTGAACTCATGTCTGTATTGTCCATGAGAACTGCCTAACCTATAAAAACACTTGTGGATGGATGCACCCTTAGGCTGCCCTCCTTCACTCTTATCTCTGGTCTAAAGCACGCTTGTCACTCAAAGAGAGAATGATGGAAGCCCTGGGTCGCGTGGTCCTCATTCACACACACACACACCTCGGCTTTCTTTTCAGGCTGGATGCAGCCCTTCTCTGTAAGGCAGGTGAAGGCTGAAGGGTTCTGGAGACTTTCTGCTTCTTCAGAGACCCAGCGGAAGCAGTAGATGCTAGTGGTCGGGTTCAGGATTGTAAACGACCTGGCCGAGGGGGAAGAATTGACAGCAGAGAGTGAGAGGGAGGGTTGAGGATGAAGAGAAACTTTCTCAGGACCTAACTGCCCTGGCTCGGTCCCTCTACGTGGACCGAGTGTTGCAGATACTTTTTTTTTTTTTTAACTGTAGAAATGAGAACCACATCTCATGTGGTGGTCCAACGTATGGAGCTCTGGACTTTGGAGTAATAATGGTGCCAAGGGCCCTTCTGTCCCAGAGATCCTCTGTGGTCAAGGTGGTGGTTAGGGATTTTATGCCTTTGAAACCTGTCCTGGTGTCAAAACGAAGGAAATGGAATTCAGTGTTCTTGCCGTAGCAGCTCTCTCAAGCCCAGACCCCAGCATACCAAGCTGCTTCTAGGAACCCATCCAGCTCGATTCTCCGAATTCTACCTCTGAGTTCTTTAGAAGGATTGGCTGATAGGAACGCGACTGATGCAAGCCGAGGCAACTCACCGGAGATTCTTCCCTCCTATGCCCACACAGGTGAACTCGATCACCCGGGTGTTTGGGTCCAGAGGCCCCCCGCCAGGCCCTCGGAGATCCGGGTTGCGCCGATGCCCAGTGATGTAGTCTGACTCTTTCAGTTCAAAGTGGCAGATAGGCAAGAAGCTCCGCCCTTTAGCTGTTAGGACCGGGCCTTGCACTCCGGGTGCTAGATTGGGAATCCTGAGAGGGAGGATATAGTTATTTTTATTAATTTTTTTTTTTTTAGTTTTAGCCAATTGTTGCTTTCTTAGATGGTTGGAAACAAATATTACATCTACTAAACCATGAGCTCCATGAGCACAGAGGCTGGGTCTATCTTGGTCAACAACATAACCTCAGTGTCTTGACCAGTGCACGCGACGTAGTAGGTGTCCATTAGTGGATGAATGCATGGATAGGCTGAGTATGAGGCACCCGAATTCTGGTCTCTTCTGTGTACATAGTGTGTTACTTAGGTACTTCCCACACCAGGGTTGAGAAAATCTCCCTGCTGTAAAATGAGCATAGAGGCTTTCCCTCTGGTCCTCTCAGAGGCATTTGTGGGATACAGAGTGTGATGCCGAGGTTCTAAAAAAGTACTCCAAGCTCCTCAGAGAAAGTGAACTGGATGTGAACAGACTTTCAGCCCCAGATCCAAGTGGAGGTGGCCCAGGTGCAGGATGGTCCCTGCAGTGTGATTGCAGGGGGCTCTTATGGCTCCCCTAGGTCCCTGCCACACTCAGCCATGGTTCACGGGATCCTTCTGTAGTAGTTTCTCCATGGAGCTTCCTTGGGAGTGGGTACCACATCAGGGACTCCCATGGCCAGGTGCTATTGGACTGATTGTCTCTACCTGGGTCTGGAACCCATCTCTTCCTTGCTTACCATACACCAGGTCTGCAACCTCCCTCCACAGTCCCCACCACCTAATGCTTGTTTTGCTTACTGTGTGCCAGGCCCTGTGCTAAGCTTCGGTGAGTTACCTTATTCAGTCTTAACTGGAACTCTGCAAGGTGTTATTGTTATTTGCATTTTATAGTTAGGGAAACCCGGTATCAGTAAAGGTACAAGAAAGCCTTCATAGGTTCCTGCTTGTCCCAGGACTGGAACCCACCTGGCTGCCAACTATGTTGTTGCCCAGTGGACTTTTTGTCTGGGGCCAGGAAGAGAGAAGTGGGGCAGAAGAAGAAGGGTCTAGAGAGGGTTGCTGAGCCACACAAAACACTCCATTCTCCTTGTTCTCCAAAAGCGGGTGCCTTTGAATGTTTCCAAGGTGAAGTGTGGCAAGTTGGGGCTGTGGAGGCTCCCGGGTTGGGAAGAATGGGTGGTAGTGGTGACGGAGAAGAGGGACGGGAGGGGCAGAGCTCTGTCTGGGGAGCACATCTCCTTACTGGCAGGAAATGGTGCTCTCGAAGTCTCCAACCTCCAACGGGGAGAATTTCACTTTGATCTTCTGAGACTTCCCCATGGGCACAATGCCAGAGATGGGATCCACAGAGAAGGACAGGGAGGGAGGTTCAGTCCAGGGTTCCGTGGCGCTGTCCAGGGTGCTGCCCTGGCTGAGCAGATCCTTTTGCGAACCTGGGGGACAGACAGAGAGCCAGTGACATTCTGCATGTGCAGAGGGAGGACAAGGAGAAGGCATCCCACTCACGGGTCTTCAGGGCCCCTCTGTGGGATCTTCTAGCAGATATAGTTAACTTTTTAAAATTATTTTTAAAATATATTTAATTGATTTTTTACAGAGAGGAAGAGAGAGGGATAGAGAGCTAGAAACGTTGATGAGAGAGAAACATCGACCAGCTGCCTCTTGCACACCCCCCACCGGGGATGTGCCCGCAACCAATGTAAATGCCCTTGACCGGAATCGAACCTGGGACCTTTCAGTCCGCAGACCGACGCTCTACCACTGAGCCAAACCGGTTTCGGCAGATATAGTTAACTTTAGGCTATAGGGGTAAGGAATTGACTCCTAGCTCTCACAAGGTGACTCATGAAAAAAAAAATATTGTCATTAATTCCATCAAGTTTTTAAATCTGTTTCCTTTTGGTCCAAGGGAGTGGGTCAAGTAGATAACTGTGGGTCTTGTACCTCAAAAAAGAATGGGTAGTGAACACAGTTTTTGGAGAATCACTGTTTTAAAGTAGGAGTTCACGATCCAGTGCCCATGGGAAAGGGCCCAATCGGAAGGTCGCAACATTGAAGCAGGAATAATGGATATTCTCCCGCCAAGTGCTTAAAAAAAAAAAAAAAAAAAATATATATATATATATATATATATATATATATATATATATATTATTGATTTTTTTTTACAGAGAGGAAGGGAGAGGGATAGAGAGTTAGAAACATCGATGATGAGAGAGAAACATCGATCAGCTGCTTCCTACACACCCCCTACTGGGGATGTGCCCGCAACCAAGGTACATGCCCTTGACCGGAATCGAACCTGGGACTTTCCTGTCCACAGGCTGACGCTCTATCCAATCCACTGAGCCAAACCGGTTTCAGCTGGGTCCCTTTTTCAAGGGCTTCACGCGCATCAGCTTCAAGTTGGGCAAGGTATGTGATTTCCTAGGGAGACAGCTCTTAGCTTTCACCATTGTCTCCTAGGGTCTGTAATCTCCTAAAAGGTTAAGATCTAAAAAAAGAAAAAATTGCCGAAACCGGTTTGGCTCAGTGGTAGAGCGGATGGGCAGGGTCCAGGCCCTGGGAGGGCAGAGGTCAGCTCTTGAGTTTCTCAGGCCCCATTGGCTCCACAGACACCAGGAAGCCTCGGCTCTGCTTTCCCATAGCTCCTTGGGAGGGCTGATGGAGCAAGGCTCTTCTACCAACTGGGGACTCTGCGCACACCCTGGGTTTTTCCTGCCATCGCATTTACCCTTGTTATCTGGCATTACAAAGCTGACAGCCTTCGCCATCTCTTCCACGATCCAGTTGAATTCCAGCTGCACACCTCCTGTATTGACCAGCTCCAACCTGCACACAGATGGGGGAACGCGTTTGAGAAATGTGCTGCACATGATTTGTGTCTTGTTGGCACACCCGTCATCTACACTTGCTACTTTTCCCTTTAGGTCAAGCAGCTTTGCTTCTAAAATATTTCTTCAAAAGACAGGTTTGAAGCAATTTAATCTGAAATCATGCATTTGATGTACCAATTGCATTTCCTTCCAAAAACACAAAAATATATGCATAGCCATTGAAAGTGAAAATATCCACGGTTAGCCCTTAAAGTCATCCTGCGTACCGTTGGCACTTTACGCAGTGAGCTCTCAGCATGCGTCATGGTAACCCTGAAAAATTCCCAGGAGAGAGGAAATCAAAGTTGATTTCACCTGACATAGTCTATTTTCACTTCCTGGGGTGCAAAACCCACAGCCCCTGCCCTTCCTGAATCACTTCCCGCCAGAAACAATGCCTCTGTCCTCAGAAGCCACCTGACCCCTTCCTGAGATGCTTTCACTGGCTGAGATATTTGTCTCAAATTTTGAACAAGTGGAGCTTCTTCTTGCCTCAAGTTTCCCTGCTCTAAGACCAGAAGTGGGAGAGAGAAGCTTTTTTTCTGGAACCACTATGAAATGTGATCATTGACAGTGACAGCAGGAGGATGAGGTCTTGATACAAGAACATGACTGTGGCCCTGGCTGGTTTTGCTCAATGGTTAGAGAATCAGCCCACGGACCGAAGGATCTCAGGTTTGATTCTGGGTCAAGGGCATGTATCTCAGTTGTAGGCTTGATTCCCCTCGCCCAGCCCCTTGGCGCATGAGGGAGGCAACCAATTGATGTCTCCCACATCAATGTTTTTCTCTTTCTCTCTCTCCTCCCCTCCACTCTTTCTAAAAATCAATGGAAAAAAATATCCTTGAGTGAAGATTTTTTTTAAAAAAAAGAAAGAAAATGATTGTGTAAGAGAAAGAAACATCATACTCTCCTGGCTTTAGGGGAGGAGGTCTAGGTTGGGTTTAGGGATTAGATCTCCATTATCCCATCCAGGTAGACCAGCAGGTATGTCTGAAGTCAAGTGCTTTGACTTCAGGGGCTTATATTCATGTTTTGAATGCGTGAGTAGTGGCCTTCAGCCTAAAGGAAGTTTTCATAAAGTGGAGGAATCTTAGTGGCACAGAGTAGTCTTCACAAAAAGAATTCTGGGTTTAGGTGAAGGGCCAGAGAGTAAGAATTTTTGGGCTTTGCATGCAGTAGGTCTCTGCAGCCATCTCTCACTCTGCTATTGTGCAAACACAGCCACTGGACAATGCAGAAACGAATGGGCATGGCCTTGTGCCAACAAACGCAACTACAAAAGTAGGTGGCTGGCTGGCTTGGGCCCATGGGCATAGCTTGCTGATCCCTGCTTTAGGCACACTGGGCACCAGCAGAAGATATCACTCCTTTCCTTGTGCCGTTTGCTGCTGTAATAACTTGAGAGGACACTTCGAGTGCACTAAATGCAAAATGGGTGAAAGAGTTAATTACTAATGTTCACAAAGTAGAAATGCCAGCGGTTTTCATTTTTGTTTTTGTAATTCTCAAAGATTTGTCCCGTCTCAGCCCTTTTCTTTTGTCTCTGTTGCTCTCTCTGCTTAGAAGGCCCTTTTTTCTCACTTCTTCACTGGGCTACCTCCTGTTTGGTCTCCAAAATTCAGCTGGGGCTCCACTTTGTTTGGGGAGCCTTCCCGACACTCTGTCCCATGTTGGTCTGCTTTTAGGCACTATTAAAAAACTATATATATATATATATATATATATATATATATATATATATTTAATATATAAAATAAAATTGATTTTTTTTTCAGAGAGGAAGGGAGAGGGATAGAGAGAAACATCATTGAGAGAGTAACATCGATCTCTGCACACCTCCTACTGGGGATGTGCCCACAACCAAGGTACATGCCCTTGACTGGAATTGAACCTGGGACCTTTCAGTCCACAGGCTGACGCTCTATCTACTGAGCCAAACCGGTTAGGGCTGCCTTAGGCACTCCTACTGCCTACACAGAACACCATGCTAAAGCTGCCACGACACCTATTGTCACCTATCCCCCTGCTCCCCAGCCGAGACTATGAACTCTGAAAGCAGGACCCATGGCATCCTTGTATCCCTGCGTCTGAGTGTGGGTGAAGGGTTAATACAACCCTTTCCCCTCTAAGGACAATTCTGACTTTGATCTAAACTTCTAGCTCAGTTTCCCTGGAAAGTAAAGGAAAAATGCCAGCGGTGTTATTAGGCAACGTTGTTTAGAGTAGAAATGACTTCTGCTTGGCAAATGGCAACTGGTCTGGAGGAATGATGATTATCTGGAGGGAAGCTATAGCTGTGGGGTTCTCTGAGTACAATGACTCTTGTAACTGGGCATGTCCCCTGCAGGGATCCTGGAAGCGACACCTATGGTGCGGTCACGAGAAATGTTGCTTCTGTTGGTCATGGGGCTTCTTAGCTAAGGATGGACCCTGTCCCTGCTAGTGTGGATACTGTCTGAGCTGTCACCTGGGGGCCCATATATTGTAGTTCCTGTGTTCCTGGTGGTATGGATTGCTGCAAGGACTCTTCCCACTGAGGCTGAGCAGCTGATGCCAGTTTTCCTGCCTATACCTTGATTTCAAGTGTAAACTTCAATTGCTTTGTGGGTCTGAGTGTTACATTGGAGCCATGAAAACACGCTGGTGCATGTGACAGGGGATGCCTGGTATATGCTGTTATAGACACGGAATGCATGTTTGATTAATGCCTGAGTGGATGGAGTGTCGGCCTGTGGACCGAGAGGTCACGGGTTCGATTCCCGTCAGGGGCATGTACCTTCGTTGCAGGCACATCCCCAGTAGGGGGTGTGCAGGAGGCAGCTGATCAATGTTTCTCTCTCATCAATGTTTCTGACTCTCTATCCCTCTCCCTTCCTCTCTGTAAAAAAAAAAAAAAAAAAAAAAAAAAAAAAAAATCAATAAAATATATTAAAAAAAAAAAGACTGAGTGGATGATGAGATGAAAGACGAAAGAATGCTGAGTGCTGGGAGGCTTTTAATGACTCACTGAAACACGCGGGTCTGGTAAACCAGCGTGTCCTTAAAGCGCACATCGCTCGTCTGGCAGCTGTAGGACGCGTAGTTCACGTTGGCGCTGACCTGCAGCATCAGCTCTCGGTAGCGCTCTTCCAGTACCGAGTGCACAGGCTCAGGGTCCGTCTCTATCACCTGTAACAAAAGCAGCCACAGGGACACCATGGGGAACAACAGCACACTATTCTACAATGCAAGTTAACACCGACTCAGAAAGTTATGCTCCAGAGTAAAAGATTAAGGCAAACCTAAAATGACTCATGCATGGGAAGGAAATGATGAATTACTGAAGGCATCAGAACTGCACAGACGTGAGTTTGGGGACAGTCAGACTCCAAAGAAAGTAGAAGGGAGAAAATCATAAAGATAGGAACAGATAGTAATAAAATAGAAAATAAATCTAAAACAGAAAGGCCCAACAGAGCCAAAAATTATTTGAAAAGATTTGAAAGGCTTTTGGTGAGATGGATCAGGAAAAATACAAATAACCAACATCAGAAATGAAAAAGGGGACATTATTATTGATCCTACATATTTAAACATCTGGTAAAAGTGTTATGAATAATTTTATGGAAATAGATATGAAAACTTAGTTGAAGGGCAAACCCCTAAAACATAATTTAATAAAATCGACCTAAGAACAAATAAAAAAAAATCTAAAGAGTCCTAATACTATTAAAGACACCAAATGGTAGTAAAAAAATCTTAAAGACCTAAGTAAATACAGCGACATAACTTGTTAATGGAAAGGATGGAATAATATTACTAAATTATCAGTTCTTCCTAAACTGACTTATAGGAGCAATCCAATTCCAATGAATTTTCCATTTTATAGTATAGTTGACCCTTGAATAATATGGGGGTTAGGGGCACCAAACTCTGTGTATAACTTTGACTCCCCCTAAACTTAACTATGAATAGCCTACTGTTGACTTTACTAGTAACATTAATAGTCAATTAAGACATATTTTGTCTGCTATATCTATTATACACTGTATTCTTACAATAAAGCAAGATAGTGAAAAGAAAATGTTATTAAGAAAGACACAAGGAAGAGAAAATACATTAACAGTATTTATTAAAAAAAAGTATGCTATATATATTGCTGTAAGTGGACCCACACAATTCAAACCCATGTTGTTCAAAGGTCAATTGTACTTGGGAAATGGCTTCCAAAATTACTTTGAAAAAAAAGGGCCAAGATAACTAAACAGATATCAAGGCTGATTATGAAACTATAGGAATTAAAGAAGCATAAAACTGGCACAGGGGTAGAAAAATGGGCAATAGGCTATAGAGACAAGAAACATCTAGGCACATATGAAACTTAGATGACAAGGGAGTCATGGCAGATCACAAAAGAAGTGCTGGGCCAAGAAGGAATTTGGCAAGATTAATTATCTAGATGGAAAAACATAAAATTCGATCCTTGCCTCATACCATAATATCCAGGTGGGACACATACACACACACACACACACACACACACACACACAAACAAAGTGATTATTTTCTTCACTGTTATAGAAAGGTTTTAAAAACAAGACACAAAGTAATTATAGAGAGATGAACATTTTTGTTCACGAAAAGATAAAGAAAGTGAAAAGATAAGCTAAAATTTGGTGAAGATGTTTGCAGACAAAAATATAAAAGTAGAGTTAATAAGAAATAAAATGACACATACAAAGGACAAGCATCATAGTTGAAAATGGGCAAAAGGCATTTACAGAAGAGATAACTTATAATATGGTCAATAATCACATGAAGAAATATTCAACTTTAGTGACTGGGGAAATGCAAAAGTCCAAACTGAACCTATTTCCTATTTGTTTCTTTTTCTTTTTCTCTTTTAAATCCTCACCTGAGGAAATGTTCTACTGAATTTTTAAAGAGAAAGAAGGGAGAAAAAGAGAGAGAAACATTGATCAGCTGCCTCCTGAACCTATCCCAACCATGGAATTAACCCACAACCCTTTTAGGAACATATGGGATGATGTTCCAACCAACCCAGTCACCTGGCTAGTGCTATTTCCTATTCATTTCAACGATTAAAAAAAAAAAATCTCACAATGCCAAATGTTGGAGAGATCACAGATCGATAGGATCTCTCTGCTAGTAAAAATGTAAGTTGGTACAGCACTTTGGAAAAACATCTGGAAGTCACCCTGGAAAGTTGAACATTCATATATCCTATGATATATGAATTCCACTTCTGGAAATATAAACTCTTTTAAGTGAATACAATGTGACATGAATAATAATGCTCATAGAAACACAGTCCATACCAGAGAAGCCTCAAATAGCTTTCAAAAGAAGAATGGATGGTAAATAATAATGGAATTTTAGATAGTAGTGAAATGAGGGCACTGTAGCCACATGCCAAAATATGGATAAGCACATGCAACAATCTTTAAAAAAATAAAGTAAAGAAGTACAATTAAATGTTTAGTTGCATAGATTAAAAAAGAAACAAAGGACAAAACTCAAGAAAATGAGCAAAAAGATTCAGGAGACGATCTCCTCTAGGAAGGAGGTTGGGGGACAGCATGGCTGAGAACCACACAGGAACCCATGTTCTACTCCCTGTGCTGTGTGTGGGTTCATCTTTGTTTATATTATTACTAGAAGCCCTATGTATGAAGATTCGTGCAAGAATAGGCCTTCCTTTCCCTCGCTGCTGTCATCGCCTTTCTGTTACGGCCCCAGAGCTGCCTCTTTCGGCTCCAGCCCTGCCTTCCCATGCTGCCCAAAGGCCCTGAATAGCTGAGGCAGTGTGGAACACCTGCGTCATCCCACACCGCCCCTGGCCGCTCATGCCTGCATATGCAAATTAACCCTTCATATTTGTTGGGGGTAATTTGCATATTCACTCCTGATTGGCTGGTGGGTATCACAAAGATTTGGTCAATTTGCATACTTCTCTTTTATTAGTGTAGACAAGGGAACCAACCAAGGAATAATTAAAAGAGGGGCATGCATGGACCAAAAATAAGATTTTGTCTACAATTAATTAATTCTGGACACCTGAGGGAAAAAGGAAACAACTAAAAGACCAGGCATGACATTTGTGGAGATAAAGCTCTACCAATTCAGACATGTGGTTTATGTGGTATATGCAGTATGGATAGCAGGTGACATGCTTGGAAGTTCAGTTGGTCACTTTTGAAATCAAAGTCAAGTGGAATGGCCATGGAATACCATGCAGCTGTAAAAAGGAAGGTTCTCTTACCTTTTGGGACAGCACGGATAGACCTGGAGATTATTATGCTAAGTGAAATAAGCTAGTCAGAGAAAGACAAATATCATATGATCTCACTCATCTGTGGAATCTAATGAACAAAATAAATTGGCCAACAAAATAAGTACCAAGGCATGGAGGCAGGCCTGGGACACACTGCCATATCTCAGAGAGAGGAGGGGATGAGAAGGGATAAACTAAGTAAGTTATAAACTTATATGCCTAACCCATGGACACAGACAGTAGTATTAGGTCTAGTAATAATTAATGTCGTTTTCTAATACTTTTTTAAATCGAATTTATTTAAACAATACAACAAAATTTAATCAACAATATAGTTGCCGTTGTTTTCTACTACTTGTGCCCAATGCTCAGGAAGCATTTTAATCCCTCTGTTGTAAAATTCTTGTGATTTTGATGCAAAAAATTCGGTCAATGCATTTTTGAGGCATTCTTCATTATTAAATTTTTTTCCAAGAAGAAAGTTTTGCAAAGAACGAAACAAATGGTAATCGGAAGGGGCAATATCAGGAGAATATGCAGGTTGAGGGAGAACTTCCCATTCCAACTGGCGCAGTTTTTCAGCAGTGATTCTTGCAGTATGCGGTCGTGCGTTATCGTGGTGAAGAATTATGCCCTTGCGATTAATCAGCGCGGGTTCTTTTTCTCTTAAAGCTTGGGCTAACCTTTCCAATTGGGCACTATACACTGCACTTGTAATGGTTTGGTTAGATGGTAAAAGTTCATAATGAAGAATTCCTTTAAAATTCCACCAAACACACAACATCACTTTTTTTGCATGCAAGTCAGGTTTTGGCATGGGCTGCGGAGCCTCCCATTTTTGTCCAACCATTGAGGCCGCCTTTTCAAATTAACAAACTGCACCCATTGTTCATCTCCGGTAACAATTTGCTCTAAAAACGGCAAACGGTTTTGATGAGAGAGGAGCGAACTGCAAATTGTGACTCTTTGATTACGGTTGTTGTCGGTCAACTCATGAGGAACCCATTTTCCAAACTTTTGGACTTTGCCAAGTGCACGCAATTGATTGGAAATTGTTTTTTGTGAACAATTTAAAGTTGACGCAAGCTCTTGTTGGGTAATTTGAGGATTTTGCACCAAAAGAGCTTGAAGAGCTTCTCGATCAAAATTGGACACACAGCCTCGACCACTCTTGTCATCTAACGAAAAATTTCCCTCGCGAAATTTCTCAAACCAACGCTGGCATTTTCTGGCGCTAACTGCATCTTGACCAAGAGCACTACAGATGTTTTTTTCAGCCTCACTTGCTTTTCTTCCTAATTGGAACTCGTAAAGCATGCAGTGCCGAATATGCTCTTCATCCGCCATCTTCTTAGCCCTAGTTTTGCAACAAAAACCAAACCAAACACAAACTTTTTCAAGCAAAACTTGTTAATTGCACTTCACACGTTCTGTAGATACCACGTGTTTGAAGGTTATGTCAATACAAGTCAACGCCAAGCAATATTTTAAACGAATGTTTAAAAACGACATTAATTATTACTAGACCGGATACAATGAAGGCCTGGGGGGGGGGGCAGGGGCGGGGTGCAGGCAGGGTCTTTCTTAATTACAAAGGGGACAAGGGGAGGAGGAAATGGAGATACCTGTAATACTGTTACACAATAAAAAAATATATGTTATAAAAAGTCAAGTTGAATGGCCACAATTTCTTTTTTCCATGAAAGAAGGAATTGGTGAGACATGGCCATGGTGAGGGCAGTAGGTCTGGTCAGATTTGTGACTAAAGTCTCTACTCACTTTTCGTTTTGTACTAAAAGTAGAGGGCATGTTTCTGGGCACGTCCACCCACTTGACTGTGCGCATGCGGTCATCCCAGTCAGGCACCTGGTCTGCAGGCTGCTGAAACATGATCTTGGAGATCTTGCACTTGATATCCATCTTCTTCATGTTGATGGGGATGTCTGACTTCATGGTCACCACTATGTCCTTGGCACACCCAGGGTGGAGGTGGCCAGCCTGGGGAAGAGCCTGGTATTAGTAACTTGGGAATTCAATCTTGAGGACTCTAGCTACTGTTTTTCCCCGAAAATAAGACATCCTCCGAAAAGAAGACCTAGCGCATGGAAAGATAAGACAGCCCTGAAAATAAGACCTAGCGCAACTTTGGGAGAAAAAATTAATATAAGACACTGTCTTATTTTTGGGGAAACAGGGTACCTCATGATGCCATTTTAAAAAGAAGGGATAGCTGGGACCGGTTTGGCTCAGTGGATAGAGCGTCGGCCTGCGGACTGAAGGGTCCCGGGTTTGATTCTGGTCAAGGACATGTACCTTGGCTGCGGGCACATCCCCAGTGGGGGGTGTGCAGGAGGCAGCTGGTCGATGTTTCTCTCTCATCAATGTTTCTAACTCTCTGTCCCTCTCAATTCCTCTCTGTGTAAAATCAATAAAATATATTAAAAAAAAGAGAAGGGGTAGAGGCAAAAGTATTGGCAAGAAAAAGAAATCATCATTCAAGCTTGATATGAAGAGTGTTTTAAAGATATACCAGAGCTTCTTATATAGAAATATAATAACAAAAACAAGAGCAGCTAATATTTATCACACGGTTACTTGCTTCAGGCATGATTCAAAACCTGGACACAATTCCACCAAACCCCACGACAACCCTATGAGATGTAAAGCTGTTACCCCTTCTTTACAGACAAGGAAAAACTGTGACTTGCTCAAGGTCATACTATTAGTAGTGGAAGAGCTGGATTCACACCCAGGCAGTATGGCTCCGGATACCACACCCTTAACCACCTGTGTTTATTAATCCTATATAAATCATGGACAGATGTACAGAGTACATAAGCAGCTCTCACAGTGTGATCTGGTGGTCCTTCGGATCCCCAAGACCTTGTCAGGAGTCCATGAGGTCAAAACCATTTTCATCATGATACTTTTTCATTCTCATTTTCTCATGACTATACAATGGAGTTTTCTAGCAGTTATGTGACATATGATTAGGCTTAATGCAGAAGCAAATATGAGAATTAGCTGTCTTCTATGAGGTTAGATATTAAAGAGATTTATTAAAATGTAAAATAATGCCTCTATTCTCACACAATTTCAATTTTGGAAAATATAGCCTTTTTAAATAAAAATATATTTATATGACCATGTGATGGGTTTATTATTATATTTTAAAATTAACAAATGAATGCAGTTTTTAAAAACACTCTCAGTTTTTATTTCTAATATGGTAAATATTGATAGATATAACCTACATAAACAAAAGCTCTTTGGGGGTATCCTCAATAACGTTTAGGCATGTAAAGGAATCCTGAGACCAAAAAGGCTCAGATTTGCTGAAATATAGCAAATACATGAGAAATCCAATCTGGGCTATAGAAAAAAAATCATTTATGATTTCACAAACATAAACATGTGCACATACACAACTCACATATATACCAAAACTCATATATAAACAAAAATCGCATATATAAAACTACATACATACATATACATACACACTACACACACACACACACACACACACACACACACACACACACACATATATATGTTAGAGGCCTGGTACATGAAAATTTGTGTCCTACTGATTTGTGTCCCCTATTTCCTCCTAAGCCACAGTCTGGCCTCCCTCTGAAGGAGACAACTGGCTGATCAGGGGAAGGTGCCGCCCCCATCACCCTGCTGCTGCCGCTACTGCTGGCTGGCTGCTGGCCCTCCTTGGCCCTCACAGCTGCTGCAGCTTTGTCTGGAAGGATGTCCGGAAGATGCCTGGTCTATCTGGTCTAATTAGCATATTATTCTTTTATTAGTATAGATATGCTAGTCCTTTCACATTGATGAAATTGCCTCTTCTGGAAAGTGAAAGGAGAAGAAAGCTTTGTATTTGCTTCCCTGGGCCACAGATATGTGTGTGCATAAACAGGAGCGTGAGTGTGAGTGTGTGTGTGTGTGTGTGTGTGTGTGGAGGGGTGTGGACTATAATAAGCTTATATCTGTCTACTTTCACTAATAATTCACATCCCTCCAGGAAGCAGACCTTCCTCCTGCTAGCACTCAAAGCTTTAAATGTGGGGCCCTAACCCCCTTGCTCTATGGCCTGAGAATTCTGTGTTTGAAGACTTGGAGGCTCGCCAGGACCAGTTTGGCTCAGTGGATAGAGCGTCGGCTTGGGGACTGAGGGGTCCCGGGTTCGATTCCGGTCAAGGGCATGTACCTTGGTTGCGGGCATATCCCCAGTGGGGGGTGTGCAGGAGGCAGCTGATCGATGACTCTCTCTCATCGATGTTTCTGACTCTCTATCTCTCTCCCTTCCTCTCTGTACAAAATCAATAAAATATATTAAAAAAAAAAAGAAGACTTGGAGGCTTGAAAAGAGCAGGAGGCAGTGGGTATGTCTGTGTGTATCAGTGTTCTGGGACCTCAGAAAATCAATGATCAATGAAAAACGCCTGCTGGCCAGAGGCCAGGGTCTGCTACCATGTTGCCTGAGGCCTTGGTCAATGGTGAGATTTGGTCAGCAGCTCACCAAATGTGCACTGTGAGATGCTAAAAGGAGGGGTTAGAAAATTGCAGGCAAAACACACTGAGCTGGGTGTTAGAATGCTGAAGGGCACTGGGAGTGTTTAAGAGAAAGATATAACTTGAAACAGTTTCTAAATCTCAGTTGTCCACAGAAACTATCACCCCCATATTATCTTTTAGCCAACCACTTTTTCAGGACTAATGCAAAGAACACACACGAGAGGACACAGGTGTTCACTCCGGGATAGGAAAACTGGGACCTGTTTCCATCCACACAGGCTTCCATGGAATTTCTCAACACCAGCCTAGCAACAGTCTTGGCGGACCTCATCCTCTGCTCTTAGATCAGAGTGTGTGTGTGTGTGTGTGTGTGTGTGTGTGGTGTGCGCGCGCGCGCGTGCATGAACAGTGTGTCCTTCAATCCTAGGTCTGAATGAGGTCCATCACATCCCTTGTATCCACGGGAATGGACTAGCAATCAAATAGGGTTGGCTTAGGCCTAAAGGAGTCCAGAAACAGTAAGTAGCTTTCACTTACCTGTGGGGAAAAGGTAATTGTAGCTAAGGAGGGCCATTCAAACCGAATCGCATTCACTTGGCTGTGGTTAGTGATTGTGAAGCTCACGTTATAGCTGTTTCCAATGTGGCAGTCCCCGAACTGAATGTGGTCCATCAGAGCAGCTAGGGAACAGAACCAGAAGGCTTGTGGGTCGCCTGGCCTCCTACCAGGACTCCTACCTAGCTGAGGCAGCATTGGAAAGACGACGTGTCTCATCCTCATGTAACCCCTCTCTCCCTGGATTGTTCTATTGGGAAAACTGAGTCCTGAGCAGTAAGCTTTCCTTCCTTGGGGAATCTACTTATCCATCCATTCGCCCATTCATCCACTCACCCACCCAACTTGGCCTTTACTTCCAAGAGAAAAGTGTCCCCATTCCATTTATTTGCTGAAACATTACTTCTAAAGGTTAGGGTTGCCAGATAAAATACAGGAGTCCCATTAAATTTGAATTATAGAATAATTGAATTACTATGAATAATTAAAAATATATTTTATTGATTTTTTTACAGAGAGGAAAGGAGAGGGATAGAGAGTTAGAAATATCGATGAGAGAGAAACATCGATCAGCTGCCTCTTGCACACTCCCTACTGGGGATTTTTTAGAAAATATATTTGTATTGACTTCAGAGAAAAAAGGAGAGGGAGAGAGAGAAAGAAACATCAATGATGAGACAGTCATTGATTGGCTACCTCCTACACGCCTCCCAAACCGTGACTTCCTGTTTCATAGGTTGATGCTCAACCACTGAGCCACTCCAGCCAGGTCTGAAATTCACATTTAATGGGGACTTCTACAGTCAGATTTTTCGCAATCCTCTTAGAAGTATAAAATTTGATTCCTGAACTAGGGCTTACTGCTAGCTCCTGCTTGACTTCTGAGAAGAGAGAAGCCACCCTGTAGCCACAAACAGGGGTGAGGTGTGCTGATTTTTACCCATGTCATGTAGATTGCGCAATGCTCCATTCTAGGACTATGATGAAGCTCCTAGAGAAACTATGAGACAGTATTGATATAACTCACTTCGTGGCAATTAGGCACACACGTAGGGTGCTTAGCAAATGCTTTCTGAGGGTAATGACCAAGTAAATTTTCTGAAGCATGTGGCTCTCAAGCTGCAGTTTGCCGACCCTTGGTCTAAGATCCGAGGTGCAGGTGAAACAGACAATGTCAACATGAGCCAGTTAAGGGATACAAACATAGGAAACTACAGAGAGACGTGTCTTCCGTTCTTAGCTAATCTGGAGTTTGAAGTTTGGTGATTAGCTAAATTTGAATTGGAATTCAAACGATAAGCCCCGTAAGGGCAGAGACTCTTACTACTCATCACAACTCCAGGGCTCAGCACAGTGCCTGGCACATGCACAGGGATGCCCCGTGAACGCCCCTCGAGGGAACACATGAATGCATGCAGTGACGGAGCCAGGCTTGGAAAGGGCATACAGTGACGAAGAGGAGAGTCAGTCTTAAATTCCCAGGAAGCTAGCTGACCTGTTATTTAAATTTCACTCTCATTTAAAATGACCCAAGAAAAAAAATCAATAAAAATATATTTAAAAAAAAAAATGACCCAAGAGCCAACAGTCGTCAACACCTCACTGTTGCTTCTCCCACCTGCCACCAAGCTTTCCATGGATCCGTCCTCCATGACCTCGGACGTGTCCAGGGGCTCCCCACCGGTGGACCTCACCAGCCCGTGGACGTTGTCCAAGGTGATGTCATCCTCGTAGCCTTCTCCCACCACGTGGATGACTGTGTCCTCGTACTGGTTGTTGATCACTGACAAGTGGATTTTGCCTGTCATCCTCCCAACATGTTGGGCTTGAAAAACCACATCAAATTCAGCTGTTTCTCCAGGAAGAACCACCAGGGAGGCCGTGTGAGCTTTCTTTGCTGCAAGGGGAAGAGAGAAGAATGCTTTAGGATTCGAGTAAAGGAAGACGCCATCCATCAAGACCCCAGACTCAAGGGAAAGTGTGGGCGTGAGCACTGCTGAGATTGGCCATCAGTGACAAGACATCCTGCTCTCCCTGGGTCCTGACCAGTGCCCCAGCGAAACAGTGACTGGGCCCCGCTGCTCCCTAGAAGCTCCTCTTCCTCAACTTACCTTTTGCATGGGGATTGTTTTCCTCTATGATGTAGATGTAGGAGGTCGTGGGCCTCCCTTTCAGGGAGAAGACTTCTAGTTGGTCCTGCAGGTCAACATGCAGCTGGAGAAGGAAAGCAGGATTGAGTGTTACACTGACAGGCTGCCCGTGGATTTTGAGTCTATGGTGAGATCAGCCAGCTAAGTAGTGTCAACATGGGTTTGCCACGACCTCTTGACAGAAGTGGTTGTAAAATATACTCTAGACCAGTGGTTGGCACACTCATTAGTCAACAGAGCCAAATATCATCATCAGTACAGCAATTGAAATTTCTTTTGAGAGCCAAATTTTTTAAAACTAAACTTCTTCTAATGCCGTTTATTCAAATAGGCTCGCCCAGGCCGTGGTATTTTGTGGAAGAGCCACACTCAAGGTCCCAGGTTTGATTCTGGTCAAGGGCTTGTACCTTGGTTGCAGCCACATAGCCAGTAGGGAGTGTGCAGGAGGCAGCTGACTGATGTTTCTTAATAAAATATATATTAAAAAAAAAAGTATTCTTTGGTCGATAGGAAAAGGATTTCAGATGTAAAGTTGGAGATGCAGGAATGAAAAGCAAAAACAAACAAACAAAAAACAAGAGAGAGATAATCATGTGGGTAGACCTAAAAGAGCCTTAACTGTATAAACAACAACAAAAACAATAATAGTAATAATGTCTTGTAGGGTTTACAAAATATACAGAATCTGAAGCCCTTGACAAGCTGTCCCCTTACTCTGCCTCCTGTGTTTATCTCCCTCTGCTCTCCTACCTGTACACTATGCCCTCATGAAGCTAGTGCTCACTAGCTCCTGCTTGTACCTTATGCTTTTTTTTCTTGTGTGACTTTGCATTTTCTTTTGCTACCTGGATGCACTCACTCACTGCCAAGCCCACCAACTAAAACCCAGTTACCTTCAATGCCACTCAGATGTCATTTGATAGTGAAATTTTCCTTGATCACCTAGATGGGATCGAGGTCATTTTCAAAAGTCCTACAGTCCTTCGCATAACCCTTACACAATTTAGCACTTTTTTAAAAAAAATAAAATTTTACAAAATTCAATGGCTGAACCAGAAGTCCCTACAGATGCTACATCTCCCACCCCTAATGAAGTTTCTTTTGTTTTCCTTTATTATAAATGCAATGTTCATTACGGAAAAAACAAAGATCACACAAAGAATACCCATAATCCCACCCACTAAGCTTCGTGTATATCACTGTACACAGCCTCACACAGTAATAGTTAGTGGACTTTGTAATCTGCTTTCTGACACTCCTTGAGGGTAGATTTACCTCTGCATGTCCTGTCTTACACAGGTTAATGGATGAGGAACATCAAATAAGTCCTCATACAAGAGGGATGGCAGGGACCTCAATGTCAGAAGTCTGTTTAAAAAAATATATATATTTCCTGATTTTTCGCAGAGAGGAAGAGAGAGGGATAGAGAGTTAGAAACACTAATGAGAGAGAAACATCGATTAGCTGCCTCCTGAACACCCCCCACTGGGGATGTGCCCACAACCAAGGTACATGCCCTTGACTGGAATTGAACCTGGAACCTTTCAGTCCGCAGGCCTACACTCCATCCACTGAGTCAAACCGGTTTCGGCAGAAGCCTGACCTCTGAAGGATTCTTCTCCCTTTCCACCCGGCGCTTCACCCCCGCCAAGCAGTACCTTGGCAGGGATATTGCCATTGTTCTTGAGGATGAGAGGGAGTTTCTCTGAATGGCCAAGAAGAAGCTTCTTAAAGAGGAGCAAGGGGTTTCCATATTGGTTTTGGAGAATTGGCCGCACAATGGTCACCCGAGGGAGGGTCCCCTCTCCCACGATATCAAACACGAGGCTTCGGTTTTTGGTCTGGAGGCTGCAGGGAACAGGGAGGTGGAGGCCCGTCAGCCCGGCATGGCAGGAGTGACATTCCACAGAGTGTGGCCTGCAGCCCCGCTGCAGGAGAGGTCGCTGGGGTGCTGGTACCTGGGCACGCCTTCCAAGGTAGCCTCGAAGATGCACTGGTACACCTGCATGGTCTGGGGGGTGAAGGTCACCGTGGCAAAGGCATTTGAACGACTGGCAATGCACACCTTGTTGGGTTCCACTTCGAAGATGTCAGTGATGCGGGCGACGATCTGGTGAAGGGGGGCAGGAACCCACACATGTGTTAGTTATGTGGCACTGATACAGGGCTTGCTGCTTATCTCTATTGCCCCTCAAGACTCTGGGGGAAACATGTTCCATTGCCTGCATAGCCATGCCCCTGGAAGGGGCAGTCTACAATAGATACTCTGGGACCCATCTTCCAGCAATAACTAAGTTTCCTTCCCCCCCCCCCCCCCGCCCCCGCAATGGATAGCCTGCAATTTAGGATGGGGAGAACATATTATGCTTGCAAACCCCCTCTTAGAAACTTATCTTTGTTTAGAAACCAGGCTTCCTCACCTTTTTATGTTTTTAGCACAAAAAATAGGAAGAGAGCTGCTCCTTTGTGTCCCAAATAAAGTCAGAGAATAATGACTGGATGTCACCGGGGCGTGATGGAAGTCCTAAGAGAAATGAGTCTCCCAAACCCTGTCCCTCTGTAGTGGGTGTCAGCCTCCTGGGGATGTAAACTCTATTGGGGCTCTAGGCCAGCTCTGGGGTGCCAGGACCACCTGGGCCAAGATTCTACTTTTGGGCAGAAAACTGAGCAGCTGAGGTAAGACCACAGCATCCGAAGCACTTCTGCTTGGAAATGAAGGGTGAGCGAAACCTACTGACTCAGCTCTCTTGGCATCCGGACTTTTCTATTCCACTGTGAAGAATATATAGAGAATCCCTCACAGCCTCCTGCTCCCTGTGGTCTGCCCAGTTCCCTCCTGCAACTTCCAGCAGGGCCAGAGTGCCAGATAATCCCCACTCATGTAGGCGGGCTCCGGAGCAGGGGCTTCCAAGGGTCCTCTCCCCGGCTTTCTGCCGACCGCGGTGGGCTGGGGCCGAGTGGGGCTGCTCACCTTGTTGGAGACAGGCTTGACCACAATGCTCACATCGCAGCTGATCTTCGCCATGTTGCTGATCTTGAACCGAGCCTTGGCCTGATGGCCCACCAGGACATTGCTGAATATGAACTTGTTCTCATCCTCCACAAACAGCCCCTGGCTCTCTGTGGTCTGCAGGATGTTGTACAGGTTGGCACTGTTGCAGATCTGGTGCTCCTCAAATATGGAGGCATTGTTTTCCGTAACGAAGGCTGGGGAGTGGAGGGAAGACTTAGACGCAGCCTGATAGCCCACTTCCTGCTTTCTTTAATTCCTCACTTGGAGGTTTGGATTTCAACAAAAGACAATCATAGGAGAGAGAGAGGGTGTGAGTGATGGAACATAGTCTAATTTCTTTGATACTGACCTTGTGGGTCGCCAGACCCCAACCACAGTTCCTCCCAATGGCAAGGAGGGGTAAGATCAGGGTCTGGGGTGGACTTAAGAAAGGAGGAGGCATTTGGCTCCCTTTGGATCGAAGGCTGCAGGGAGCCTCTAGCCAAAGCAAAAGCCCTCCCTGAGCTCCATTTGAGATCCACTGGGTTAAAGCTGCAGCATGCTCAGTCACGGACATTGTGCTCCGTGTGCGTGTTGTCCACCGGGAGTGACCTGGCCATGAACAGGCTGGCCATGAACAGACTTGTGCCGTATCCTATCGAACCATGATTCCCAGAGGACATTGGTCATCTGAGAATCCCAGACCCCACTCAGGAAGAGCAGGAGTTTAAAGCTGCATCTCCCCTTGTAAGTGTGCATGCCTTGTAAATCTTTAGGGAGAAATGTGGCTGAAGACACTAGAGGAAGTTCTAAGGCCCCGAAGGTAGCAGCCCAGCCATGCTTGCCCAACATGTGCATGGAGGAGGGGCTGTGATGGAGGAAGGTCTTTTAAGGGATGCGGTTCCATCTGAGTGCTCCGTACCTGGTACACAGGCTTCAGCCAACAGGCTGTAAGGAATGCCAGTAGGGTGGTCTCGGGGGTCTCGGTCGGAGATATCGATCGCCATAAACTCCTCACACCTTCCCACAGGGTCGGCCAGGCAGTCAACGGTGATGACCTGTTGTCCTCCAGCAGAGACGGTGCCAAACCCAGGGTACACGGTGAACATGCCATGGCAGTAGCGTGCTTGCTGGAAAGAGTGGGATTGTGGGAGGGGTGGAGGTAAGCAGGTGACAGAGACTCAGCCCTTCCACCAGAGCTGTGAGATGGTGTCAAGAGGGACTGTTGGGGGATCCCCCAGAGGCTTTCTCTGGGGCTCAGCTCTTCTCCCGGAGGGAGGGTCTGGGGGTTCTTCAGGGAGGGGATCTCTGTGCTTCCTACTCAGCAAAGTCTCAGAGGAAGCACAGAGATAACTCCTTTTGCTCTGACCAATCATGACCGAGTGGGGGTTTCGGGGGACAGACATGCTCCACATCCTACAGCACTGACCCAGGTGGGAATCTCCCCTCCATTCTATTGTTAAACCCCTTCTTCATGAAATTTTACATTTTGCTTTTTTTTTTTTTAATTCCAGAATTCCTATTTGGTTCTTCTTTATGGCTTCTCTTTCTCTGCGGAGACTTACTGTGTTTTCAATTGTCCCGAGCGTTTGTACTTGCTCACAGAAGCACTTTTACGTTGGCTGCTTCCACGTCTTTGTCAGAGAATCCTAACGTCTCTGTCATGCCAGTGCTGCCATATATGGCTTGACTATTTTCATCCGGTTTGAGATCTTCCTGGTTCTTGGGATGACAAGTGAGTTTCAGGTGAAACCTGGACCTTTTGGATGTTATATTACGAGACTCTGGATCTTACTGAACCCTCTTTGACCCGGCTTTCTCCGATGCCTCTTCGGCAGGGGGAAGAGGAGCACTGCCTCATCACTTCCAGGTGGGGGTGGTAGTTCAATTCCCCACTCAGACCGCTCATTTCTGCCAGGCACGGGTGGGGGTTCCAGCTCCCCACTAGTCCTCAACAGCTAGCTCCCTGGCAAGGCGGGGGGAAGGAATGCTTCCTTACTGTCCTATTGCTGCCTGGGCGGAAAGGTCCACTGAGGGTGGGGGAGAAATGTCTCACGACCGTCTCATTACCACTGGGTCCAGGTGAGACTCAAGGCTCCACGTGGTGTCTCCACTAGCAACGGGGAAGGAAGAGGAGAGTCTTGAAACTCCTGGCTACCCCCTGGGCGTTCTTGGGACACCACTCTAGCTGGGGGTTGGGCACCTCCTCATCACCTGGACGGGATGAACGTCTTCCCATTGTCCTTTGCTAGCCATGGTGGGGTAGGATCCTAGGTTTTGTCATGTTCAGCTGTCATTTGAAGTTCTCATTTGAAGTTTTCTGGTTTACCAGGCTGCTCTTGTCCTGGTTGTTTGGCCGGTGGGACTAGGCTTTTGTTGGGGCCCTTTTTTTTAATCTGTGCCTGGTGATGTTTCTGGGTTGCCAGCTCCTTCAGCATCCCGATGAGATATATGAGGCAAAAGGAAAACTCAGGGAACTCACCACCATGATGTTCATTGGGTCCCAAGGACCCTCTCTGATCTGATCTTTTTTTCTCTCCACCTGTTTTATACGTAATATCCAGGGATTTAGTTTGTACTTGGTTGGGAAGAGTAGGGAGAAGTATATCTAACTCCATCTTACCAGAAGCAGGTGTCTTTGAATCTCCTTTTATTTAAGCCAGTCTTATTGGGCTTCTGTTTCATATAAGCAAAAGATTGCTAAGTAAAATATATACCAAAGAGTTGAAATGTAATCGGAAGGCAATGAGGAGTCAAAGAAGGTTTTAAAACAAAAGAGGATATCTAAATGAAAGGCCATAATACCTTGTCTTAAAATGAAAGTGATATTTCAGTATCAGTAACATTCCTGCCACAATAGATTTCAAATCCTGCTATCCTGGGGAGGGGAGTATTTGAGCAAAGGAACAGTTGGAAGGTGGCCTTACAGGGTTTCTTTGGACAAGGGAAAGCCTTACCTGGCCAGAGATGTTTATTTCTTTCTGAACAGTTTCAGAGAACTTGGTTGCTCTAGAAGGGGCAATCTTGTAGGAGCTCTCGCTTTCCCGGGATCTTAAATGCCTCACGTGGCCGACTCTGATTAAAGAAACAAGAGTACAGCCTTAGGTTGGGATGGTGATGTCAAACACCACCTGTCTGTCTGCTTGCAGGGTCCCTTCTCCTAGGAATGGGGGAAGGGCCCTTTTTTGCCCAAGAGGACATTGGGGGTAGCATAGTCAGCATTCATCATTAGGCAAACTCATTTAACAACTGTGAGAAAATTATGCAGTAATTGTACTTGTTACATATGACTCATAAGGACATTGCAAATTATTCTGCAAGAGAATAATAGTTTTAAAATATTTACTTGAGTTCATTGGAAAGCAGTGTGTAGAAATTATTTCTAGACATCCAATCTTTTACCTGATGTCATTAAAAAAAAAAAAAAGAAATGGTCAATAGATTAAATTCTGGCTCTTTTTTCACATTTATAGTCATGATGTTTGCTTGTTTTTTTTTTTAATCCTCACTCAAGGATATTTCCCCCTCCCAATCCATCTCTAGAGAGAGTGGAAGGGAGGGAGGAGGGGGAGAGAGAAAGAGACACACATCGGCATGAGAGAGACACATCAATTGGTTGTCTCCTGCACATGCCCTACTAAGGCTGGGGAACCTGCAACCAGGTACAGTATTCTCCGGCGTATAAGACGACTTTCGAAACGAAAAAAAGTCAACCGAAAATCGGGGGCAAAAGACCAAAATTGCACAAAAATTACCTGCAGATCTTGACGGCAAAGTAAGTCTTTTCTTTGAAGTGGGGGGTAGTCTTATACAGCGAATATAGACCTAAACCTATGTTTTAACTGTAAAAATTAGGGGGTCGTCTTTTACGCCGGAAAATATGGTATATGCCCTTGATTAGGAATCAAGCCTTTGACACTTTGGTCTGAAGGCCAATGCTCTAACCACTGAGTCCAATTGGCCAGGACAGCCACGGTATTTTTAAGACGAAGCTCAAAGAATAGCACAAACACAAGTTTGGGTAACTGTTCACTTCACTTGAAGCTAGTTTACCCAACAATTAATTTTCTTAGCGGCTAGTTCCCCTAAAATATCCAAATGCATTTGAGGCGCAATTTTAACCTTTTGAGAGATTTATATATTTGAGCATTAATTTGTTTATTGACCAACTGAAGATAGAACAACTGAAGTTCTATCCTCTTTTGAGTATTTGCATAAATTTGTGCATGCTAAAGTGAAAAATAAACAAAAAACAATATAAAGAAACACATAATTGTATTATAATATCTATAAATAAATATTATTAAATTATTATAAAATAAGTAAAAAATTAGGTTGAAATTAAATGAGGAAGATAGAGACTTTCAACAGTTTACCAACAACAACAAAAAAATCTCTTAATACTTTGCCAAAATGAAAGAGGATATCCACAGAAGTGTAAAACAACTACAAACAATGTAAAGCTGTATGTTTGCCTGATTTAAACCAATTTATTAGAAAGTCAACTGTAAGTTAATGAATAAAACAATTTTAATTAATTAGAAAGTATGTGAAATCTGGAGTCAGAGATATGGGCTCACAATTGAAATCGACTGGTGTGATTTCTTGCATAATCTTGGACGAGTAGTTTTTTATTTTTAGAGAGAGGAAGGAAGAGGGATAGAGGAACATTGATCAGTTACCTCTTGCACGCCCCCTGCCTGACGGGATCAGAACCACAACCTGGGTATGTACTCGATAGGGAATTGAAGCAGCCACATTTTGGAGTATGGGATGATGCTCTACCCAACTGAGCTACCGGGCTAGAACGGACGAGTCATTTCTTAATGACCTCACTCACAACAGGGAATAAGGTGAATTTAGATAAAATACATGAACACGCATTGTAAAATATAAAGCACTACTTGACTGGGGAGTGGCATGAGTCAAGCAAATGGGTGTCTTACGTTTTCTTCTGAATGGTGCTCTCCCCTGTCATCCTGTAGAGGCTGTACTTGAAGTCAGTAATACCTTGATTTTCTATGGTGAAGGTGGTGCTTTTTCGAGTTCCACAGATCAGAGCCCCAAAGTTGATGATGGAGGAGGGGCTGATGCTGTATTTGGAGAACACTGCATTCATAGAACACCTAATTGGGATGCTGGCAATGATCTCAGTTCCGTCTGCCATACTGGGCTCAATGATCTAGAAAGGAAAGGAGGATTGGGAAGACATCAGCTATCGGCATAGCTCCAGAATTCCAATGACTGACTAATTCATTGCCTATTTTCCTCGTTGACATGAAGGCATGTTCCTTTCATTCTCTTTCTATTATTGCATCAACAATATTAGAAAATACTAATATAAAACTTACTACGAACTAGCCATGGACCATCTTAGACAAGCGATTTTCAACCTTTTTATAGACACTAATTACTAAAATTTTGCAGCACACCAAAAAATACATTTTTTTGCCAATCTGACAAAAAAAAAAATAGGTATAATTTTGATTAGTTTGCACCAGGTGGTTATTGTTATGTTGGCTGTTGTCATTTTTAAAGTTGATAGTCTAAGGGAAAAGAGGTCAGTGCCCCTGACTAAACAGTCAGGTGTTGCATGTTTTAAAAATTCCCGGGGCACACCCGTTGAAAATGGCTGACACAGACCAACTTTGCCTCCTGTTTTCACTTCCCCACGCCTCCTCTGCACTTGATGACTAACCTCGGCTTCCATGTCTCAGCAGCTCCCGAAAGACCAGGGCTCCGCATTGCCTTTCTGGCGCTCTCGATTCTGATGACTTTGCCTACCTCCCACCTTTCCTACCTGTACCTATGAGTTGGGGACCAAACCCTGGTGCATCCTCTCCGGTTGCCCCCCCAGGCCTTTGGAGCATGGGTAAGACCAGTGGTCAGCAAACCGTGGCTCTCGAGCCACAGGCGCTCAGGAGCCGCAGTTTGCCGCTCTGCTGACTAATGAGTCTGCCGACCACTGGACTAGACTAAATGTTACTGTGTTGGAAGCTGTGAGGATCACACAATTGTGGCATATTGTGTGCAAAGGGGTAAAGGGTAGCAGACAGTGGTCGGCAAACTTATTAGTCAACATAGCGGCAGATCGCAGCTCTTGAACTGCATTGCGGCTGGTGAGCCGCAGTTTGCCGACACCTGGGTTAGACCATGTGCTCTTCTTTCTGAGATGCATCTTACAACCCTGCCATTGAGCTCTCCCTTTGAGCTCTCTCACCTGACAGCGCAGGACCGGCTGCTGCTCTATCTTCACTTCCTTTTTTGCACGGAAGAACACCTGGACATTTGTGGGCTTATCGGTTGTGGTCAGTGAGCCCTTCCTGGGTTGGACTGAGATCATAGAATTTATATTGGTCGATGTAAGGCCTACGGAGTCCACAGAAAAGCTGAAAGATATGAATGAAAGTTAGTATAAGTCGTTACCAGGGAACCCAAGATACTAGAGAGCAAACTCTAGACTGTTAAGTGCCTGCCATGTCTCTGGCCCTGCTTAACTACTTTGCTTAGCAGTGTCCACTGTGTGTTGCACTCTGTGACCATCCATTCTTCGCCAGGATTGACCGGGCCAGTGAGTGATGCTTGAGGCAAAGATAGCCATCTCTAATCTGTGGTCAAGTGGTGCCCTTGCATGAAATCTCTGTCCAACAGGGAGACTTGATGCTGGATAAGGATCAACTAGATTAATTCATCTCCCTCCCTCCCTTTCTCTTTCCCTCCCCACCCCTGTTCCTCCCTTCCCTTTCTGAGACTGGATGCAGCACACACAGAAGGAACAGTGTGATGCAGAAGACAGGGGATCCAAGAAAGAAGAGAAAGCGGGGCCGAAACCGGTTTGGCTCAGTGGATAGAGCTTCAGCCTGTGGACTGAAAGGTCCCAGGTTCGATTCCGGTCAAGGGCATGTACCTTGGCTGCGGGCACATCCCCAGTGGGGGGTGTGCAAGAGGCAGCTGATCAATGATTCTCTCTCATCGATGCTTCTAACTCTCTATCCCTCTCTCTTCCTCTGTAAAAAAATCAATAAAATATATTAAAAAAGAAAAGAAAAGAAGGGACAGCAGGGGTGGGGTGGAAGGGGGGGGAGAGGGGAGGAGCAGAAGCCCTGTAAGAGAGGCCCTCAGAAAGGGTGGCTGTGGTCCCAGGGAGGTGAGCTGGGATACCACAGAGAGGAGCTGACTCATGAAAATGGCAGGGGATTGGGGAAGGAGCAAGGAACTTAAGCTGAGATGGGACACCTGGAGTTGCATGCCTTCCCCATGCCCCAGGGGGCCTGGTCACTCAATTGCTGCCTGCAGGTGCCTGAGCTCCCCCACCTCCCTGCACAATCCCCTCGTCTCCTGTTGGAACCAGAGGGTGATTCTTCCATGCGACCTGAAAGAGCAGAGCTAACACCCTGCACAATCTGAAACAAAACTCGCAGACATTAGTGCCTGAGTGCCAGTGGCTTTCTGTTAGGTCTGTTAAGCTTTTGTTTGTATTTATTTATTTCAATACACAGTTCTAACTAATGGTAGTATTGAAGTGGCACCTCTCTACTGTTCAGCATTTTCTGAGTTGAAATAAAATCATCATGAATACACTGAATTTCTTCCAAATTATCAACTGTGAATTCTTCTGGGGAAAGGATGGCTTTTCATAGAAATGGATTGGCCGTGGGTGCCGGCACTGCCACTGAGGTTTGTGTGACCCTGCCTGAGTGACCTCTTCCCTCGCCCCACCAAACACCACCGCTTCCTTTCTCAGGAAACTCCCTTAGGTAGTCTTCCATTAAAAAAAAAATTAAATTTATTGAGGTGACACTGGCTAATAAGACCATACATGTTTCAAATGTACAGTTCAATAAAACATCTTCTGCATATTGCTCTTGTGCACTCACCAGTCAAAGTCAAGTCTCTTCTTATACCTATTTATCCCACCTTTGCCCACTTTCCCCTCCCTGAATCCTCTTTTTCTCTGGCTATCATCATATATATTAATTTCAGAGAGAGAGAAAGAGAGAGAGAGAGAGAGAGAGAGAGAGAGAGAGAGAGAGAGAGAGGAAGACATTAATGATGAGAAAGAATCATTGATTGGCTGCCTCCTGCATGCCCCCTACTGGGGATGGAGCCAGCAACCTGAGTATGTGCCCTGACCAAGAATAGACTATGACCTCTTGGTTTATAGGTTGACACTCAACATCTGAGCCAAGCTGGCTGGGCTATCACCATATTTTAATCTTAAGAGATGAGCACCAGCTGGACCTCTAGTCCACCAGGATGTCATTGGGAATGTACACAAACAGTGCTTCTTAAAATTACAAAAGAAAATCGGAACACCTACCCACCTGAAATCTTACGTAGAATGCCAATTTATGAAACGGGAGCTGAAGAGGGCAGGACAGCTTGAGGCCAGGTTCGACATCTCTGTCTCTCCCTCCACCCCAGGCCCTCCTCCTCCCAGTATCTCCTATTTACACATTTCCCCCCTCAGGCCTCGTGGCTCTAGGTGCCTCCAGAGGACCCTTAAGGGTCTCCACAAAGTCGCAGAGTTGAGAAGAGTGTGAGAATCTCTGTTCTCTTAGGAGTTGGAATTCCCTTCATTGAAACCAGGAGAGGCTAAAAGCAGAGATGGTTCTTACGATTGCCCCAATCTTTTTTTTTTTAAATCTCCCAGACATATTTTTCTGCCCAGGATTGGACACAGATGGCCACATGCTGGATGGTTTCCAGGTTACCTGTACATGATCTCGTATTTCCCACGGTTCTTCAGTTGCAGGGGCTGCTTCACTTCCTCCATGACCCTCATGGTCCCAAAATCGAGGCCTCCTTCAGCTCCTGCAGAGGCCAGGGCCGGGATGGGGAAGTTAGTGGGCATGGGAACAAGAAGCAGGGGCCTTCCTATTGCAGGTCATGTGGAAAATCCATGCTTACAATTTCAGAGAATTTGTTTTCTGAAAACATCATCGCTAGAAAAGCTTTTGTAATTGCATCTTAGCAAACAACAGACACTGCTCTTGCACCCAATTCAATGAGGCAGCTCTCTCTGCTTCCATCCTAGGATCACAGTCCTTTGTATGTCTCCAGTAGCTAAATCTCCCAGTATTCAAACAATTTGTTTGCACCAAGCATATGCTGTACAGAGTTGAGATATTATATATAAATTTGTATTACTTTACTTAGCATTACTTCATAACAATTTCCACACATAATTAACAGCTTCTCATCAAAGTGACCTTTTGTTGTTGTTGTTGTTAATCCTCAGCCCAGGATATTTTTCCATTGATTTTTAGAGAGAGAGGAAGGGAGGCAGAGAGACACACAGAGAGAAATGTTGTTGTGAGAGAGACTCATCAATTGGTTGCCTCCCACATGTGCTCTGATCAACTGGGACCGGGGAACAGAGTCTGGAACCACGGTACATGCCCTTGAACATAAACTGAACCTGTGACCCTTCATTCTGTGGGCTGGCACCCTATGCACTGAGCCAAATTGGCCAGGGCATCCTCAATGTGATCTTAATGGGTGTACAATATATTATGATATGGCTCTTCCATAATGTACAGTACTATTCCTACAATAACAATATTCCATTATTGATAGAAACGTAGGTTATTTTCAATCTTCCATTGATATAAATAATGCTGTGGTAAATATCTTTGTACATAAGACTGCTGACATCTAGGCAAACATGTAGTTCTAACATTCTATGAATCTTGTTGAGGAGATCTATCAGAGAAAGGAGGGACGTAGAAAAGGGCATGGTCAAAGGATCTATCTAAGCTGGGTGATAGGGCCGTGTGGTGAGCAGAATCATGCCAATCCTGCCCCAAAGGGACCTGGGAATATGCTAGTTTAGATAGTAATGGGGAATTATGGTATCAGATGGAATTCAGGTTGTCGATCATTGGCCTTTAACATAAGGAGATTATCCTGGATTCTCTGAAGGACCCAATGTAATCATAAGAAACCTTAAAAGTGAAAGAGAGAGACAAACATGGGAGAACCAGAGACCCAGCAACTCGAGAAAGGCTTGACCCAACATTCCTGACTTTGAAGATGGAGGAAGGGGATCATGAGACAGGAAATGGGAGTGGCTTCTAGAAGCTGGAAAAGGCCAGGAGATGGATTCTTGCCCAGAGTTTCCAGAAAGGAACGCAGCCCTGCCAACACCGTAATTTTAATCCAGTGGCATTCACTTTGGATTTTCTGACCCACAGGACTGAAAGGATAAGAAATTTCTACTGTTTGAAGCCACCAACGTTGTGGGAATTGGTTATAGCAGTGATAGAAGACTAATACAGGCAGGAAGATGGTACCCACTCTCAGATGACTGTTCAGAAAAGATCTCTGCAAATGTTGGATCTACATGACCCCTCCCCCTGCTGTCCTTGCAAGTTGGACAAACAGATTCTAGTAATGTTGCTGACAGCATTCTGGGGTGTGCGTTACTATTAAAATTTACTGAAATTCTACCCCTCCTCCAAACCACTACCTATACCGTACCCAAAGATTCCTATCTCAGGAAATGTCACCCTCCACCCAGTATATTTCTTGTCACCCTCACAAGCACTACATTGCACCAAAAGATGTGACTGCTACGCACCTTTGGGGAAGGTGATGTCCAAGGCCATGTCATAGGACTCTGCAATGATCAGGATGTTTTCAATCTGAACAACTCCAACAAGATTGTCTGAGTCCAAGATCTGTTGGGATGAGAGAGAGTCTTCAGTAAAAGCAAGACCCACGAGGTGCTTAGAGCCTGAACTATGTAACATGCAGTGGGAATCATCAAGGGGATGTGATAGGAATATTTATTTTTTTAAAAAAATTCTATCCTATGGGTATGTCCTACAGGACAGAATTTTGTTTCTGCTTTTTCTTTTTTTCTTTCTTTCTTTTTTTAATCCTCACCTGAGGGTATTTTCCCATTGATTTTGGAGAGAGTGGAAGGGTGGGGGAGAGACACAGAAAAAGACACATCGATTAGCTGCCTCCCACACAAACCCCGCACTGAACATTTGGTAGGAGTAGTGTTCTTCATAGCACCCAATTGGAATACTGGTGTAGACCATCAATATAAGAATGGAAAAATGAGACCGAATTTTCTATCTTGCCCAATTACTGAGTTTAAATTATTTGCATGATTGTTGCAATATTGTTGAAGTTTGGGCTGTGAGTATACATGGCAGAAAAGTGTTCTTTAGAACTCTTAAGTAAAATAAACCTGAAGAGCATTCTTATGATAATGGAAATGGAAAACTTGTATATTCCTAATCATCCTTGCTCTACTAATTTGGTAAATCTGAATTGTTCTGTTCTTTGTTTCTGGCTCAATATGTGGGAAAAGTCCTTGATTTTATGTTTTTCTTTTGCAAATTCCAAGTGCCTTATTTACATGAACATTACTAGTTTTAAAGTCATAAATGTAAAAAACAAAAAACAAACCAAAAAAAAAAAAAAAAAAAGCAAAAGCAAGGCCCCAGCCTCCAGCTGCTCACTGTCCCTCTCTGTCGTCATCCCTGGGGGTAATTCCTCTATAACTGTCCCAAGAAACATCTGAACTGGTGTCAGCTCGACCCAACCATTGACTAGTGAGACTAGTGAGGGGGTGAGAACGGGTCCATTTGTCAAGGTGAAGGGCACTGGGTTGTGGGTACAGCTCTCCTGGATCTGCCTAGAGATCACCTGCTTCTCTGCCCAAGCTGCCAGTTGACAAATTGTCAGCACTCCCACATTACTGGTGCTTTGGGTGCCAAGAAGGAAACTTGTGAATATCACCAAATTCGAGTTTTAACTCAGGAGTTTCCATCTTTTTTTTCGCCAAGCACTCATTCACTCTGCATGGACTGAGTGCTCTTTTCTTAGCACTGGGAAATCCGCCATGAAGGAGACTGCCTTCAGGGAGCTTACAGAGTGTGCAGAGCAGATATTGTGGGTTGGCACTGTCAAACGGGATTAGATAAGAGTGTGTAACTGGGAGACCTGGCTTAGTGTGGGTTGGCAGTGTGAGGGTGTTGGTAGTGGGTGTGGTGTGTGTGTGTGTGGGCAGTGTGTGTGGAGGGTTGTATATGTATTTGTGTTGATAACGTGTGTGTATGTGTTGGTAGTGTGTGTTTGTGTTTGGGCAGTGTGTGTGGAGGGTTATGTATGTATTTGTGTTGCTAGTGTGTGTGTATGTGTTAGTGTGTGTGTGTGTGTCAGGGATCCCAACGTGGACACATTTTGACGACCACGTATGAAGATGGGTGAAGCCTCACCTCCAATCGAATTGGTTTCTTGATGCTGATGGGCTTGGAGGGTTGGAAGTGCACATACAGGCTATACTCAGCCTTGGGGGGGACGATGCCCTGTGGCAGGGACACGGAGAAGTCCTCGCCCAGGTGCTCCAGGCTGGTGATCCGCCAGGCCACGGGCAGGGCCGTGACGTTGTGGAGCAGAACTAGTTTGGATTCTTTTCTGAAGAGACCAAAAGACATTTTGTCAGTTTCAAATGATTTTTGATTTATGATGGCAGGGCAGAGGAAGTACTTCTGGTTATTTCAATGATAGCTTAGTTCACTAATCTGTATTGATCAAGGAATGAGGCCTGACAGTATCAACCAAAGAATGCAGCATCCATATCATAATAGCATTTCATCCATTCTGTCCCAGCAGCTCCAGAAAGAAACATTCTCTACTTAGAATCACAGATTCCAGGGAATGGATAGGGACGTCCTAGTTTTGATCTAATAGTCTCTGTTTGTGCTATAATCTCTAGGCTAAATATTCTTAAACTTTTAGGGTAATGGGGTGCTTTGAGAATTGGGAAAAAGCTAGTCTTTCTTCTGAGAAAAATGCAATGTGCTCCCACTTTGGTGGTTGGGTGTCTTAATGCTGCTGAAGTCTGGCAAAAAGGACTCCTAACCATCCTGATTTGCACAGGACCAGAAGTTTCCCATCATGCAGGACTTAGAGTGTTTAAAGCCTGGAAAGCCCTGAGCAAATCAAGATGAGTTGGCCACCCTAGAACTAAATACTCTCTCAATTCCATCCCACTCTGGTGGCATCGAGAACGCTGACCTGTGCAACAGAAGCCGGTCAAAATGCAATTGCCTGGGTTCCACATCCAGTTCTGGGCGGACCCCCTCACAGCTTAATTTGAAGATGGCTGGTTCTGGGTTCTCCTTGATGCAGCAGACTATGCTGTCTTCAAAGACCCCAACAGCAGTAGGGTAGGCCCACACGGTCAGCAACTAGTGGAAGAGGCAAAACAAAGGGCATTTACACTGAGGGGGAGGCCAAGGCCTCAAATTTCCCAAGAAAGTCTTGCCCTGGGTGGACTGGCTTCCATGGGGCTGTACCTGCTTCTCGTTGGGTTTGAGAATCATGTTCGTGGGTTCCAGGAAGTAGGTGTTTGCTTTGACATCATTCTGGAAACAGAAGAACACCTCCGTGACCAGTGGGGAATTGTTCAGGATTGTCAGTGTCTCCATGTTGCCTGGGAACAAAGATGACTTATACCTGGAAGTGAACAAAAAACGAGGGATAAATTAGGAATGTGGATGTGAGGATTGACTGAGATCTCAGATGGAAAAGGCAGTGGTGGGGATCAAGACAATTCCAAAGGACAGCATTGTTACATGGAGGCAGCCTGATCCCCGGCCCCCAAGTCTCGGTCTCCTCATCTCTAAGATGGGATGATGATACCTTTTAGGATTTCTGGGAGTATTAAATGAATTTGTGCAGCCAATGCTCTTAACACAGCAGCAGATATCAAATGCTCAAAAAAAAAAAAAAAAAAAAAAAAAAAAAAAAAGGTAGTTATCATGGTAAAGAATTCTAAGAAATATACAGCTCTATCCTTTCCAGGGCTTGTATTCCCAGAAGAGCTGATCATCTGAGTAATTTACTTCACATCTGTCTCAGAGATGACCTCATTCACTGCCTTTGGCACCCGCACAGGATGTTACTGTTCCGCCATGGACCCATTTGGTGATGTTGGCTGTTACAGGGCTGTTTGTTTCCTAGTACATTAGGATGAGAGCCACAGTCAAAGCAGCCTGAGCCCTGAAAGCTGCTCAACTCTTGGCGCTCGGAAAAGGAGCGGTGGGAAGCACAAGAAATGCCAGGAAAGGCACACATCATCAGAGAGCACAGCGTAGGCCAGGAAAGCAAGGTACCCTAGCACCCACTGGTGCCCAGAAACAGCCCGCAAAGCTTTGGGGACAGGCTATGGTGGAGGAAGGAGAGAGAGTGCATGGCAGAGACCAAACCAGAGTCAGAGAGACAACACTGTCACTATCTGTGGGACTGCCGGAGGGGTGGTGGCTTTCACAGCCACCCTCCAGCGCTGTGCTATGAGCCTCACGTGTGCAATCCAGGGCAGTCTTCATAAGTCTGTAAGGTGGGTGCTACTGTTTTCCCACTTTTGCAAATTAGGACGCGGAGGCTCAGTAAGGTTTAAAGAATAAACGGATTATACCTGGTTGCTCTGGTCCTTGTTTCTGGGCCAGTGTAATTGTCCTTCTCCTGGACCAGTGCTGTTTGGCCTCAAATCCTGTGTTCCAATTCCAGTGCTGCCCTGAACGGCCATGTTTTCCCTGATTCCCACCATCAGGCTTCTCTGTACCTCATGCCCATCCACCTGACTCACACTCCTCTCTCCCAAGCCCTTCTCCAGGGCCTTAAAGATCCTCTCTATCATCAGCAAACCTTCTTCACTTTCACTTCAGGAAACAAACTGGGGGATTAAGGGAATGGGGGAACAAAGATGGCTCTTTAGCTCCACCAGCAAAATAGAAATAAACCCTCTATACTTATCACAATGCATGCTAGATTGAATGATGACATGTTGAGACCTTGGTTTCAGTTTGGGTCTTACCTTCCTGCCTATAGAATAAGGAATTTGTCTATAACTGAAAAAAACTAATATCACCAAAAATGTATGATCATCAACCTTACCTGGGCCTTCAATTTTGCTGGGAATCTTAATCTATTTTTCTAATACGCTCTCTCACTTTCCACAAAATCTTTTTCTCACTTTCTCTATTTTCTCAACATTTTTAATTTCCCTCCACTTCCCTCGCTGGGGAAGTCCTTCCATCATTTCCCGTGGAGACAACAGACAGTTGCATGGGAACCTTCTCACTGTTCCAACCAAAATCTGTAAGCCTCCCTGCACCTGAAACGATCTCACCTCGTCCCTGCTTGTAATAGATGAAGGCCACTCTTCCTGGCAGAGCCAATATCTACGTATTCCATTGTGTTGTCTTGGGAGCTGACAGCCTGTACTTTATCTTGCAACTCCAACCTCTCCCTCCCTGCTTCCCCTTGGCATTCAAACATTGTAAGAACTACCGTGTATGAACAGCCCTCCCTGAACTCCATGCCTCCCTCCCATTTTCAATTCCCTTCACAGCTGAGCTTTCCCAAAGAGCTATCTTTACACCTAGCCTTCATTTTCTCACCCTCCACGGACTCCTCAAATCACTTCACTTGGGTTACATCTTCAGAAATTCCCCTCAAAAGGGCTCTTGCTAAAGCCCCTGGGGACTTCCATGTTGTTGAATCCTGTGGACATTGATGTCCTCATCTCTTTACCTTCTCTGCTATATTCAATTGTGGTCAATAATACCCTCCTCTTAAACAACAAGAAAGCCCACTGTGTGAGAGAATATATTTGCAAATGTTATCACTGATAAAGGTTTAATCTCCAACATCTACAGACAGCTTATACAACTAAATAAAAGGAAAATGAATGATCCAATTAAAAAATAGGCAATGGACCTAAATAGAATATTTTCAAAAGAAGACAGAAGGAAGGCCAAGAGGCACATGAAAACATGCTCAAAGTCACTAATTATCCAAGAGATGCAAATCAGAATAACAATGCGGTACCATCTCACACCTGTCAGAACGGCCAACATCAACAAATCAAGTCTTGGCGAGGTTGCAGAGAAAAAGGAACCCTCGTGCACTGCTGGTGGGAATGCAGACTGGTGCAACCACTGTGGAGAACAGTGTGGAGTTTCCTCAAAAAACTGAAAATGGAACTCCCATTTGACCCAGTAATCCCACTCCTAGGATTATATCCCAAGAAACTAGAAACACCAATCAGAAAGGATATATGCACCCCTATGTTCATAGCAGCACAATCTACAATAGCTAGGATTTGGAAACAGCCTAGGTGCCCGTCAGCAAATGATTGGATAAAAAAATTATGGTATATCTACACAGTGGAATACTATGCTGCCATAAAAAAGGAACTATCATCATTTGCAGCAACCTGGATGGAATTGGAGAACATCATGCTGAGTGAAATAAGCCAGTCAATGAAAGAGAAATAGCACATGACCTCACTTATTTATGGATAATAAAGAACATTATAAACTGATGAACCAAAAGATAGATATAGAGACAGTAAAGCAATAAGCAGACTGTCAAATTATAGCAGGGAGGGGAGGGAGATCTGGGGGAGATAAAAGATCAACTGAAGGACTTGTATACATGCATATAAGTACAACCAATGGACACAAAACTCTAGGGTATAAGAACTCAGTTCTCCTAATTTGTGGTTCAGGGACCAAGGCAGCATTTAATAAAAGTTATGTCTACAGAGAAACTCTGCTTGTACCATTCATGAGCCCAACCCAGGGGTCTAAAATCTGTCTTGACATAATGGCACACTTACTTATCTCTTGATTTTCCACAAAGCAGTGGCCCAAAGCAAAAGGTGTCCATGCTTATAATATACTTCTTAAAGACGATCTCATCTGTTTTCATGTCCATCTTCCGCTGAGGGAATACCACTCTGAACACAGGGGAGGAAGAGAAGAGGAGAGGCTGCTTGAGAGGAAGTTCAATGCCACCCCCTGATGTTTACATGAACCCAACACTCCCTGTTCAGCAAAGGGTCCAGGTGTCTGGAGACAGAAGACTCTTAACTTGAAGACTTTTGTTGAGCTTTTATTCCTTTTCCTTCCCTTCCCCTGGCCTGAGTGAAAATAGTGTAGTTTGAACTTGAAAAAAAAAAAAAAAAAAGATTCCTACTACTGTCTTTCATAACGAGGGGCTGATGATAGAATTGAGTTGGGTGAACTGTTCTAGATAGATTTCCCAGCTAGAAAAATTCTCAAGAATCCCATAGAAAACTAGTTCTTGTAGATATTAACTAGTTTCTCAGTTCCTTGTCCAACGTGGCTCCTTAATCAGAACTGCAAAAGGCCCTCTTGGTGGACAAGCTATAAAAGGCCCCTTCCTTAGGGGTGGGGAGGGTGCTTGCCCCACTAGCTTGCTCAGCCAGGTGCCTTTATGTGGTGCATAGGGGGCTCATAAAAAAGTTCACCCATCGAGATTCACACCTATCACAGCATAAAATATCTTATAGTAGATATAAAACCTGTTTGTTTGCTTAATAGTTGAATAAGCAAAGTAACTGGTCAAATATTAGCTTCATCTCAATCTCATGGTATCACATCATTCCTGTGGCTTAGTCAGTGTCCAAGACACTAAAGCCCAGTATAAAAGGGTCTGGGAGTCTGTCCCAGTTCCACCTTGGTATTAATATTAAGAGTCTCCGTGTTCAGCCCAGTCAGCATGGCTCAGTGGTTGAGCATTGACCTATCAACCAGGAGATCATGGTTTGATTCCCAGTCAGGGCACATGCCTAGGTTGCAGCTCGATCCCTGTGTTTAGTCATTTAGTTGTCCCTCACTAACCCTCCTGCCAGCCTGGTCATAGGCAGCCATCTTGTGAGGACGTGAGGGTCAATTTGCATATTAGCTCTTTATTATATAGGAAAGATACTCTGAGTGGCCAGATTATTATGTATTTAGAGATCATAATAATCTGGCCACTCAGTGTATCTTCCCTATATAATAAAGAGCTAATATGCAAATTGACCCTCACGTCCTCACAAGATGGCTGCCTATGACCAGGCTGGCAGGAGGGTTAGTGAGGGACAACTAAATGACTGAACAGCAGGCTGCATGGGGTAACCAGGCCAACAAGGGGGGGGGGGAGTTGTGGGAGACCATGCCAGCAGGGAGGACAGTTAGGGGCAACCAGGCTGGCAGGGTGGCAGTTAGGGGTGATCAGGTCAGCATGCAGAGGCAGTGAGGGGTGATCAGGTCAGTGGGGAGGGGAGGCAGTTAGGGGTGACCAGGCAGGCAGGCAGGTGAGCAATTAGGAGCCAGTGATCCAGGATTGTGAGAGGGAAGTTCGACTGGCAGTTGGATATCCCCCAAGGGGTTCTGGATTGGAGAGGGTGCAGGATTTCCCCCCCCCATCCCCTGCACAAATTTCATGCACTGGGCCTCTAGTATATATATATAAAAGGCTAAGTAACTGGCTGACCAGCCGACTGGCTAACCAGCTGGTAAGTATGATATGCACCGACCACCAGAGGGTAGACATTCAAAGCAGGAGCTGCCAAGCTACAGCAACTTTGCAGAATGCCCTCTCCCATTCTGGGACCCCTCGGGGGATGTCAGACTGCCAGTTTTGGCCTGATCCCTGGCAAGCCAGGCTGAGGGACCCAACCTGCTGGAGGGAATCCCACTCACTCTGCAGATGCCCTTTAAGCCCTGGTGCTGCCGCAGGGCATGTCCAGCCCGTCTCACCCAGTACCACCCAGCTGGCCAATTTCTAATTTCCTTTCAATGTGCATGAATCCATGCACTGGGCCTCTAACACACACACACACACACACACACACACACACACACACACACACACATGAGCTTCCCTGTTCAAAGTAGCATGAAGGAAAACTAAAATGCGTCTGTCAATCTTCTCTTTGAAAACAAAAGACACTTACCTTGGGTCTTGGCAAATGTAAGGATAAGCACAAATGCCACGGCAATAAAGCTGGTACTGGCGGCAAGTTCCAAGGATCTCAAAGTTGAACGTCTGGTCATAGTTCCCAAGATCGGTAGCAGAGAACTGCACTCTCAACGTGGTTTCGCCATTGGCCGGCACGATCCACCGGAAATGATTCAATCTGCAGACGAGCACATGGGCATTTCAAGCGAGAACGCTTCCTTTGCTGCCTGGGAGGAGCCCTGTCCTGCTGGGGTTCTGCAGGGCGGTCCGCAGGGCCCCCTAGGCAGAGGCGCCCTGTTCCCATCGGGTACCCTGACGGCTGCCCCCTCCCATGTGGGGCGTGGGCACGTCTCTCCCCGGCTGCGGCTGGCTGCTCGGAGGCCCACCTGATGAACTTTTCCTGGGAGTGCTGCCCAGACAAGTTGTTCTGGTCCATGTCCGACAGGGGGGAAACGGCTCCGGAAACGGCCCCAGCGATGCCCTTCCTGTTGAAGGCGATACGACGTTTGTCCTTCAGAGTATCGCGTACCTGGTCCGTTTTTTCTTTCTGTTTCTGTTTGTTCCCTTTAGACGAGGTGTTCGGCTCCTCCTGGAATTAAATTAGAAACGAGCACAAGGTCGTACATGCTCATCTTACTTACGTACGAACAGGAGACACGGATGCCTACAGCTGGTGGCTGCCTGGAGCAGGCCAGGGCACAGCCTCCCAAACGAGAGTAGAAGAGAAGTAGAGGAGAGAAGTCTAGAACTTGACCATTCCCCGAGGAGGCCAAGACCTAAAGGAAGCTTGACTCTGGCAGGGACTGGGTTCCTATATTGCATTTTGTTGTCTTTCTTTCGTATCTTTTTTTGTTTGTTTATCCTCACCTGAGGACATTTCCCCCCCGTTGTTTTCAGGAGAGAGAGAGAGTAGAAGGGTGGAAGGTACGGAGAAAGAGAGAAACATTGATGTGAGACACATGGATTGGCTGCCTCCCACATATGCCCGACGGGGGGGATGGGGAGTGAACCGGCAGCAGAGGCACCTGCCCTTCACCAAGAATCAGACCCACGACTCTTCAGTGAGAGGGCTGATGTTCCAACCACTGAGCGAAACTGGCCAAGGCTCTTTAGTATCTTTTAACGTAGATCGCTTGCCCTCTATAATAGCACTGATTTTTTTTGGAGATACCAGTTCTGTGTTCTTACAGGACATTCCATAGTTTGAAATTTCCTGACTGTTCTCAGAGTGACATCTAACTTATTCCTTTATTCCCTGTATTTTCTATAAACTGAAAATTAGGCTTAAAAGCTTGATTAGATTTATAGATGCTGTGTACATCACACTCCACCACAGTGGGGGACAAGTAATGCCAGGTTGGCCCCCCCGTGACGGACGCAAAGTGTGTTCGTGTGGCTGGAGTGGTGCCTGCCAGATGTGGCCACGATAGACGCTTTCCTCCAAAGCAGGCCAGTCACCTGTGGGATGACACGCCAGCTTCAGGGAGCATCTTGTTCCCCAACAAACTGCTGCTTTTTGTACCCACTGGAGCGCCTTGATCACCGCCCCCCCCACCCACCCACTGCAGATGACAGAATAGTACTTTTCTCATTCGATTCTTTCTACAATTTCAGCTGTCATTCTTCTAGAAAGAAGAGCTAGCCTTTGTCAACTGGAGGTAAACTAGACCACCTCCTAAAATGGTTAAGCTAAAGAATGCTCAGCTCTTTCCTGGTAATGACCAATTTTCAGAAAAGAAAAATTGAGGTTGGCAAGATTTCTTTATCTTTTCCCCTGGGGCTTTGCTCTAGGAAGCCCTGCCCAAGGCTTGCTGGTCGGCGCAGATGTTGGCCTCCTGCTTACTTATAAACTGAAGACGGGCACATTCTCTGCCGCCCCTGGAGCTGTAGGCAGGGCCTAAAGGTAAATCTATTTGCTGCTGATTTTATTTAGTCTTTGCTGATGTGCAAGGTTTGTAGGTGGTCATGTGAAGAGATTAAAATTTTGGCCCACCATACTCTTCTGGGAATAAAAAGGCCCTCCATAATTTTGAATATATCAATACATATCCCCTGCACATCATCAGTCCAATCTATTTTTTTCCTTTGTTATTTGTTTTAGTCATTGCGTACATCTTTTCTTCTACTTTTACATTATTTCATGTTGTTGCTTATATTTTTAATCCAGCTGGAATTAATTTTACTGCGTTGTATCGGGCAAGAAGAGAAAAGAGCCAATTTTCCCATCACAGTTTCTTCAATAATCGGTGTTTTCTCTAGTGGCGTGTGTTCCCTTAATCTGTGTCAGTCGATTCTTGTATTCTTATGCACTGTGTACAATACTTAGCTTCATCCATGCTCTATACTATCTTTTTAAAAGACTAGTGTTGCTTTCTTTTTTTCATGCAGGTGAGCTCCTGACTAATTTGACAAGTTCCCTAGACCAGTGGTCAACAAACTCATTAGTCAACAGAGCCAAATATCAACAGTTCAATGATTGAAATTTCTTTTGAGAGTCAATTTTTTAAAACTTAAACTTCTTCTAATGTCACTTTTTCAAAAGAGTACCAGGCCGTGGTATTCTGTGGAAGAGCCACACTCAAGGGGCCAAAGAGCCACACGTGGCTCTCGAGCCACAGTTTGCCTACCACTGCCCTAGACCATGCCTGGGGAATGGATAGGTTGGAAGGTGAACATCAATCGTTTTCAGCTTCCTCTTGGGAAGCGGGAAACATCAGACCCGGGGAGAGGCTGGTGCGGGGTCCTCGGCAGTATCCCCAGCAGGTGGAGGGGAAGCACCTGAGCGGGCAGGAGCCCAGCACCGCGCTCCACGGCTGGCCTGTGGAGGGAGACGGCCGAGGTCAGGACGCGCTGCTCGCTCTTTACCTTCACGGAGCTGGTGGTGGTGGTGGTCGTCGAGAGGTCTGCTTCTGATTCCGCCTCTCTTTTCTCCTCCAGCAGGGCCAGCTCTTCGGAGAGCGGAATTAGAAACATAAAATGCTTCATGATTTCCGTTGAGGCCAATGGCAGCCGCTTCAGAGGGTAGGAGATGAGTGAGAATAAGACCGGAGGCGGGATGGGCAGTCCAGAGGTACCCAAGCCCAAGTAGTCTAGGATCTAAAGGAAAAACCCAGTGTTAATTTGCTGCGCAGAAGGCGGGCTACCTCTCACCTCCTCCCCCAGAGGACAGGGCGGTTCAGACTTCCTAGTGTTTCGACGTAGAAAAAGTTTGTCCCTGGGCAAAAGGCAGTGATAACCTCTGCCAAAGGCTTTTGGTTATGCAATACTTTTTGTTTTTAGGAACATAAAAGCCGCCTAATAGTATAATTTCCGTTAGTGTGGGAAGCTTATGGGAAAAAGTTTTTTGAGCCTGTTGCTTCACCCCACACCTGCCCGCCTTGTGAGCATGTAACCCTGCAAGTGGCTTTTTATGAGGTTAGACGGAATAACTTTGATCTGTGGAACTTTATATATGGATTCTCTCCAGGCAGAAAAGGCCCTTTTAGCCATTCATATTTTATCTAGAGGGGAATCAGAGATGAAGGGAATTAAGGGGATGTAGATGTTAATGTAGAAAGAAGTTCCTTCATGACAATTAGCACAGTACCCACTTCCTGACTGGTTACATCTCCATCTTAGAGAAGGATCTGTACCAGTACCCGCTACCTGATTGGCTACATCTCCATCCTGGAGAAGGGTCTGTACCAGTCCCTGCTCCCTGATTGGTTACATCTCCATCCTGGAGAAGGGTCTGTGCCAGTACCTGCTCCCTGATTGGTTACATCTCCATCCTGGAGAAGGGTCTGTGCCAGTACCTGCTCCCTGATTGGTTACATCCCCATTCTGGAGAAGGGTCTGTACCTGCTCCACTTTGGGAAGCTTGTCATTCTCCAGGATTTGCTTCCACTTGGAGCCTTCAAGGTCGGGTGTCTGGATATTTATGAATGGCACACCCAGGTCCTTCTTCCCTTCGTGGTCCTCCTCCCGGTCCGCCTCTCCTCCATCTGGCTGCTCCTCCAGGGCCCGGAGCCTCTCCAGCCGCTCCCTCTCGGCCCTCTCCCGCTCCAGGCGCTCCCGCTCCAAGCGCTCCTTCTCAGCGCGCTCCCGCTCGCGGTCCTTGCGGCCTTTGCGCCCGCCCGATGGAACCTGGCGCTGGTCATCGGGCTCGTGGGCCAGCTCCTCAACCCCAACGTGAGGCACCTGGATGCCTTGCTTCCGGTCCCAGTACATGAGGATGTTCTGGATATCCTTCAGCGTCTGCTCGTAGGTCTTAAACTTCTGGGCCAGAGGCTTGTCGGCTTCCTTCTGGAGGTCCCCGTCGCTGTCCTCTTGTTCCTGGGCCAGGGAAAACCCAAGGATGTTGTTATCTACCCCTTGGTTCTTTTTCCTTTTGCTCTGCTCTTCCTTCTCAGCCGCTCCCTGGTCCTTCTCAGAAGCTTTTGCTTCTACCGATTCCATCTTGCCTTCTACTTTGGAAAAGGCAAGAGTCTAGAAGGCAAAACATGTAACATAGGCTTAAAACGGTTCTTTTGGGGAGAGCAAATCACAGAATCACACGAGAAAAGACCAAGAGGATGCTTTGTTCTGTAAAAAGTCCTCTCGGGGATTCCAGCCACTTACACACACTTGGACTTGTGCCTAAGAATCACCGTGGGGACCTTTATCAAAATGTCCATTCTGCGGTCCTCTCTCGGTACAGACCTACAGACCTGGGCACAGTGACTTCGGTATGCATTCTGGCTGAGGGCTGGCACTCTGCAGGATCGGCAGGAAAAAATAACCTCAGCGGAATGGCCCCTCTACTCCTGCTTCCGGGTGCCCTGTGTGAGGCACAGGTGTTGTGGTCACTGACTCTTGCTCACCTACGGGGACCAGCCGGCACCTTGTCTGGGAGCCTGGCTTTCCCTTCACTCTCAGAATTCACAGTGCTGAACGAGCCACTGTGCACCCCTCAGCCACGATGGCCACCTGGGCGCTGCTTGGGCTGCTCTGCCCCCTCCCCATCACAGTGGACATAGACGTGACCCCCGAGCTTGACAGGTTGAAAGGCTGATGGTCCTTGTTCTGCAAGGACAAGCTGATGCTGAACTTCTTCCTGGATTATTCTTGCCAAGGGCAAGCTCACTGACTTGGGAACTTACTGGAGGCAAATCTTTACTCCCAGCCTCTTTAGCGCTGTCCAGGGGACTTTAAGAGATAATGTGAAGAGCAAGGGCTGTGGTTAGACACAACTGGGTGAGATCTTGGAATGTTGACTTCTTCTCTCTCAACCTCAAAGGGGGTTCCTGTCTTTGAACCTCGGAGGGTGGGGGTCAGGATGCCAAAAATGACAGGATTACATGAAGCATAAGCCCATTGCTTGGCACACAACTATTGCTCCACAGATGTTGGTCCCTTTCCTCCTACTTTCTGCTCCATCATAAAACCCACCTAGTAGTATCGGGTCAGTTTTCTGGGGGGGGGGGGGGGGCGGAAACGTGCTGGACTGAAGGGCCAGCTACAATGGTTGGTCCCACTGCTTTCTCCTAGGGGAAGGAGCAAGAGAGGGCTGCTACCTGCCGGCTGGGCTGAGATTTCTTCAGGGATGATTCATCCTTTGCTGCCACTTGCTTTGTTTTTCTGGTCTTCTTTTTTTGCTCATCTTCTTCCTTCTGTCGCTCAAGCTCCTGTTGTAGCTTCTTTTCATGCAACTCCCTTGCCAACCTCTCCAGCTCCCTTTATGAAACCAGACAGAGAAAGCTGAGTTCAGAGGCCACCGGCTCGAGCTCCTTCCTGTCTGGGATTGCTGGGTGGGAGGTGAGGGGAGTAGCAGGATGGTAGGGGGTGGGAACCTGTGGTCGAGTTTTCTTGGGCATAAAAAGAAAAAAACACACACACACACACACACAAAACAATGAAAGCTCGGAAACTAGGAAGGGAGGAAGGAAAAGAGAAAGGAAAAAGGGAGGGAAAGATGGCTCACATCTATATTGAATGGTCTTTCAGCAAAACGGATGGACTGAAACGCAACTAAGAGTTCTCACTTAGGCCTGACTGGTGTGGCTCAGATCTATGCACCAGGAGGTCACAGTTCGATTCCTGGTAAGGTAACATGCCCGGGTTGTGGGCTCGATCTCCAGTCGGGGGCCTGTATGAGGCAATGACCGATGATTCTCTCTCACCATTGACGCTTCTATCTCTCCCTCTCTTTTCCTCTCTGAAATCAATAAAAATATATTAAAAAAAAAAAAAAGAGTTCTCACTTAATTTGTATTTCTATTCCAACATCCTTTCCTAGGAGAGCAAGGCAGTGGCTGAAAGTAGGCTTGATGTTTTAAAAGAAGCCCTCAAAGATGGTTCTGATATTAGTACAGTATCCCAGCTCCCTACACTGTCATCTTATGGTCAGAAAACAAGAAAAGGTGTTTTCAATAGCAGTCCCTACCATGGCTAGCTTGGCAGCACAACACTGGCTCTGACAGCCACATTCCTCTCCTCTTTCTTTTCCTTCCTGCTATGAATTCAGCTGTGCCTGCCCTGCTGCTAATGGCAGTGAGGGCACCAAGGCCAGGCACCAGTGTGAACACATGTGGAGGGAACAGCATCTCTAGCGTTACAAAACCCACCTATTTTCATCTCCGGGAGTCCCTGGTTGTTCTTTGTTGCTGTGGCTCTCCACCCACTGAAGCTGAATCATTACTGTGTGTGTATGTGAGTGCATGCGTGTGTGTGTGTGTGTGTGTGTGTGTGTGTGTGTGGCACATGACATACAGGTCATTGTTGAGCTCTGATGACCAGACATGCATTTTCTAAGTCTACTTTCAGATGAATGCCTGAAAGCAATGGCCTGGATGAGAAAAAAAGATTCCTTTGGAATTCCAGAATGAGGCTTTCAGACCCCTGGAAGACAGGCATTTTACAGTGGACCAAGCAGGGGAAGAACTGAGGGTCTCCTTGCAGGCTCTGTGGGGGTTAGTGGGAGGAGCCTGCGGGTGGAAGGAAAAGGCAGAAGGAAGGAGATAAAATTGCAGGCAAGCATCTTGGCTCTGCCCCCTCCAAAGCTGGCATCCTAGGGAGTGGTAGGAAATGGGACCCCCTTCCCCCAGCACATCTGAAGGCAACAAGGACATATATCTCACTGCCTGAAACAGCAGCCCTGCATCTGCTGGGCCCTAGGGGATGTGGAGGGGGTCCGGTCATTCCCATGTGGTCCCAAAGATGGGCCTAGAAAGGGCTGACAGCGCTGGCTGGGAGCACGCTCTGGTCTTTGTGAGCTACTCAGGCCGAGGATCAAGCTGGAGAAGCAGCCAGACCTCAGGGGATGGATGGCACCACCCGGGGCCAAGCTGATGGCCAGGGAAGGAGGAGAAATGGCCGAGTTCTGGGGAGCAACCACCATGCTCTCCCTCCCCTTCCCCCCCCGTGCAGAGAGTGGTCCCTGGTCACCTGTGCAGAGAGTGGTCCCTGGTCACCACACCTGGGGCACAGTGGTCTGGGGAGCCAATGGAAGCCCTAGGATAGCACTGGGGCCAAAAGCCCCTCCCCCATTACATGGCATAGCTTCACCCAGCCCCAGTGTCCCTGAGAGAGGAGGAGGGAGAGGAGAACGAAGAGGCCCTGCAAGGCAGGGTGTTTTCCTGCTCCCAGTAGGTCATTCTCCTGGTCCCTCGTGGCCATGGCTGCCACCCTGGAGGACGACCCTGGTCCCCGGGATGGGCTGTGGATCCCATGGGAGTTGTTCCCAGGGGAATGGGCCCGCTTGGGCTGGCCCTTGACTCTAACCTCTTCTTCCTCTCCCGCAGGGCCTGCTGAACCTCTCGATTGAACGCGATTTTCTCCTCCTCTGTCAAGGCATCATATTCTTCCTCATCCATGTTCTGGAGACGCTCCTTCTCTTTTTCGAGCGCCTCCTTCTGTTTCTGCTCTGTGCGGGGGGAACAGAGGCAGGAAGGGGAGGAAAGTCACACCCAGCTTGCGGCGGGGAGAGGTGGCTGGGGTGGCAGCAGCATGCCTAGTCCGTGGTGGGGCTTCCTCAGTCACACAGTTCCAAAACCAGTCTCCGTCTGTGGCCGGCTGAATAGCGGCCCCAAGGTGATGAGTTCCCCTGGGGTCAGCCATAGTTCCGGAGAAGATGAGTGGGAACAGTGAGATCCTGGGTGAAAGAGGGCCGTGCCTGTTGTGAGAAGAGTCAAGTCTACCCATGTCCTGATCCCCAGAGCCCACGCCTATGTCCCCCTGACGATGTAGGAAGGATGTGGCAGATGTGATGACGCTAAGGACCGTGGGTTGGAGAGGTTTTCCTGGATTATCTGAGTGAACCCAATACAATCACAAAGGGCTGGAGTCGGAGAAGGTGATGCGGTGATGAAGCAGAGGGAGAGTCGACGTGACAACAGAAACAAACGCCAGTGGGCTGTGAGGTAGGGATCATGAGCCAAGGAAACAGCAGGCCTCTAGGAAGTGGGAAAGGGAAGGGGGGGAAGGGATTCTCTCCTGGAGCCCATGAAGGAGCCCTGCTGACACCTAGATTTTAGGACTTCTGACCTCCAGACTGTGTAAGATAACACATCGGTATTGTTTTAAGTCACCCCATGTGTGGTAATGGGTTACAGCAGCGATAGGAAATATACCACCCACTGGCATCACCCTTTCTGAGCGTAGCCACTGAAGAGCTCAGGGCGACAGGACTCAGGATCGCCTTCCATGCCTGACGCTTCAGGTCCAGAGGGTGGTTCACACTCAGCACAAAGGTAGCTAGCTGGCTTCTCTAGCCGGCTTCTCGTTCACACGTCACTGGCATGCTAGTCACGCCTTACATTCTCGTTTTAGCTCTGGGCTCAGAGATTTGCATTTGAGTCCTTTTCCCAACACTTACCCAGGGACAGAAGCAGATAAGAGAAATAATTCCTCCTTTGTAGGGTGTTGTGGGCTCAAATAAGCAATCATGCAAAACCCAGTGCCTGGCATATTCATAAATGTTCATTAAGCATTAGATTTGGATATAATAATATTATTACATTTACTGTCTCAGGGCTTTTTCAAAATGCAACTGTGAAAAACTTCAATCCACAGACAACTGAGAAAGTGAAGAGAGGTGTTTTAAGTCGGTCCTCGTGGGGACATGAGCTTTCTGGAAAACGAGGAGCCTGGAGGTTGAAATCCTGCCTGGTCATTCTTCCTAACCATCTCTCTCTGAGTGAGAATGGAAGGAGGCAGTACGAGTTCTGTTTAAGAACTAAGAGAGCTCAGTGCTTGTGAATATTCCCTTCACTGGAAAAGCATTACGATTTGTGTGGATTGTTCTAGAAGAGAGAGGGAAGGCCACGAGGGGAAGGGCAGTGATAGGGATGGAGTGTGGGCCAGAGCAGGACTCTACCTCCCAGGGATAGTGCCACCTCCTCTCTTGGGGCCACAATTTGCTAGTTCTGCTTCTGACGAAATTGGGAACTTGTTCACTAATATTACTCTGTGTGCATGTGCCTGTTTATCAATCAGTAAAAATTATTTCCAAACTACTGGTGTAACAACAGGAAAAAAACAAAAAAAAGGAAAGGCCTTAGAGTTACACAGACCTTACCAACTTGGCATGTGATCTTACATAATATCTCTGAGCCTCATTTTCCTCATCTGTAAAATGGGAACAACAACACCATTTGAAGACCTCTAATATGTACTCAAGGTCTGCTGCACAGCCTGGTACACAGTAGGCTAAAATGTAGACTGTGTTCCGTAATGTTTAGCAGCACCTCTAGTTTTTACAGGAACTGCTAAAGCACAAACACAAACAAAAACCAACAAGCTAACCGTCCACCTGAGTCCAGATGGGACTTGTGGTGTGTTCCCCGGGGGTCAGGTGTAGTTCCGGAGAAGATGAGTGTGCACAGTGAGATCCTGGGTGGAAGAGGGCTGTGCCTCTTGTGAGAAGATCCAAGTCTACCCTTCCCTCTGTGATCTCTCCACAGGCCCTTTCTGCCTCAGTTTCCTCACACGCAAAGTGGACGAAATAAGAACTCCCAGACACCTTGTGAGGCAGAGGTGGGGCACCCACGAGATGGCAAATGTAATAGTTTCAGTGAAGCCCAGTGGGTCATCCTGCCAGGGAAGCTTTTACAAAAGGCAGATGCTTACAGGGGAAGGAAAGACTCGTGAGGGCCTGTGAGGGACAGCCCAGAAGGGTAGGGGCCTTGCCTTCTTGCTCCTTTTTGGCTTTCTCCTGGGCCTTCATGGCTGCGTAATCCTGGGCCATGTTGAGGACGTAGATGTGCTCCCGGTTGCCAATGGCCTTCAGCAGGCAGAGGAGAGCAAAGGCTGCGTTCCGAGCAAAGAGTGTCTCAAGGCCGTCAAACACCACTCCCAGGCTGCAGTCATTCAGCTGAAACCAGAGAGAACAGAGGCAGTTACCATGGCCACCGGGCCATCTGTTCTCTATAGAGCTGCTTGTTCTTCTGCCAGTGCTTTTACTGGAGCTGCAATTGCTTCTGCAAACCTGCTGAGCCCCGATGAAAGTACCATTCAGCTCCCTGTGAAACTCAAGGTGCTGTTATAAAATCAAAGAGGAAAGTAAAAATATTTGATCAGTCATGGAAGAGCTTCATCGTTGTACATACTTGAAGAGCAAAGGGTTTATGCTGTCTCTATGGAAACAAAGAAAACAAACTAAATGTTAAAGTGCTGGTCTGGGAAGACCCGGGAGACCCAGGGAAGGAAGATGCAAGGAAACATGTCCTCGTGTGCAGGGTCATAGGCAGCAAGGACAGAGGTAGCAGATGGGCCATTCTTAGTGGTATTACTGCCTTGCCGTGTAATGCTTTTGATACTATTAACCATTCAAGAATAGTCTCTTTGCATGGCAGTCTTACTCAAAGTGTAGCGCATACACTGGCTGCCACTGGCCAGGGACAGGTTACTACCAGTATTTGACGAGGCAAGAAATCTTGGGTCAGAATGTAAATCGATGACATCACTAAATACACGACTTAATTCAAGTCTGCATTTTTTCTTCTTCTTCTTTCTTTGTAGCAAGACCTTGTGGATGAAGGAAACCGTGCAGGCTCCATGTCTCAACAAAGATCAGTACTCTGAGGAGCACAGCTTTACTGGCTTCCTTTGGGCTTTCCCAGTGATTCACAACCTTTAATCTGGATTCATGAAATACCTGCACATGTATGTGACCTGCTTGTTCAAGTGAGTTGAGGGCGATGGTGCCTGGAACATAGCAGCCGTCCAAACATTACATAAGTAATTTCCAGGAACAACGTTCTTCCTCTGCTGGGAACCTCAAGTCTGATTTTATTATATTTAAACTAGAGGCCCGGCTCATGAAAATTCATGCACTGGAGGGGATGTCCCTCAGCCTGGCCTGCCCCCTCTCACAGTCCGGGAGCCCTCAGGGGTGGGAGGTGACCTGGCGATCAAGGGAAGGCAATACCCCATCACACCTCTGCTGCTGCCACTGCTGGCAGCACAAGCCTTGGCTGGCCCTGGTTACCTGAACCTCAGGTGGCCCTGGGAAGCTGGGCAGCCACCATCCGAGGCTTGCCTGTGCCTTGGGCTGGCCCTGAGTGGCTGGGGTGCTGAGGGGACTGAGTGCCGCCATCTTGTGGTGTGGCAGTCAATTAGCATATTCCCTCCTATTGGCTGTAGGTGCGGCCACCTTTGTGATGGTGTGAAGGTCAATTAACATATTATTACAATACCAGAGGCCCTATGCGTGAAATTGGTGCAAGAGTGAGCCTTCCTTCCCCTGGCTGCCAGCACCGGCTTCCCTTTGGCACCCGGATCTAGACTTCCCTGTAGCCCTGGTTTCGTCCAGAAGGTCATCCAAGATGTCCAGTCTAATTAGCATATTACACTTTTATTATTATAGACTAGGGGCCCAATGCACGAAATTCATGCAAGGGACTTGGCCCTCACAGCCCCGGCTTCCTCTGGAAGGTTGTCCAGATGGTCATTCTGCTATTCGGTCTAATTAGCATATTAACTCTTTATAATGTAGGATTATTGACTATATTCCATATGCTGTACTTTACACCCCTGTGACTATTTTTTGACTACTAATTGTAGTTCTTAATCCTTTCACTCAGCCCCCCAAGTCTCCCTCCCATCTGACAACCTTCAATTTGTTCTCTATTTTTAATGAGTCTCTTTCTGTTTTATTTATTTTATTCTTTAGATTCCACATATAGTGAAATCATATGGAACATAACCTGCTTTTCTCACTTAATAACATGTCAGAAGCAAATTTACAGCAATTAACATGTCTCCAAATTTTAATTCTGAACGGCTCCACCTTACAGTTTTAAAACCACCACTGAGGGTTGTGGTGTGACTCTTCTGATCACCGGTCCTTCAAAGTGAGTGGCTTCAGGCGGCAGACTGAGCCAGGGCCCGGGACTGACAGGACTGTCAAAAGGACACGTAAATGACGGGTGAGGGTGAGGAAACCCATCTTTCCTCTCCAGGGCCCGGGGTTCTACGCTGCTGTGGGTGATGAGGGCTCGGTCTCGGCTCGGCCTGGGAGAGGTGTGTGAGCCCTGCAGCTCCATGCACGAGTGTGGACGCACCTGTATGCGATCGGCCAGGATCTGAACAAGTATTTCCTCAGGGAGCACACAGCTGAGGAGGCCGGTCTCACCTCCGATGCTGGTGCTGACACTAATCTTTCGTGGTGTGGGCCCCGAGGGGAGAGGACTGGAGGAGATCTGTTGAGAGAAGGTTCAGAAGTTAGAACCCAGCTTGGTGTCCAAACAACTTCTACACATACAAGCCACGTGACCTCAGGAAAGTCATATCGTTTCTCTGGGCCTCGCTTCCTCATCTGTAAAACAGGATATTCCTATCTTCCTCAAAGAATTGCCACACACCTTGAGTGCGAACACCAATTGGAAGGTGCTTTGTGTATGTACTGAACAGCATCCATTTGTTCCTTCAATCAAATATTCTTTGAGGACCTACTATGCACCAGGGCCTCCTGCAGTACCAGGGACACAACAACACACAAGCCTGACAATGTTGCTGCCAGTCTGGTCCTTGCATTCAAGTGGCGGGGAGACAGAAAAGGGACAGATGAATATACAAATCAGTGATAATTTCACATAGTAATGAATGCCGAGGAGAAGATGATCAGGCAAGGGAATAAAAGGCAATGACAGGGTTGGACAATGGCTATTGAGAAAGGGTGGTCACATTACCCGGGTATGAGAGAATATGAAAGAACAAGACAAGATCCCACAAGAAGCATCTTTCTGAGAGGCGTCTTTCTCAAGTTTCCTCAACACTACTGCATGTGTGGGTATTTGGGGAGCACATGGGAGCCAAGTCCATTGGGAACTGAGTGAGCAATGGGAAAGGTGGTCAGGCGTAAAGTCAAAGACATAGGCAGGCCAGAATATGCAGGGCTTGTCAACTACGGTAAGAAATGTGAATGTTATTCCAAGTATTATGGGAAGTTGTTGGCATGTCTTAGGCAGACAAACGATTGGACTTTTATTTTTTTATTTAAATAAATGTGTTTTTAAAAAATTTATTTCAGGGAGAGGAAGGAAGAGGGAGAGAAGGGTAGAAACATCAATGATGAGAGAGAATCACTGAGTGGCAGCCTCCTGTATGCTCCCTACTGGGAATTGAGCCCGTGACCCCTAGCATGTGCCCTGATTGGGAATCAAACCATGACCTCTGGGTTAATAGGTTGACATCCAACCACTGAGTCACACTGGCCAGCTGGACTTTTATTTTTAAGAGAGCATTGTACCTGCTGCATGAGGTGACAAGAGTGGCAGCAGGAAGGCGAGTGGGTCATATAGCTCCATGATCAAGGCAGGAGATGATGGCAGCAGGATGCCCACAGTGGAGGTGGTAAGAAGTGGCTGATACAGGATATATTTTGGAATAGAGCCAATAGGATTTGAGACGAGACATGAAAGAAAGAGAGGCATCAAGAATGACTCCTTGATGACCTAAGCAAATTGAAAAATGGTGAAGTTATTTATTAAGAAAGAGAAGACTGAGGAAAAGACAAGTTATTGTTGTTATTATTATTATTATTATTATTATGTATTGTTTTGTTTTATTCTTTTTTGGGGGAGCAACAACCACTTTTTTCAACATATAAATTTTGAGATGCCTCTAAGCCATTTGGTAGAGATATTAAATGTGATTTGGGTATATGAACCTAAGCATGAGAAGAAATTAGGGCTAGAGATAGAAATTTGAGGGTCCTAAGCATAATGAAAATATTTAAGCATTTTAAAAGTTAAGAAAACATTGAAGTATATGAAGAAAATATTTAAGTATTTAACTAATGAACTGGAAGAGATTACCTATAAAGAAAAAGTAGATACAAAAAGTAAAAGAGTAATGACTTAGTCTTGGCCTACTCTGAAAAATCAGTTATCTGAAGATGTAGGAGTGGAGAGTCATTAATGAGGTAGAGGGAAAGTAGAAGAGTATGGTGTTTTGGAAACCAAGTGAAGAAAGCTTTTCTGGAGGAGGGGTTATCAGCTGCCAAGAGATCATGCAAGATGTACAGGGGAAATAAACAAATGGTCGAGAGAGGGGACCCCTGCAGGAATTTAGCTCTTGGGTGAGAGAGAAGGGATCGGGTCCACTTGCAGGGCCTTGGTTAAGAGCAGGGACAGTTGCTCAGCTGTATGGAAGGCATGGCATTGGCTTAGGATCAAGGCTGTCTGGTAGATTTGGTGGTGGGAGGATAAGGCATTGTCTTCTGGTTGTTGCTAAGATCCCTCATCTTCTGATCATTAGCTAGGAATGAGGAAGAGGCTTGGAGAGTGATGACAGCCAATAAAATAGTTATCTTGAAGAGATTGAGGGCAAATTTGCTAGGACAGACCAAAGGGTCGGCTTGAGATTTGGAGTCTTCAGCTTAAATTAAGACCATTCAGGAGAGATGTTCAGCTGTCCTGAAGGGAGGAGGTGGAGAATGGGGTTTACCAGGGCTAAAGTTTTGCTTGAAAAGTACTAAGAAGGGGAAGGGGCAAATTACCTTATATTATAGGCCATGTCTTCGTTATGTAACATATCATACATTTCTTCCCACTTGCAACTGATGACTGCAATTCATCAGAGAGCTCATGCTCGAGGAGAATGTTAGAAGACCAAATGGCCATCTCCATCTGGGTAGAGCGCTCTTACATGTGACTGCTGTCCAAACGGCTGGAGGCCTGTGCAGGCAGCCACATGTGGGGATCTGTGAGGTCTGGTTTCTATTGTGAACGTGGACAGGCTTTAAGTTCCCTGTTCAGTGAAAGGGGATTGAAGTCCGCATTGGGGTTTTCTGTTGCCTTTGGTATATTCCAAAAGGCCTTACATCACTGTTCAGATGGACCGAACCAAACCAAAGGAAATGGTTCCCCATGACACCCTATTAAATACAGAAAAATGGCTTTTGGTTCTTCCATACATACCTATGTAAAGAACATGTATTAGATATTGGGAAAGAGGGTTGAAAGGATGTTGTTTCAAAATAAATGGAATCAATGGTTTCAGTTTCCAAGGTGTTAAAAAAACAACAACATGTGACTAAAGTAAAGACCAGAGAGGTCACTTGGCACAAATTCAACCCTGGGTGATGCCCCATCTAACCATCTCCTGTCACACAAAGACCTTCGCCTCCAGTCCCTCCACTTGCCCCATCCAGTGCTCCACTACTCACATGCCCTCCATTTACCTGCCCCAGCCAATGTGCGGGCATCCTCTCTTATAAGGACCTTCATCTTCACTCTATCCACCTTAGCAATCTTCTCTAAAACGACCTCTCCCACCACCCCTACAGAACTCTACACTGTAACAAGACCTACACACCTTTCACCTTTCCTATGTCTCTCATTCTATTGTCCCCTTAGTTTCTTCCCTACCTAGGCTGTCTTCCCATATTGATGCCACTTTTAACTCCCTTGCCCCTTATTCTGAGCATACCCTGTCCTTGCAGTGATGAAAACGCCTCTCTCTGCCTCTGAATGGGGTGCTGCCGGGAGCCCCTTAGTGAAATCTGTGAACTGATGGCTTCCTGTCTGGCTGGGCCAACAGCATTCCAAACTACCTTTTCTTTTGTCCACCACCAACTTCCGGTTCTGTTCGTCACAGTGGACATACTGGTACTCAGCCACTCTCCTTAGGTTGCTCTGCAACCCGACCTCCTCGATATTTCTGGGAAAGACTCAGAGGCCTGCACACATCTTAGAGTTATCCAGTGAGACCTCCTCCAAATTCTGCTCTCCACCTTGCTTCTGCCACATGCAGCTCCATCTGGTTTTCCCCTTTACTAACTCTAGAAGAAGCTAGCTCCTGGCTTTTAAATTGTGTTTAATCCTGCCTTTTTTTTTTTTGTCTCCTTCTGGACCGGCATGCCCTCTTGGGTGGATCATCACCTTGTATTTTTCCTTCGTATATTTATAGACTTCCTTTCAAAAAAAGAACTCTCTTGACCCTGGGTTTGCCCCTCTGATAAACTCTTATCTTTCTTCAATTTCTTTCAAACATCTCAGAAACCTACCATCACTGGACTCTACTTTCTGAGTGACAGCTCGTCACACACTTGTCTGTCATGGTGCCATCCGTCTTTGCCTTCAGCACCTGCTATTCTCCTGAGATTGTTCTCAAAGTCCCTTGGCACATGGCTCCAACTCTCTGACTTTTTAATGACTTTCCAAGACTCCCTTGTAGGCATCCCACAACTTATATTAATGTGTTTTTTTTTTTTTTTTTTTTTAAATCTTTAGCATTCCTTTAGTATACCATTGAGCCATATCAAATTGCTATGGAGTTCCCAAATGGTTGAATATTGGCAATTTTATATGGTTTAACCTAATTCTTTTTATACAGCTATTTGTCACCAGTTTCTTTTTTAAAAAGATCCTCACTCAAGGAGTGAAGATATTTTCCCATGATTCTAGAGAGAGTGGAAGAGAGGAAGAAGGGAGAGAGAAGGGAGGAGGAAGAGAGAGAGTGGGAAACAGTGATGTGACAGAAACACATCGACTGGTTGCAAACACACTGATTGGTTGTCTCCCACACGTGCCCTGAGGGAGGATGGAGACCGGACTTGCACCCAGATACCTACCCTGGACCGGGAATTGAACCTGCAACTCTCCGGTGCACAGGCTGATGCTCTAATCACTGATCCTCACAGGTCAGGGAACCAATCTCATTTTATTGCAAACATTTGAAGGTGCGGTTCTTTCACTGGACCCTTAGTAGAGATCGAGTGCAGTGATTTTGCTTTCTTTGTCTTCACTTTGCCAGCATTCAGCCCAGTACCTATGCTATTATTGAACACCTGCTGGATGAACCTCCTTTCAAAAGGAGTGGTGCAGAGACAGTGCTCGGGCCTGCCTGGCAAAGGCACCCGTTGGATGAATTTGTGCTGACCTGGCTGCAGGATGCTGAAGACAAGGAGGAGAAAGAGAGGGAGAAGAAGGAAGGGGGGGAGGAGGAGAGAGAGGAGGAAAAGGAGGAAGGATCCCAGCCCTGTCTCTGGGCAGCCCTGGTTTGTACCTGCGGTGTTTCAGACACGTGCTGGTGATGCTGCTTCTGAGAGCCAGAGCCATGCTCTAACTTGTTTTTGGCGAGCAGCATGCTCCCACGTACGGACTTTGCAGATTTCACTTCGGGGTTTACCAGAGAGGTTTCCGACATTAACCTGCCCAGGGTCTCACTGCTCGTTCGTGACTGTCCTACGCCAACTTGACTCGAAGCAGTCTCCTGGACTACACAGAGAGAGTGGGTTTGTATGAAAAGTCACCTTAGGAGAAGAAGGAAATCGCAGTGGGGATGGCATACTGAGAGCAGGGAGGACTGGGTGACCGTGGTTCCATGGAGAGCCTGGCCTGGAGTTCCGGGCTTTTCCCTGCTCAGGCCCGTATTATCGCTCACTTTCTCTTCCAGTCCAGAGGGCAAGCATTTTGGAGACAGCCCTGCCTCGGGAGCCTAACACCTGCCCTTCTGTGGTCCTAGGCAGTGGTGATGTCAATGAGTGGCATGAGATGGCGCTGCCCAAATGAACCAGTAGGCTGAGTAACAACAGCGAGCCTGTTGGTAAGCATCGCTTTAACCTGAAAGTCTTCGTCTCACCTCTGCCATTCCTTCCAATCAGATCGCCATCCCTCCCAGGAAGTACCGCTGAGCTGTTCCCTTTCAGAACCAGTGGTCGATGTAATTATTTAAAAGGTTCCATGACAGCTGTTCAGAAAACTCCTGGCCCTCATAACCTCCCAACCACAGTGGCAAGGCCCCTGCGACCTGCTCTCCTGATTGCCCGCCCCTGACCCCCCACTCCACGTCTCAGCCTCACAACCCCTCCTGTAATGGCAGTGTTCCCCCAGGTCCCAGACTGCCCTGTCCATCCTTTCTTTGTGGAACTTCCCGGGCGGATTTCCTCTATTCCAGCTGCCGCACCTGCCACTTTGCGGAGGAAGACTCCCCAGTTATGCCCTTGGGTTGACATTCTGTTCTCAGACAGGGAGCTCAACTTCACGATATGTCACAGGACATGAACAGCTCCAAAGACCACAGAGTTTATTTGCCACAAAAGGAAACAAAAATCTAAGAGAACCAGAATTACAATATGATTCAGCTCGAGGTCCCCACTGGAGGGCAGCAGAATATGTCACCCCAACATATTACTCCAGGGGATTCAGGACATGCCGCCTCAAAACTGCTGCTTCGGGATTCTGATTCTTTTGGGCTGTGGGCAGCTGGAAACCGGCAAAGGCTCAGAGAGGCTTTCTCTGAACTTCCCTTACTTCCCTGCCTACAGTCAGGCAATGCAACAGGAACTCAACTGCCGCAAATCCGTTTCTGGGAGTTCCACCAACCGGGGAGGATGGGCTCTATCACGGGAGAGAAGGCTGGAGGCCAGCAGCAACCCGAACAAACAATCGCACCTCCCTCCATTGTTCCAAGCGTTCGGCCATCATTCCTGAAAGTCATTTGCTTTCACCTAAGAGGACTACGTTCCTCCTCTGCTTTCCTTATTAAGCGGGTAATTAATTCTGAATTCTAAAGCCACCTTTGAGTTACTCGTTTCCCCTCCCTCCCTCCCTCCTCCCCTCCCTTCCTCTCATGTATACAGGAAGTTTACATGCTAATGAACTCGTGTTTCCTCTTGTTAAGCTGTTTTTCCTATCACAGGAGTCTCAGCTGAGAACTCAGAGGGGTGGAGGGAAAATTATTCTTCCTTCCCTACAGGACTAAAGACAGGTTCCCTGGAGCAGGTGTTCTCCTGACCTGTTAAGATGACCCGACGCAGCCAGGATTCCCCGCCTCTGGAAGTCAGGCCATCCCAGGCCTCACTACCCAAAAACTCAGTTCTCTCTGGCAAACTTTCTCCTCCTCCTGCATCCCCTGTTCCCCTCTTCCGGGTGTCTGACCCTGTCTTGGTGTGAGGTCCTGAGCGCCTCCCACCCCTCAGTCCGCACTGCCTGCCGTGGCGGCAATCAGGCCAGCTTGCCCAGCCTCGCCACCTCACCTCCGGCTTCCTTTATGAGACGTGACAAGAGCTACTTGCTGGCCATTGCTCCCGCGGGGTGAAAAGCACCCAACTCTTTCCCTTCCGAGGACAATCCAAACTCCTCATCTTGGGCATCAGGTCAACGACCACAGGCCTCAGGTCCCCTCCCCGCCTCTCATTCACTGTCGGCGTCCCTGCTTTCTTTGTCTGGAGTGTCCTCGCCTTCATCGTGACCTGTCCACCTAGTTCTGCTCCTTCAAAGCCTGTTCCCATGAAAACTACCACCGATCATGCTTGTTGGCTCGCAACCTCCCCACACTGGCTCTTTCACAGAGCCGGCACGCCTGTCCCCCTCTTCTCCTCTGCTCTGTACGAGCACGTGTCTGCTCCTCGCCAGCTGTCACCCCCGAAGGTGTGGGCCACGAGCTGAGCCATTCACTGACCCGTTCCCTGAAGTGCCACGTGATGTGTGGGGAGGAGAGTTTTCCTCGGGGCTACTAAGGGAGCAGCACGTTATAGATTAGCGGTGGGAGAAAAGCTCAGTGAGGGGAACCGAGAAGATGGGGGTTACCAAGTGTGGGCGCTGGCCACCTGGCCACAGGAAGTCAGGGGAAGCGGCTCTCACCAGCCTCTTCGCCTTCCCGCATGGACTGCTCGATGGCCGCCCTGATGCAGAGCTCCCGGGCCCGGATCCCGGGGATGTTGATGCCGTCGGAGATGGCCTCCAGCACGATGGAGTCGATGTTCAAGCAGGCTGCGCCATAGTACTTGGCAATGCTCAAGGCCGTGGCCGTCTTCCCTATAAAAAAAGGTCGGGGGCTGAATGTCATTTCCTTAGTGTCCCTACACAGAAGCTTCTAGAACAGAGGCCCCTGTACAGCGATCTCTCCAGGTGCCCTGCCTCTGGGTCTCTGCTGTGCTCAGGGGTGGCAGCAGAAAGAGGAGGAAGATCCCGAGGCCCGAATCAGGCCCCGGGGATTCTGCTCCTGATTCTGCCGTCGATCGGCTGCGTACTTCGGCAAGCCACAGCTTCTCTCGGTCCTCTCCTCAATTTAAAAAGTGATTCTACCAGATCTTCAACAGTCTTGTAGCTCTTACTGTCTCTCATTCTAATAGAAAGACTTTTTGTTGTTGTTGTTGTTGTTTAAAGGATAACGCGTGTTGATTTTTTTTTTTCCTCTCTCTCATTTCAACATAGGTGCTTATTAAAAAGAAAGCAGAAAATTCAGAAATAACAGGCAGGGGAAAAGGAAAAAAAAAAAAAATCCATGATTTGCTCATCCAGAGAGATTATAGTTCACAGATGGTTGGTAAGTATGCATATGTAATTATTTTATTTTATTTCTCATAAAAAAAGAAGTGGGTTATGTGTCAGGCTGAATAATGGCCCCTCAAAGATGTCTACATCCTAATTCCTGGGACTTGTGAATGCTGCCTTAGACAGCGGTCGGCAAACTGCAGCTCACGAGCCACAAGCGGCTCTTTGGCCCCTTGAGTGTGATGGCTCTTCCACAAAATACCACGGCCTGGGCGAGTCTATTTTGAAGAAGTGGCGTTAGAAGAAGTTTAAGCTTAAAAAATTTGGCTCTCAAAAGAAATTTCAATCGTTGTCCTGTTGATATTTGGCTCTGTTGACTCATGAGTTTAGTCAACAGAGCCTTCGACAGTAGAGGGACTTTGCAGGTGTGATCAAGGCAAGGTGCTTGCTATGGGGAGATCCCCTGACTTATCTGGGTGACCAGGAAATAATCATAGGGTCCTTACAAGAGAAAAGCAGGAGGGTCAGAGTCAGAGCAGGTGAAAAGACGATGATAGCAAGGAGAGAGAGACTGGACGATGCTACGGCGCTGGCTTTGAAGATGGAGGAAGGGGCTGAGAGCCAAGGGAGGGAGGCAGCATTTCTAGAAGCCAGAAAAGGTGAGGAAACAGGTTCTCCCTTGGAGCCTCCGGAAGGAATGAACTGACGATTTTTGACTTCTGACCCTCAGAACTGTAAGAAAGCAAATTTGCATTTTTTTTTAAAGCCACTAAGTTTATTTGTTACAGTAGCAATAGGAAATGAATATAGACTCCAGATCATAAGTGTGACACTTTTTTTCTCACTTAAAACAATATATCGGCCGAAACTGGTTTGGCTCAGTGGATAGAGCATCGGCCTGTGGACTGAAGGGTCCTGGGTTCAATTCTCGGTCAAGGGCATGTACCTTGGTTGCGGGCACATCCCCAGTAGGGGGTGTGCAAGAGGCAGCTGATCGATGTTTCTCTCTCATCGATGTTTCTCACTCTCTATCCCTTTCTCTTCCTCTCTGTAAAAAAATCAATAAAATACATTAAAAAAACCCCCAATATATCATGAACATCTTTCAATTCATTCAATACACTTCTGTGGTACTGTGTGTGTGTGTGTGTGTGTGTTTTAATATACATACACAATTCACCACTTTTGAATGTATGGTTCAGTCGCATAAGTATGCTCACATTGTTGTGTAACCACCACTAGCATTTTTTCACCTTCCCAAGTGGAAACTCTGTATACCTTAAACAATAAGGCCCATTCATCAGTCCCACAGCCCCAGCAAACTACCACTCCACTTTTGGTTTCTATGAATTTGACTAGTCTAAGTAGCCCATATAACTAGAGTGATATAGTTATTGTCCTTTTGTCGATGGCTTATTTCACTTAGCACACTGTCTTCAAGATTCACTCCTGTTGTACTATGTATCAGAATTCTCCTCCTTTTAAAGGCTTAGTGCTATCCCACTGCACCACATTTTGTTTAGCTATTAATCTGTCAATGGACAATTCGGCTCTACCCACCTTATGGCTATTGTTAATAATGCTGCCACAAACATGGGTGCACAGACACTGTTTTTAATGGTAATAATAATTCGCTCTATGAATGTGCTATGGCTTAATTAACCAGTCTGCCATATTGAATGCTTAGATTGCTCCCATTTTTTTTTTTAAATGGTTAACAGTGCTGCAGTGAACTTTCACGCTGTTAATCTTTGTCCACGTCATTAATTAGTTTCCTAAGATAAAACTTTAGAAGCAATATTGCCAGGTCAAAGGGTTTGCACATATTTCCTCCCTTTATTTTTTAAATGATATAATGGAAAGATGACAAGTTCAAATAGTTCAGATGTACTAATTAAAAGTGAGGTGTCTCTGCTCTTTCTCTAATCTTGTATCTCTGAGGTTGGCAATTTAACAGTTTGGGGATAATCCTTTGATATATAAATTTCCAAACAAAACAAAACAAAACAAAACAAAACAAAACAAAACACCAAAAAACTCTTATGTCCTCAAAATGACACGGGCAGGCTTTTCCCCATAAAAGGGGCAACCCCTCTGAGCTGCACAGACCTGACACGGGCGTCCCATGGAGGATGATGGCAATGCCTTTCCGGTTCTTCAGGAGACCTTCCGTGGACACGTCGATGCCCAGGTAGCGAGCAATGGCCTTGGTCACTGGGTTGTTCTCCACTTCTCCGTCGTCCTCTGCCGAGTGGCTGTCGGTGCTCTGTAACTTCTCAGCTGCAAATTGAACATACACGTGCGGGTGTGCGCGTGTGCATGCTTGTGGGCGCACCCGGAGTCCCCCTGAGTTCTGAGGGACTTGGGGGTTACTCTTTCCTTTTAAATACTGTTCGCAATGAGAGCCAATGTGCTGCAGCCCTCATTCCCTCCTGCATTGTACGAGAGCGCCCTTTCTGGCTAATAATTTGCCCCCATGGCTACTAGGATTTGCAATTATAGATATTCCTTGACTCTTAATTCCATGTTTGGGAATCTCTTCTGCTGAAAAAAAAAAAATGATGTTGGAAACTAGCTGAGTTTGCAACATTAAGGGAAATGGCTAAATAAATGATGGCATAGTCATGTTAGAGAATCCATACACAGTCATGCTAGACGGTTTGGAAGATGCTCTTCATGGAGGAAGGTGAAAAGGCATCGAGCACTCTTCCCATTGCTGCTTAGAGAAAACTGGCCCCCAAACATTAAAATGTTAGCCCTGGCTGGTGTGGCTCGTTGGTTAGAACATTTCCCCCCTGTACGGAAAGGTCGCGGGTTCAATTCCTAGTCAGGGCACACACCTGGGTTGCAGGTTTGCTCGGGTCAGGGGCACATACTAGGCAACTGATCAATGTTCCTCACATTGATTTTTTCCCTCTCCCTCTCCCCCTCCCCCTCCCTCTCCCCCTCCCCCTCCCTCTCCCCCTCCCCCTCCTCCTCCTCCTCCCTCTTCTTCTTCCCCTCCCTCTCCCTCTCCCCCTCCCTCTCCCTTTCCTTCTCCCCCTCCCTCTCCCTCTCTTCCTTTCCTCCCTCTCTAAAATAAAAATAAAGTAAATGAAACAATTGGTTACTTTGAAACACCATTTTTTCCAGGCTGTCGTCATCCTCTTCATCATCTGGATTGATCTTGGCCTCCTCCCACTCCTCCAGGTCGGATGCCACAGACACCCCTCGGCTCAGTGAGGACCTTTTCTGGTTGGAGGGGGTTATCACCTCTGTGATGGGTATATCTTCGTCTTCTGCCAGGGAGCCGGGGGACAGGGGAGAGTGGGTGAGAAAGGAAGACGACAAAGAGGAGGATTGCTGGGCTGGTTACCCTCACCCTGGACCATCCAACGCAAATCAACAAGAACTGCAGTTTCTCTGCTCGGAGTGTTTCTGCATTTTAACATAAAGTGCCCCCCATAAAGTATTGCTCCAGAAAATTTGGGAAATTCAGAAAAGAAAAAAAAATATTTATAAAATTCAGTTTCCAAAAGAGAGATAGATGAAGAAATGGTGACAGAGGACTTGCAGCTGGATTTTGTGATACCAGTGCAGGCAGCTAGCGACCTCTCACACGGCTAATGTCTCAAAACCTATCTTGCACACACCAATCTGTAACCTGCTTCCCCTTGTACCTTGTCACGGCGGACATTTCTCCCCGTTGTTGTTAAGCATACTGACCCGGTCGGCCCAGCGTGCCCCTCACTGCCCATCCCACAGCGTTTCAGGGGGTGCACAGGAGGGGGGCGTACACATGGATGCCCACCCCCACCCGGGGCCAAGGCATCTTCTCTGTTGAGGATTTGCATTTGGGCCAGAGAGGGGGCAGCTCTCTTGTGAAGGCGGCCATGTGACCCGGGACCGTGGCCTTCCCTGGACGTGGTGTGCGAAGGGGAGCAGGATGGTCTATGGTGAGAGAGCAGAGCGAGCAGAGGCCTGGGAAGCACTGGTAAGAAGCAGAGTGCCACCTTCCCGGGCTCCTCGGTGGGCCAAGTGGGAAAAGGAACCCACAGCTGCGGAGGGTAACGGGCATGAGAGGGACAGGGCCCTCCCTGACTCCATGACGTCCTCTGTAGGTCACAGCCTCTCCGTTCTGTGTCCCGGCCACCGGGCAGCCCCCGAGCGGAAATGTCTTTCCCTCCACCCGCTTCCTGACGGTGATCTCTCGCAGGCAGGGGCTGTTTCATTGATCTTTCCCCACTCCCACTCAGGGCTTGCAACACGGCTTGTTTGCAGGGGCTTTAACTGGCTCCCCTGAAACTCATAATTGAAGTCCTAGCTCCCCAGAACCCCAGATGTGACTGTGGTTGAAGACAGGGCCTTCCAAGAGCAGAAAGTGTCCCTTCTGCGCACCCACACAGCGGGGAAAACAGGACCACGTGGTAAGGATTAGAAATACAATGCCTAAGGCACCTCGCCCTGGCCCAGGGACCATTGGGAGAAGCCAGGGCCGTGGCGGGAGCCGGCCCCTGAGGTGAGCTCTCACCGTTGTCCTGAGCCAGAGCCTCCAGGTACTTTGCCTTCATCTGCTCCTCCTTGGACTGCTTCATCTCCCGAAAGTACTCGTACACCTCGGGGGGCAGCTTCTCTCCGGGGACGCGGAGGGGCAGCAGCAGGGTGTTATAGGAGTCATAGCCCTTCAGCGACCTCAAGATCTGCGTGAGGACAGAGGGAAGTGCTGGTGGTGTCCCTGGAAGCTCCTCCCCACAGCCCTCCGTGGGGCTGCTCGCCCACCCATCAGGCCCCTGCGCCTGCCCGAAGCGGGTGCGTGCAGAGGGCAGGGTGCTTCGGGGCGTCTAAAAGGTTCGCTGAGCCCTGAACCTGGGGAGATGGATCTTTATTTTGCTCCATTTCAGCCTGGACATTGAACGTGTGGAAGAGAATTTCCTTCTTGTTTTTTAATTTGTTATTGTTGTTAATCTTCACCTAAGGATATTTTTCCCATTGATTTTTTTTAGAGAGTGGAAGGAAGGGGGAGAGACAGGGAGAGGGAAAAATTGATGTGAGAGAGATACATTGACTGGTTGCCTCCCACAGGCGCCCTTGAGCAGGGCTGGGGATCGAGCCTGCAACCTAGGTATAGGACCTTGACGGAAATTGAACCTGGGGCTCTTCAATCTACAGGCCAATGCTCTAACCACTGAGCAAAACTGGTGAAAGCTCTTCTTGTTTGGGTATTGTACTGATATCGTTGTAGTTTTCCATGGACAAAAGTACAGAACTCCTTTATCCACTTTGACAGATTCTTATAAAATATCATGCAGCATTATTATACTAAGTAAGGTGGTTTTCTCATAAATGGAGGATCCAGGGGGTAAACAAGTAAAATAGAATTAAGTATGCTATGTGTACACATGTCTGAGAGAGATAGAGATAGAGAGGAAGAGGGAAGAGGTAGAGAGGAAATGTGTATTAGGATTGTCAGAAGAAATATGGATGCCCAGTTAAATATGAATTTCAGATAAACAATGAACACATTTTTTAGTATAAATATGTCCAATATTGCTTATCTGAAATTCAAATTTAACTGGGAAAACTGTGTTGTTGTTTTTTCCCCCTGATAAATGTGGCAATTTTGGTGTATATGCATATTTGTAAAACAAAGTCCTAGAAAGCAATTACTTCCCATCTGACCCAATTTATCGCTGCTGGCAAGTAACTGGACACCTGGCTCCACTGGTATGAAAAAATCCGTCTCCAGGATCACCATTTTCAGTTGCTTGAAAACAGCGGTTAATAAGATCATTTAAATATATATATATATTGAAGAACAAAGGCCTAAGAATAGTTAGAGAATAAAGAAGATGGAGGAGAGAGGATCGTCATACCAGATATCAGGATTTACGAAGCTGGAGTGATAGATAGCATTGATGTTGGGATAGATAGATAAACTGACCAGTGAAATGGAAGAGAGTTTAGGACTGACATTCATAGATGGAGATTTGACATGGGACAGAGGTCAGTGTGGGAAGGAAGGGATATTCCAAAGACGGCTTGCCACGGAGACACTAAGCCTTGGCCAATGGCTTCAGTTGGGTAACTAAAGAGCCAGCTCCAGAGCTTCCCGGGGCATCAGATGAAGGCTCTGCTGCAGTCTCTCACAGCTGGTCTTTTTCTCGCCCAAGTGTACTTTCCTACTCTTTCCAGGAGTTTCCCCCAAGAGTGCTCCCCAATCAACCTTCTGTACGCAGACCGCAGAGTCTTAAATTCTGCTTTCCATTGAGCTTGGCCCACAACAGAGGATGCTGTGCCAACATAAGCCATTGAGCATTTTATAAATACCCCATGAAAAGGTAGCCATCAGAGGGACAGAGTCCCATTCTGAGGAAAACCTCTGGAGGCAGCATCTAAATTAGGTAAAGCATAAACACTGGATGTAAAGAAAGTATAAGATTCAAAGACCAAGTTGGGGGAGGGTCCCGAGGAAGCAGAGCCACCTTAGTTAGCTCAGCCAGTCCCAAATTCTTAACCCATGCAAAACATGAGATAACAGACATCCAAGTTGCTAAGCTTGGCGGTATTTTGTTGTGCAGTAATAAATAACTAATAAGAGTCAGATAGCTAAGCATCAGACTCCATGAACAGCAAAACTTCCTTAAAGTTAAAAATTTCTGCTCTGAAAAAGATATTAAGAGAATGAGAAAACAAACCACAGACTGGGAGAAAATATTGCAAAAGACACATCTGACAAAGGACTGTTATTTAAAAATATATATAAAAAAAATTCTTAAACGTCAACAATAAGAAAACAAACAACCTGATTAAAAAGAAGGCAAAAGACCTTAACAGATACCTCAGCAAAAAAGATGTACTGATGGCAAATAAGCATATGAGTGCATGCCCCATGTTATATGTCATCAGGGAAATGCAATTAAGACAGCAATGAGTACTACTACAGACCTAACAGAATGGCCAAGGTCCAAAACACTGACGACACCAAATGCTGGTGAGGATGAGGAGCAACAGGGACTCTCAATTATTGCTGTCAAGAATGCAAAATGGTACAAGCACTTTGGGTGACATGTTGGCTGTTTCTTAGAAACCTGAACGTATTCTTACGTATTGTGCTCCATGGTATTTAGCAAACGGAGTAAAAATTTTGTCTGCACAATATCCTGCACATGGGTGCTTACAGCAGCTTTATTCAAAATTGCCAAAAGTTGGAAGCAACCAAGATGTCCTTTAGTAGGTGAGTGGGTAAATAAATTGTAGTACATCCAGACAATGGAATGTTATTCAGTGACCAAAATAATTAGTTATCAAGCCACAAAATGACATGAAAGAAACTTAAGTGCATATTATTAAGTGAAAGAAGCCAAGTTGAAAAGGCTACATACTGATTATGACTATATGACATCTTGGAAAAGACCAAGTTATGGAGACAGTAAAAAAAACCAATGATTGCCAAGGGTTCACAGGAGGAGGAGATTAATAGGCTGAGCACAGGAGATTTTTAGAGCAGTGAAATTTCTCTATGTGATACTATAATGATGCATAACTGTCATTATACATCTAGTCCATAGCGCATATAACATCAAGAGTGAACTTGAATGTACTATAGATTCTGGGTGATTATCATGAGTCAATGCAGGTTCATCAATTGTAGCAAATGTACATTCTAGAAAGGGATATTGACAAAGAGGGAAGCTATGATGTGTAGGGGCAGGAGGATATTCCAATCTCTGTACCGTCCCCTCAATTTTAATATGTTAAAACTGCTCTAAAAAAACAAAGTTAAAAAAAAAAGAACATGAAGGAGCAACTAGAAATTATACAGCCCAGAACAAACAAAAAAAAAGTGGCATTTTTAGACGTCAACATAATTATATTAAATGTAAATGATCTAAATATACCAACTATGGACAGAGACTGTTGGAGTGTATTAAAAAAAACACCCACTTATATACTATCTACAAGAAACTCACTTCAGATACGACTGCTGCATATATTCTTCAGTGTTTGAATTTTAACCATTAGCATGTGTTAATTTTCCAACTGGTTGTTTAAACACATAATGAGATCACTAAGAGGTAATGGATTCTGCTCAGGGCAAGGGAAGTAGGTTAGAAAAGTCCACAAAGTGACCTTTAAATTGACAAGGAAGGGTTCAAAGGGAAGGAGAGGCAAAGGTCAGGGGGCAGTTGCCTTGGCAGAGAGAAGGGCACCAGCACATGGCAGGGCCCCGACGTGGGCAGGAAGTGGAGGATGGGCTTGGGCCTCTGCTCACCTTCTCCTCTACGAGATACTGCTGGTCAAATTCTAAGGAGTAAAACTCAATGGGGAAGTCACAGGGGTTCTTCACCACCACCTCGGCCTCGTCTCCGGGGGCGTAAGGCAGCAGTGGCCCCAGCTCCAGGATTAAAGGACTGAATTCCAAGCGCGGCTCTAAACCCTGCCCCTGTGCCAGCAGCGTAAGCTTCTGAGTACTACGGGCAAGCTGGAACGTCAGGGTTTGACTGTAGAATTTCTGGAAAACATAAAAACAAAACAAACATCTGATTTTCCCCCCCTGTTACACACCATGTGAAACTGAAAGCAACTAGAGTTGGGGGTGAGGGGAACAAAATTTAGATAAAGAGAGAAGTTCAGATGAAGAGAGAAAACTTTTCTTATGAAATAGCATGAGAGTAATTTCTGTTACAGGATGAATACTGCATATTGCATGCCAGGTGCTGTATCAATGCTTTATCACTTGGAGAAGGTTCTCTAAGTGCCTTGCTCATATCCCTCAGACGTCCAGGCTACTCAGATGTCCCACTGCTATGCTCTGTACCTCTGAGTCTGCACCCCTGGGCTCTCATTTCATGGGCCTGGCTACCCAGGGACAGGGTGGGGCAGAGTGACAGAGAGTAACACCTCCTGAGTTCGACCCTCAATCAGGGACTCTAAGGAGTTAGCTCCCTTGCTCCTGGGCAGGGGCAACTCTGAAATGTGCACTTTGCATATTTTCTAAGTGTTTCCAGTGGAATTGGGTTCCAGTCTCCAAGGTAGCCGAGTCACTCATACATCCTATTAGCTGCCTTCCTTTCCTTTACCATTTTTCTACGTTCTATCGGCATTCCCTACGCTTCTCAGATAATCTGTTCACATGAAAAAAATGTCTCTAGGGCCGAAACTGGTTTGGCTCAGTGGGTAGAGCGTCGGCCTGCGAACCAAAAGGTCCCAGGTTCGATCCTGGTCAAGGCATGTACCTTAGTTGTGGGTATATCCCCAGTGTGTAGGAGGCAGCTGATTGATGTTTCTAACTCTATCCCTCTCCCTTCCTCTCTGTTAAAAAAAAAAAATAAAATGTATTTTTAAAAATGTCTCCAGGCTTGTTTTCTGGAGAATCTGAAAGACTTTATTTTCATTTTTTGACCACAGAGTTAAGTCATGGGTAATCAGCTATGGAATTCACTTCATCTGATACAGTTAGGATCCAAGTACCATTCGGTAGTGATGCCACTGATTGTACTCTCGTTTCACTAAGGAACCTATTTAAAGATGTGGGATTCATGGGCCTCATCCCAAACTTCTATGTTTTAATTGCTTTTTATGGAAACATTGCAAAAACATCCCATTCATTTCCTTGTTTTCTAACGCGGAGTATTCTGAACACGTTATAATGTCTAGGAGTTGTGTGTATGGACATCGGTGATTTCTCTGCTGCTGATGCTGATGGAGGTATAGGTGTGGATTATATGGGCTGCAAGGCAAACCAATGACGTGTATATAGCTAATAAATTCCTCTCCCAATCAGTGGAAGCATTTTATTAACTCTGACCAATTCAATCTTTATGGAATTGCCTGAACAAAGATTTTTTAGAACTATATTTACTAACATTTCCCTTTCAATAAAACAACCAAAACCTTAAGTAGGCCCCTTGACAGTCTTAAGATTCTCTAACAATGAAAAACATATTAATTCTATTTTCTTTTAAAAAGGGTTGGGGATATTTTTATAATAATAGAAACAGGGATTTTATTTTATCTTGTTTTAATTTTTTGTTGTTGTTGTTAATCCTCACCCAAGGGTATTTTACCCCCCCCCCCCCCATTGTTTTTTAGAGGACGTGGAAGGGAGAGAGGGAGGAGGAGAGAGAAAGACACATCGATTGGTTGCTTCTTGCATGTACCCCGATGGGACCTGGGGATCAAACCTCCAATGCAGGTATATGCCCTTGACTGGGAATCGAACCTGTGACCCTTCAGTGCATGGGCCGACACTCTAACCATTGAGAACACTGGCCAGTCATAGAAACAGGGATTTTATTTCAGAATCAGATATGAAGTCATTCACTTTCTTTCTCACTGCAGATTCTTAAACATTTCCTCAAAGCCATTACCAGGAAAAACCATAGGTATTCTAAAAACTTGCATGCTTTTTTTTCTTTTAAAATAATTTTTTAAAAAGTCTCCCAAATGCCTTAAGCTTAGAACAAAAGTCTTCATAGTGTAACCTTTTGAAATCCTCTCTGGTTCTAAGTTTTTATTATTTTTACTGTGCTCTTTGTCAGAAGAAGCTTTGTGCTGTGGTATTCACGAATGAAACATTTCTGAGGCTCAGACAGTGTCCTCCAGGAGGTACTTATTATTATCAAAACTACTAATGATAATAATTAATAGTTATTGAGACACTTACTACATATAGAGCAGTACTGCTGTCCATTTTATTCACATTAATCCACTTATTCTACAACATGACCCTAGGAGGTAGCTATTGCAATTGATAATGTCTTATCTGAAACCCTGGGGACAGCCACATTCAAATTCAGAATTTCACAGAGAACAGGTACCCTATGATACCCAACAGCCCCAGCAGGGTCTGGGGCAGGTCCCCTGGAGTCAAACACATTAACATTTCTGCATTGCATTGTTAGACTCTGCTAACTAAGTGGGGTAAATAAAGGTTATGTAGTCTCATGACAGTTCAGATGAGGTTTTTCTGCCAAATGAGTTTGAGTCTGAAACTTATGAGATTTCCCCCAGTTTTTGGAGCTTATTTGGATTCAGAATTGCAATAAGGGATTATTATTATTATTTTTCATATTATCTATGAGGAAACTGAAGTTGAGCGAGGTTAAGAAATTTGCTCAAAGCCACACAGCCTCTAATTGCAGAGGCAGGGGGCCATTAACCCAGGCCTGCTGCGAAAGCCGATGTGTCAGGCAGATGTGCCGACTGCAGAGCAGGTGCTCTTAGCTTCAGGCCACACAGCTTCTACGTGAACGGAAGCATTGGCCATATCATAATCAGAACAGAAGGCACAGGTCGCTTAAAGCTTCCCTGGACACTCACTGGAGCCCCATGAAGCCTGGACTTTGAGTAAAACTCAGAGATTCAAAGTCTGAACGGAACCACATTTCTTTTCCGCTTACCTCTTCTTTGGGCATGAATCTTACTTGCACGTTGTACTTCTCACCAGGATCCAAGACCCCTGAAGTGGGCTGGATCTCAAAGATCCGTGTCTTTGGCTTGAATTCGGTATGTAGTTTCCGTCTTAAGTACTTTGGCATGTGTTTCTCCAGCTGGTTAATAAATATTAGGCAATTAGATAACCATCTCTGGAAAATGGACTTATTCCAGCCTCTACTCACTCCACCTGCTCAGTGCCTCCCAGGCATCAGGGAATGGGTAGGTACCAGGGGTACAAAGATGAATAAGACATTCACCAGACAGATGGCCTGATAGATGCTCAAGGGCTGAGCGAAGGAACTAGATTTTATTTAGGAGGCGATGGCTGTCACTCAGAGTCTGAGCAGGAGAGTGAAATGACGAGAATGAACGCCTAGAACATCTGGCTGAAGTGTAGACGGAAAAAGGGGATCAACGGGCCGCAACTCACTTACCTTGTTAAATGGCTTATGGATGACGACAAACCATTCACAGGGAACTTGAAGCTGATTGTAGAGCTGAATAGTTTCCACAAGGCACTGTCCACACTGAATTGTGGCAAACTCCACTTTTTCACAAGACAGTGTCATCGTGGGAATGGCCACGTGGACTTGCAGACAGATGTGAACGGTTGGCCCTCCAACCACCTAGAGCGGCCGTAAAATTGTGTTAACGTAGCACGTGGCACAGGGTCAGGGGTTGGGGGTGGTGGGGAGAGAATCATGACTCTCAAAGAGTAACTGGATCACCCCAGGGGTGATCGACCAGCAGAGGTGGGAGCTGGGAAGGCTCAGCTGGCCCCAGCGGTGCATCTTACTTTGATGGGCAGAAGGGCTTCTTTGTTTCCAACAAAATTATTGGTCCCTTGCGAGTCAAATCTCATTTCAAATGATTCCGTTTCGCAGTAAGGCAGATGCTTTACACGATCCAGCTCAGTACTAAAGCCTGGACCAAGACAGACAACATTTCTTTGTGGGAAAGAGAAATAGCAAGCAAGAGCTGCTTTAGTTAGAAGCCCCTCTGTGCAGGATAACCATCCAAAGACCCAATTAACGACCCAACAGTTCTTTCCGCTGACCCCAGAGGAAACACACATTCTTCTCCAGAAAGAAAGGACAGATGGATTGTTGTTGAATGGCAAGGGGCAGTGGGAAAGGTCTTCCCGGCCTGGTTACCTGTGTCATGAAGGACACGCTTCTCTGCGTGGAAGGACACTGGGATGTGACTGGTGTTGGTGATCTTGACGATGTGGGATCGGGTGTCACCAAGGATGATGTGGCCAAAGTCTAGGATATACTCTGGCAGCTGGATCCTGAAATGAGTAACAAGCTCTCCTTACCAGTCACTCTTCCAAAAGCGAGGGAGCGTGGGGCTCTCTCCCGTCTCCTGTGCACAATGCTATACTCTGGAGTTGGGAACAAGGAATGGCCCCAGAGGGGAGACCAGGTACCAGCTACATCTTCCCTCATCAGAGCCCACACTGTTGCTTCAGCCGTGACCTCAAAACACCTTCAACGTGGGCTCTCATGACCCTGAACCTGGGCCTGTCCGTCAGACAAACCCAGCGGGTTCCTGCCTGGTTAGCTGGAAGCTAAAGGATAGCAGATGCATGATGGGAGGGGATTACACTCCTGCATGACCAACCATCATGCCAGGGAGCACTCTGCTGGGCGGCAGTGCTTGCTCCACTATACCCTGAAACAAACAACACGGAAGAGCACTCACTTGGCTAGTCTATGGCGACCCCGATGGCCGACTTCGTCCAGGGGATCGTAGATGACTGTTTTCTGATGTTCCATGGTATAGTTTTGGACTATTAGTCGCTCTACTTCCATCTGGAGCTGGGCACTCACCTGGAGCAATGGAGAAGAGCAAAGGAGCAAACTTTCCCAGAACGTTCATTCTCAGTGTGGGCACTATCACCCCTCAGGGTGATAGGCAGTCTATTGTGATATTAACATTTTCACGGGGGTAGGTGGAGTAGGTAAGTAGCACAGCTATAGCATGAGTAGTCTCAGCTATAAAAAGGGATGAACTACTCATATTGATGGATCTCAAAGGCATCATGCTGAATGAAAAAAAGCCAACCTCAAAGATTATATACTGTGTGATTCCATTTACACAACATTCTTGAAATAACAAAAGTATAGAATAGGTGAAGAACAGATTAGTGGTTGCTAGGGCAACAGATGGAGAGATTTAGGATAGGTGTAGGATGTCAGAGCAAATAAAATAAAAAAGAAGGGAAGCGACTTCTTCCCACTCCCTCTTCTTCTTCTTCTTTTTTAAAAAAATATTTTATTGACTTTTACAAAGAGGGAGAGGGGTAGAGAGTTAGAAACACTGATCAGCTGCTTCCTGCACACCCCCTACTGAGGCTATGCCCACAACCAAGGTACACGCCTTGACGGAATCTAACCTGGGAACTTTCAGTCCACAGGCCGACTCTCTATCCACTGAGCCAAACCAGTCAGGGCTACCCAGTCCCTCTTCTTAGAGCATTCACTTAGAACTTGTTACTTTTTTCTCTGCCTCTTTGAAATGTATGTAAATCTTCCTGAGGGCCATATAAGCTTTTGTCAGCTTTACAACTCAAAGTGCCTTTCTTAAGGATCTGGGACTGTTTCTTGATGTGATCATCAAGGATAATGGAGTCCCTACCGCCCAGTTTTTTTTTTAAATATATATATTTTATTGATTTCAGACAGGAAGGGAGAGGGAGAGAGAGAGAGAGAGACACCAATGATGAGAGAAAACCATTGATAGGCTGCCTCCTGCATGCACCCTATTGAGGATTTAGCAAGGTGGGCATGTGCCCTTGACTGGAATTGAACCTGGGACCCTTCAGTCCGCAGGCTGATGCTCTATCCACTGAGCCAGACAAGCTAGGGCTCTACTGCCTGGTTTCTGTGGGAGCCTAAAGTCAGAGGGCCCTGTCATAAAAACACAAGAAGTTTGGTTTCCTTTGGATAAAGTCAATTAGCTAACACAGATGGTCACTCCAATCACCATGTGATTTTAGAACGAACTATGTGTGACAAATGGTGCTGCCAAGTCTGCTCATGAGGATGAGTGATAGCTCTTACTCTGGGATTAGTTACTGCCTCACTTGAAAATATTTATGCATCTGCTCAGCTGTATATAAGAGGCCAAGCCTTCTTCCTGTCATGGCAATCCCACTTCCTTAGTAAACAGTCCCAGATCCTTAGTAAACTGCCTGTGACACAGGTCTCATTCTGGTTTCATAATAATTTTTTTTTTTCCCATTTATCTTTGTGGAGAGATTTTTCTGGCTTGGAAGGAGATTTTGTGTAATTCTGTTTCCCCAACAAGCACAAGGATCCTTGTGGTGAAGGAGCTGTTCTGTTTCTTAACGGTGGTGGTGGTTTACACATATCTACACATGAAAAACTCACAAAGGAGCACCCCTCACCCCCACATGCCAGAGCACATGAAGTTGATGCATGATCTCCGCAGCATGTACCAATGTCGATCTCCTGGTGTTGATGTTGTACTATAGTTATGGAAGATGCTGCCAATGGGAAAAATATTTTTCACAACTTCCTGTGAATAATTATTTCAAAATAAAAATCAAAACATTTAATGCCCAAACCATTCAAAGAGATTATGTTTTACATATAATGCATGTATTTCATAGGGTATCACTCAACACACTTCCTGGGAAACTCCCTATCTCCTGTGATCACAGTGACCATCTGATAACTCTCCAATCACTTTCTCCAACTTCTCTCTCCCCCCCCAGGTGCATAGCAATGGTTCCAGCTCCCTATCGGGCGCCTCTTTGTGGAGGATGCACAGAAATCTCAGGTGTAATAATGGGACCATTTGAATTCATCTCCCTTCCTCCTCTTCCACCCAAAACTTGTTTCTCATCCCGAGTTTCTTATCTGCGTGTCCCCTCCTTATTTTGTCATACAAGCAAATCACTTACAAGTTACCTCCTCTTCACTCCAACATGTGCTCAATCCATGACCAACCTACCTCCAAACTATTTCTTGAATTCACCCAATTCTCCCTACTTTCCGGGCCATCATCTGATATCTAGAATGACTCCGGCAGATTTAAAATAAAAGATGCAAAATACGATTATGTACGGACCCCATTGAAACTCAGCGCCTTCTTCCTGTGGCCCTCAGGATAAAGTTCACAACCCTCAATAGGTGCAACAGCGGGCTGCTCATCTCTTCAGGCTCATCTTGGTTCCCTTTCCTCACCTCATCTCTGCTATACCTCTTCCTCCTTTCCATGTTCTTTCTGCCCCTGGATCTTTGCACATACGGCCCTTATGCCACATACATGCGGTGCAAGGACTAAGGCTAGTCTTACCATAGGCTCATCCTCAGGAATTTCCTCAATGATCTCTGTGTGACTAAATGTTTCGTATTTGTCTAACTCATTTTTTAGGTTTTCTCTGGCCTGATTCAAGAAGAATTCGTACTTTTCATTCCCTGTGGGGATTGGGAGGAGAAGAAAAGCAGGATGGTTAGAAATATGTGAATTATGTCCCAAACACAGACCCTTAGCTCAGGTTAAATAAAGTGAGAAGAGAAATGAACGTTTTTGGTGCCTCTGTTTTCTTTGCTTTAGAGGATGAGGTCATGTATGAGCGAGCTGAATTTGTACCAGAGACATCACTGCGTTTAATGAGATGATGCTTTAGTACCAGCTGGTTCTCAAGAAGCGGGTGGCGGTAACATCCTAAGCCAATCTTAGGTTGACTGTCTGGGTCCCAGCTTACCTGGTACATTCCCAGTTCTAGTACAGTCAGCTGCACAACTAGAGAAATCCCTTAGGCTGGACCAACCCAGACAGCTGGTCACCCTTTCAATTAGTTTTCATGGGCCTTAAATCTCAAGTTGCTTTAATTACAACAAATAAACTACAATCCCCAGAATCAAGGAGGGCAGGCAAGTGGCAGAGAGGTTTCAGATCCCCAAGTCCACCAGTAAGCAGTGCAAGGCAGGCAGAGGAACTACAGTGCCTTTAGGAAACGACGGGAAGCTGGGGGACTGCGGGGGACCGGAGCACATAAGGCCCGGCTAATGGTACTCAGATTTCAATGATTTTAAAGCCTGTACTGGCCTACCCATGTCTGCTGCCATAGGAGGCCAGCTGGGTGCCCAGTGTCCAGCTGTGGTAAAGGCCTTCCTTCCTGTCAATTCTGTGTGGACTTGGTCTGACTTCTGTCTGCTGGAACTCCAGATGCCAGGGTGAGACATGGTCTTAGTTTTACTAATGTTTGTGTTCATATTTCCAGGGAGCAGACTATTAGCATTTGATAGATGATTATCAACAGTTGAGTTAGTGACTTTGGAGAATGGGGTGGCAGGAAAGGAAGAAGTGTGAAGGTCTAGTCTGAATCTACTTAGGAGCTAGAAGAGGGATTCATGAAGAAGAGTGAAGTTTCTCTGGCCTCTGAGTCAGCAAGAAAGAACCAGAGTCTATGGCTATAAAAGAGCGGATCGCCTTTCGGATCTGCCATGACAGAAATAGTCTGGTACAGAGGGAGGCCAGATGCTATGAGGAAGCCTTGGCTAGAGATGTGGGCAGGCAATTAACAAGTCTCAAATTCTCTTCCAAACTCCGTAATACCAAAAAGGAATCAGAACCTTGGTTGCCTTTCAGTAGAGTTTATATCTTGAGAATTGTACCCCTGGCAGTAAAATCAGCCTTCAGGTTCTCAGCGGGCACCTGTGAGGGTGCCGCTGGGGAAGGACAACTCGGAGGGAGATGACAGTTGGGAGGAAAGGCACTGGAAGAAAATGCAGTTGGAAGAGCAATTTCCTGATGCCTCCATGATGGCAAAGCTGACCAGGGGTCTTAATGTGCGACTGCCAGGACCACGTCTTATCTCACTGAACCCGGGTCACCACGTCAATTTCAACTCTTGACTCTCTTGCAGTGGAGGAATAACACAGAAGGGAACTAGTAGGGACCGCCACAAAAATGATGTGGGTAGCCTTCAACCTTCAAGAGAGCAAAGCTAAAATGCATATTCTGTCCCCTGTGGGGAACTACAATAGCGGGTAGCAGTACCTTTGAGGTTTCTGGGGAGATCGATGCAGATTCGGGGGAAGATTCCCTCTCCACTCAGCGTGATACTCTCCGGGTCCAGGTGGGCGATCTGTACCTGAAAACTTCTTTGGAAGATCTCAGGAACTCCAGGTAAGTAGTAAACCTTCAACTCCTGCTCTTTAAGTGAACTGATAAAACCCTGTGCAGCAGAAAGACCAGAGTGAAGATTCAAATTGGTACAATGGAACTCCTGCTTCTGGCAGTTTGATGGACTAGATAACCCCAAGGGCCTACAGTGCTCTGTATTCTCCATTCAACATTCCCTCCCCAGGATTTATTTTGATGAGGAAATTATTTTCATGATGAGAAAATCTCAACAAAAGTACTTTAAAGCTGGTAGATTAACGTACAATGTACAAGAAAGTACTTCCTTCATTTGCTTTGAAAACCAATTTGGCCCATTGCAGTCTACTGTTGTTTTCATACCTACTAGGGAAAAATTGCTCTTGTTGTAGTCAATGGACAGGAGGCCCTCAGCTTCAAAGAATCACGAGGGAAGTGTGAGGACATAAGTAGGAAACTATCTTGCCCGAGCTGACAAGTGGATTAAGTGTCAGCCTGCAGACTGAAGGGTCTTCCTTGGGTTTGAATCTGATAAAGGGCATCTACCTCCATTGTGGGCTCCATCCCTGGCCCTGGATGAGGTGTGTGTGCAGAAGACAACCAATTGATGTCTCTCTCCCACAATGATGTTTCTCCCCCCCCACCTCTCTCCCTCCCTCCCTTCCTCGCTTTCTAAAAAATCAATGGAAAAATATTCTTGGGTGAGGATTAACAACAACAACAAAAAGAATAAAAAGGAAAAAAAATCTATCTTAAAAATATGAAAAAACATCTATGGGGTTGTATTGTCTTTTTCCTTATTGGACCCCTGGTGCTTGAACGGTGCCTGGCGAATGCAGGACTCAGTAAATATTTGTTTAGTGAGTGAGTGAAGTGCTTGGATTGATTTATTTTTCTTGCTTCTGAGAGCTCTTTGATTTTAAAAATATCATTTCCATAATCCTGGCCGTGAATGTTTAGTGTAATGTGACCTGGCTCCGGGTTGACTTGAAGGTTTGAATTGGGGCTCCTCTGACCATCATCACATGGCTACTTACTGAAAGAGGCAGGATGAGTGGCACTCCGGGCATGAGGTTGTCCGGCGAAGAATGGTAATTGGTCAGCACCTTGAACTCGAAGCCGACTTTCCCAGTGTTCTTCAGTGTGACTTTATTCTCTGTGACCCGGTCGAATAGCTTGAGGAGAAGGAGGAAAACAGTGACCCCCCCGGGTCATCACCCTTGGGGATGCTGCTGTCATCCTAACAAAGGTGGCTGGACAAACATGCCTCAGAGACAACGGATTTTATTTCTCAGGATGCTAGACGCTGCCAGTCTCATTTCAGTATCACAAAAAGGTGCTGACTAGCTCTACCTTAGTTCTCGGAACAACTCATATAGGTCAGTATGACTGTGGGGTGAGCATCTCATCTCCCCAGACTTCAGTTTCTTCACCACAAAGACCTCATTTTATAGGATCTTAAAGTAAGCTTTTCTACACCAAGATTATTTTCTTCTTCTCCTCCTCCTCCTCCTCCTCCTCCTCCTCCTCCTAAAAGATTTTTCTAGAATGAATTTTTCTATTTATATGGTAAGACTGGGAATAATAGGTCAGACATGATTTTGTTTACACAATTCAGCAACTAACCAGCAAGTCCAATAATCACAAACTAAGGCCACTTTAGAGGTCCTTAGGACAAGAGAGGGCAAGGACTAGCTGCTTTAAAAAATACGCTCTGAGCTGAGCCAGGACCAATTGCCAGCAGGACCCTGGAGATAAGGAATGAAAGAGAATTCTGTTTGGTCAGTGCAATAAAAAAGGTCTCAAAAGGTGCTGGGTAGATTTGATTTTAGCCACAATCTTTAACCTATAGATACACACACACACACACACACACACACACACACACACATATGATTCAGTAATTATAACTGCAGTAGCTACATTATGGGGATCCAATTCCCATTAAAGTTTGGTAGGAAATATGGTCTCTGAGTACATAACACAAAATCTAATTGGGAAGAGAAGATGTAAAGACATTGAATTAACTAGCAATTATTCCAAAGCAAAAATTAGAAGATATAAGATATTATGGCAAAGACTATACGTTAGTGCCCAGAGAATATCAAGTAAGAGAAAGACAAATGAGGAATGGAGCTGAGCTGGGCCTCACAGTATGCGTAAGTCTGGGCTGCAGGGTGGAGGATGAGTGGGGTAATTTAAGAGTAAATGTGCAGGTCTGAGGGGCTGGGATGCATTAGGGCCAGTGGGTAAAACAGCTTGGCCCCAAATGAATAAAGAGCTGTAATGAGGAGGGATGAAGAACCAAGTTTAACCTGTTAACCGAGTGGGACTTATAAATATGTCAAATGTAAACAATATCTGGAACAAGGAGGACATATGAATATGTCCTTGAAATATATGTTGCGCTCTGAAACGGACAGTATATATTTTTTGTAATCTTTATAATTGTTTTAATTCGATGTTTCCATTTTTTTGTTGGTATTCTTTTCTATTTGTTTGTAATTTTGTATTTTCCTTTGTGCTTTATATATAAATAAACAAAAATATATATATTTCATTTATTTTAATTAAGTATAAATAAAAATAATAATATGAAATTACGTCCACTGGGCGTGACGTACTGACACATCCTAGTGAAAGAGTATGCACCCGTTATACTTTGCGTATAATTAAAAAGGGAACTCCCCAGTTAACAGGTTAATGTAAGGAGCAGCAGTTAATGGGGGGACTTGAGATGCGCTTATCCAATGTAGGGGTGTTGAACTCAATCAGAGAAGGGGCCAAAATCTAAAATCCAGCCTAAATCGCGGGCCGAATGGTTTACTGAACAGTCATAAACTGTCATTTTGATGGAAACGCAGCGGAGTGCAGTGATGACAGCGCGGTGCGGGCCACATTGCAAGGCCTGGTGGGATGGATTTGGCCCGCGGGCCTTGTGTTTGACACATGTGCAATAGAGGAACCTGCAATAGCTATGTTATGAGCGGCAGAGGAAGGTACTCATGACTGAAGACCTTCTCTGGCCCAGCACAGTATTGGACCGGTCCCTTAAGTAACCACAGCCACTTGGTGAGACAGGCATTGCTACCCCATCCCAATTGTAGGAAGTAAAACCAGAATAATATCCCAGTTCTCCTGACTACAAAACCATACTACTAATATTTCCTCAATACTACAAGGCCTTCCCAAATGCCGCTGGATGAACTGTTCAAGGATTGATGGGATAAAAACGAAATTTGGGGACAATCTGTCTGGCAATAGATGTTTAAATGGGTTAACAGTTGTAGCTAAGCATGGGTTGTAATCCCTCACTTCCTTGGGATCCATGGACCAGAGGTACAGTCATCACATAGGAGCTTGTTAGAAATGCAGATCCTCAGGTTCCGCCCTGGATCTACTGGACCAGAATCTGTACCTGAACAAGATTCCCAGGTGACTTGTACACACATTACAGTTTGAGAAAAACTGCTGTAACAATTTAGGCGTGGCTTGATGGGACTCTGCAGTGTGATAACCACAGTGGCGGTGGGGAAGGAACATCGATTCAGAGGGGTCCCGCTGGATGAATCAGCAACCCATGGGTGCTGGAAGGCTGCGGGGAGGTGAAGGAGAGAGTGCAGTGGGAATGCCGTGGAGACCGTAAACTCCAGGGACTGAGGTGGTAGTGTGTCACTGAGAGAAACAGAGAGGTTGGGATGAGTTTGTGGATTGAGAGGGAAGATGCTCATTTTAGCATCTAGCATGCTGAATTTCAGGAGACGGTGAGAAAAGCAAGCGAAGACACTTGGCAGTGGGAAGATGCCCAGGGTTAGCGGGGGTGGGGGACAGATGAGAGGTCAAGGATAGCGGTGATGGTGAGACTATGGTGACTGGGGGTTCCAGAGAGCTTAGAGCACAAGGATGATGACTGATGTTTAAGGCAAAAGCAGAAAACCTCCTGATGGTGGCCATACCTGTAACCCATAGTTGATGTCCTTGGTGTCAAAGGAATAGCTGACCACGGAGGCCTCTCCCCGTAGTGTTATCTCATAGTTGGGCCCTCCTTCCACTTTGCACAGAGCTTTCGCCTGGGCGACCATGTCACAGTGTCCGTAGAAGGTGAAAGCTATCTGGTAGCTACGGTACGGCTCCAGCTCTCCATAGAGGGGCAAGACGTCAAACACCTGCAGAGAAAGTCATTCTAGATGAGAGCATCTATCAAGATGGGGAGCTGGCAAAAGGTAAGTTTAAGTCCAGGTGATTTACAGATCATTTCCTCACTAACTTGTTTGACTCCATGCCAGGTGACTAGCCCAGCACCTTGAAAATACAGGATGATCATGGCAGTAATAGTGCTCTGGCAAGACTTAAATGTCTAATGTGGGGCAGTAATAAGAATTAGTGTGAGGTGGCTTTGGTGCCCAGGAGATGTTACTTCTTCTATCCCAAGGGAAAGTCTCTTTCTGTTCGGAGAGCCATAGGGATTCCTGAAACTCCACCTGGCTCTGGTTTGGCTCTATTCTTTCTGTTTCAGCAGAGTTCCCTTTTAATCCCTCAAAATTAGAGGTGTGAGGGAAAGTTAGCAAGCAGTTACAATGGGGTCATCAATGTGCTTCTCCCATCACAAAGAAAAATGAAGCATGTTGTGTATATTTCAAGAATACAGGCATAGCTCATTTTAGCGCACCTTACGTTTTATTGTGTTTTGCAGATATTGCTTGCTTTTTTTTTTTTTTTTTTTTTTTTTTTTTTTTTTTTTTACAAATTGAAGGTAAGACCCTCCACTAGCAAAAAGATTATGACTCCCTGAAGGCTCAGAGAGGTTAACAATTGTTAGCAATAAAGTAATTTTTAATTAAGGTATGTATATTGTTTCTTTTAATACATATGCTATTGCACACTAAAGAGACTACACTATAGTGTAAACATAACTTTTACTAGCTGCCCAGTGCACGAATTCATGCACAAGTCGGGTTCGGCCAGCCTGCCCTGATTGGGGCCGATTGCGTTGGGGCCAGCCAGGGCAAGGGGACACAGGAGGATGGCTGGATGCAATGTGTGTCATAGCTATGGGTCATTCCAGTGGCCTCAGTCACTTGACTGTTATATAATAGATTTACTTTATTGTGGTGGTCTGGAAAGAACTGACATATCTCTGAAGTACGCCTATAATACATTTTTTTCCCTATGGAGATAATTGGACAATTTTTTTCCTATGGAGATAATTGGACAAAATGTATGTACAGGGATGTTTACTGCAGCATTATTTAAAGTAGCAAGACTTTAGAAGCCAATTAAATGCCTATCAATAAGGGATCACTTTAAATGAAGTGTATGTGGTACTCATGAAGGATGATGCAATGTGTATTTATGGACTAGAAATAATGCACACAACAGATTATTGAGTGAAAAAGCAGTTTCATTTATGTAAAATGAGATATGCCATTGTATCACCCTGGAAGATGTGAGCATGTGCACATTCATTCAGAGATTTGCATATGCAAATAGATATATCTGGGAGGCTGTTTGCTAAAATTTCAGTAATATTTTTTTTCTATAAATGGTGAGATTTTGAGGATTTTTGCTTTCAATTTTCTGTTTTCTTGAGTTTTCTCTGACAAACATCTTTAGCTATAGGAAAAAAATTAACTTTTCAAAGACAAGTGTTTTATATACAAACACATACTCATTCTAAAAAAATGTGAAAAATACAGAAATATTAAAATAGGGAAATACAAATCAACCATGAGATTATACTGTAGATATATGAATATATGTGTGTATATTTGTATATATATTTATATTCTGAGTTTTCAGTTGATATTCTGAGTGGTGCTTTCCCACGTAACTAAATATTCTTTACAAAGTATCATTTAAAATAATTTTAAAAAATTTGCCCTAACTGGTTTTGCTCAGAGGCTAGAGCTTCAACCTATGGACTGAAACCTCCCAGGTTCCATTTTGGTCAAGCGCATGTACATACGTACATACATAGTACATACCTATGTACATACTTCAGCTGCAGGTTCGACCCCTAGCCCTGGTTGGAGCACATATGGGAGGTAACCAAGTGATGTATCTCTCTTACAATGATGTTTCTCTCTCTCCCTCCCCTTCCTCTATTTCTAAATATCGATGGGAAAATACCCTTGGGTGAGGAATAACAACAACAAAAATGGGACATGTAGTATTTTTTACTTAATATATCAAAGATTGATCCAAGTCAATATATAAACAACTTCCTCATTTTCTGCAAAAGAATTTCATAGTATAATTCTTCTGCAGATGCAATTTAGTGTATTTAACTGGTCTCGTATTATGGAGCCATTGCAATTTTTCTTGCTTTTACCAACAGCGCTGCAATGAATGAGAACAATGACCTGTCTTGATGTAAGTATAAAGGTGTATCTGGAGAATAATATCCCCGCAGAGGAAGCGGAAGCGTGCATTTTAAATTCTGACATTCTCACCAAATCGTATGTCGAGAGGCTAAGCCAATGCATCATCCTACTGAAGGAGGGTGACAATGCTTGCTTACCCCGCTCTGCAGCTGCAGTCGGCTATCCTCACGGACATACGCTACTTTATTTTTCCAATTTTTTTGCTATTTCTAAAGTGTTGTAACAAATATCTTTGTATGCAAATCTATGCATCTCCAATGATTTGCCTAAGTCATTATTCTAGGAGAGCTTAAGGGTATGAATATGCAAAATTGATTCCCTTGATTCCCTCTTTGTTTTTACTGGGAAATCACGGAGGAAAATATTTCTCCTCTTAGAGCCTCATCGAGGGGCTGCAAAGAGCTCGAGGTCACTCAGGTTTAGAGGAAACTGGCTTTTCCATCCTAGAGACCATTTGCTGCTGAGGTGTCTGCGCTCTCACTGAGTGTCAGGCTCTGGGTGTTTGGTTGGGACATGACCTGGATTGAGTTTCGCAGCCTTATCACAGCCAACTCCCCCCCCCCCCCCCCCCCCCCCCCCCCCCCCCCCGCCGGCCCCTCTGCCCCAGGATCTGCTTCTGCCTCTGTTTTACAGAAAGAACCCTGGACTTGCAACCCGCCCCAGGCAAAGGAAACCGTACGTCTGAGTTGACCAGCTTGGACGCTTCTGTTCTTCTGTATTCTTTTTCTTTAAGCCAAGTGTCTTCATCTACAAGGGTGCTCCTGGGAGTGAACGAAATGTAGAGAATCACTGCTTTGACAGCCATCAGAACACGACAACCCCGTCTTCCTCCCACTGCCCCTTGCCCCAAAAACGAGGGCTCTCACTCAAGGATGTTTTTCTCAAGAGGTCAGCAGAGCAGCACTCTGCTACTCCCCGCCCCAGGCAAGCAGTGCAGGGCATCAGACTGATCGATTTCCTGCAGGCCCAAGCCCTCTTTCGTGGCCTGTCACGTCTGCGTTCGACCTATGAAAAGCTCTGGGAGGGTCTGGAGGCTCTGGCGATCCCCCAGGTTACCTGGATGTGTTACCCCATGCTCAATGTTAAATTGCATCATTTATTGGAGCATTTCATTGTGAGGGTGTAATGCTTGACGAGTTGTCATATCCTCTTCTGCTTGCCGACCTTGACCTGACCCTGGTGGTGGGCCTTGGGCAGATGGAGAGGGCACCCTGGTAGGAAGGGCTCAGTCCCCCAGGACTCAGGAGACTATGTGTGGCCCACTGAGAGCAGAGGTGACTTCTAGTCTAGGGCCTGACATACAGAAGGCGCTCATTAAACTGTGAACCCGTGAGTGGTTGGATGAATAAACGAGGGATGAGTTTGAGAATGCAAGTAAGTGCAGAGAGAAGAATGCTATTAAAATGATTCCATTCTGGCTTTGCACTTACTTAACAAAATCACTTAGATCAATCTCAGGGGATTTGATTGCGGAGACTGCTGGCGAGCTGGTGGAGGCCGAGGTCCCAGGATGGACTCCATCTGGGGCAGGCGGGCACGGTCGGGCTTCCCCAGCCTCATCACAAACCTACAAGCTCATGGGCAAGTGACAGTCACACCAGCTGGTACAAGTCGGCGCGTGGGTGGGCTCTTGATTCCAAAATCCTAGACCTGGCAGGCCTAGAAGGGACTGCCCTACACCCTCCCTTGCTCAAATCTTAGCTGACGTTCACTTTCTCCTAAAAGTTTGCTGACCACCCTTCCCGGTCTGGATGGCGTCTCTCTTCTCTGAGTACCCACAAGCCCCTGAGCTTCCCCTCCGCACTTAAGTCTCCTGTCCCTGCTGGACCGTGAGCTCAGTGTATCTGCTTCATCCTAGTACGGTGCCTGGAACGCAGCAGCACTCAGGCATGGCTGTGAATGAATGGGTACCAGGATCCTGCTCCCAGAGACCCAGAAAGCAGGGCAGGCCTCAGGCGAGGAAGGTGGGGCACTCAGCCTCTGGCCCTGTGGGTGCGGCTCAGCCTTCGCAGGGCCCTGCCTCCACAGGTTTGCTCTTGGGCCCCCTACTGCTCCACCCAGGTCCTGGCCCAGCCAGTTGGCTCTAGTGCCACTCAAGTTCCTCCGAGCAGAGGATGGAGGGGGAAATCAGTGACTGTCCAGGTCTCACTGACCGGAAAGGCCTTTGGATGTCACAAAGGCCGGAGTGGCAGGGCCACCCCCATTCTTCCTGTTCCCCTCAGGCTGCACGTGGCTTTTAGGGACTCCTCCCCTCCCAGGTCTCAGGCCGTTATATTAATATCAACCCAATGTCACTTGCATATTCATTCTGGCCCCGCATGCACTTTACTCTGTCTCAGAGGCCCAGCGGAAATGTCACTCGTTACACCAAGCACCCAACACTGTCCCATCCTGCCATGGGCGTTTTCCTCCCTTTTAAGTTTCAGATCATCTCATCTGCACTCTTTTAGGATACTGTCCACCCTCTAGCATGCACCCTTTCCTTTGCCAACTTAGTAACTTCTGCCATATCGAGATCACTTGTTAAATCAATTTTCGCCGAGGTATAATTTACATACACAGTGCACTCATGGTAAGCATACAGTTTGATGTGTTTTTACAAATACACACACACACCTGCAAAACCACGATCATATTAACACACTGAACATTTTCATCCTCCCCCAAAGTTTCTCTGTGCCCCTACCCGGTCCGTTGGTTCCGCACACTCACCTGCTCCTGAGCACTGTGGACTAGACATGCCGACAGCTGCACATACATGGGTTTATTAATATGCACTCTTCTGTATCTGACTTCTTTCAAAACAGTGGGATGCTTTTATTTTTAAAATATTTTTTATTGACTTCAGAGAGGAAGGGTGAGGGAGATAGAAATATCAATGATGAGAGAGAGTCATTGATGAAATATCAATGATGAGAGAGAATCATTGATTGGCTGCCTCCTGTACACTCCACAGTGGGGACTGAGCCCGCAACCCAGCATGTGCCCCAACCAGGAATCGAACCGTGACCTCCTGGTTCATAGGTTGATGCTCAACCACTGAGCCACATAGGCTGGGCAGAACAGTGGGATGCTTTTATATTCACTGATGTTATTGCCAGAGCAGCAGTCTGTTCTTTTAATCACCGAGCAATAATAGCTGGTTAGTGTGTTTATCCATTTTCTTATTGACAGACACTTCGGCTGTTTCCAGCTTTAAATATATAGTATATATTTATTGATTTCACAGAGGAAGGGAGAGGGAGATAGAAACATCAATGATGAGAATCATCGATGGGCTGCCTCCTGCATGCCCCCTACTGGGGATTAAGCCCAAAACCCAGGCATGTGCCCTGACCAGGAAATGAACCCTGACCTCCTGGTTCATAGGTCGACACTCAACCACTGAGCCATAGGAGCTGGACTCCAGCTTTTAATACTATGAATAAAGGTGCTTAAAAGCATATGGGAATATCTGTATAGGAAAGACACACAGGTGACAATGGTGCCTGGAAAACTGGGAAGTGAGAGGTCTCTTTGGAAACGAGCAAAGGAGAGCAGTCAGGCAGCCCTGCTGCTGACAGCCGAGCCACAGGCGATGGCAGAACCTTTATCATAACGGAGGCTTCCGCGCACCATCAGAGCCGAAAACCTGCTCCACGAAGCTGAAATAGAACGCTGGTGGAGTCTTTTTGAACCAGATTTCATTTTATCCTCAGGAACAGATGATTACGTTCCTGTTATGCTGACCCAAACAGGATTAGATTCAGTTATTTTTAAAAGACAGTGCACAGCAAACTAGCAAAAAAAAAAATAAAATAAAAATAAAAATCAATATTGGTCCAATTCCAGAGCTACCCACTTCAGATGCATCAGAGGAGCGAGGGAAGAGGCCACCCCCTGCCATGCCCTTTAGCTGTGACGGAACCATGTGACTGTCAGACACACTGTCAATCAGATATGCTGGTTTGGGCTCAGCAGTTTTCCTCTTCCTATTTTATTTTCAATTTTTGGTAACCTTGGGTCAATACATTCTTTTGTGCTGAAAATTAAAAAAATGCCTGCAGCTCTTATTGTCTGTTCTCACATCACTGGAGGCAGTGGCCCATGAATAAAACCCCAAAGGACATGCATGTGTTTCAGTTAATATTTTTGTGCTGTCATCCAGACAATAGTTGGAGGTAGAATGGTGTATGATGGCTTTCCACTAAAGTCTGTGCCATGCAAATAAGGTCTTCCCCCATTCCTCCCCCCCCCCCCCCCCCTCCAAAAAAAAGAGAGAGAGGCAGGGACAGTCTTGCAGTGGACACAATGACTTTTAATTCATTCATTCATTGGACCTGGATTCTGGGCGTGTCTAGAGGGTAAAGCCAGCCATGCTGGCTGAAAGGTGTGATATGCGTGGCTCATGCGCCATTTAATTTTTTGCAGTCACCACTGTAGCAGATGCCATGGGCACACTGCCTGCGACCCCTTTTACCAGAATGGTGTGCCATCCCCTGGGTGCTGTGGGTGTTGGCTGCACCTTTCTCTGGAGCATTGCCCTGGCTCTGGGGAGCTGCTCGGGACGTTATGTCCTCCCACCCATTCAGGTGTGAGCTGCAGGCAAGGGTGTCTGATGAGGGTGAGGACCCAGCCTCCTTGTCTCTGCGTGGGATAATTTCTGATGCAATTCACACTCCAGAGCTCCCCCGGGTCAGCAGAGGCAAGACATCTGAAATCACACCTCCCCATAATGTTCTCCTGCACTCTATATTGTCTCTTTTACTCTCTTATAATTCCTCCTGAGAGCCCTCCCTCAATAAATCACCTGCCAGAAATCACCATCCTAGGCTCGGGCTCTGCTTCTAGGGAACCACTGTAGTATTGTATTGTATTGTATTGTATTGTATTGTATTGTATTGTATTGTATTGTATTGTGTTGTGTTGTGTTGTGTTGTGTTGTGTTGTATTATTCCAGAGGTGAAAAAGCCAACGCTTGCTTCTCGGGACTCAGAGCCACGGGGTCAGAGTCAGGGGTACAGGAGCGGGGGCAGCCCAGGGTCCCGGGGCCCGGCGGCACGGTGTGCAGAGTGCACCACGGTTCAGAGCAAGGCTCTGAGGACACGAGCCTCGGGGCTGGATTCTGGCTTCCGCATTTACACACCACGTGCCTGGGTATTGTGTTAGCGATGGAACCCTCCTCCTCTGATTGCTGTGGGGTTTAGCTCGTGTCACCCACTCGGCAGGGTGCCGGGGTCATGCTGAACATCCAATGCACACGAGCTGTCCCTGTGCTGGGATGGGTGGGAACTGCCATCAGTTTTGAAATTCAAATGAGAGGAGAGTCTGTTCGGCTTCAGAGGAGGGCGGGACGCACCTCCCCTGGCTGCCGGGGGAAGTCCTCATGAGGAGGAGCTATCTCACTGCCCGGGAGGGAGCGTGGTGCCGCCTGGCGGGGAGTGGACAGGATGCGGGGTCTGAGGCGAAGCTCTCTGTAAAGGGAGAAGGGTTGGGAGAACCTGGTCCTCTTGGAACAAGTGAGTAACTCAAGTTACTCAGACCTTTAAAAGCTGGTTTTTTTAAAGATTCTCAAAAGGAGATGGAACTGGAGCTTCTAGAACAGCGATCCTCACTACAGCTGCCCATGGCATCACCTGCAGAACTTTAAGAACAACCGATACCTGACCGCCCATGGAGGTGTTCTGAGTTACTTGGAGTCAGGAAAAGGTCCCAGCATGATTCTAGTGTGCAGCCAAGGCTGCGGATCACTGACATATAGGACGGAGGCAAGAAGGTCACAGGAATGGCGATAAAAGTGAGAGCTCTGCTTGGACTGAATGTTTGTGTCCCCCCAGACTTCAGATGTTGAGGTCAGACCCCAAAAGTGATGGTATTTGGAGGTGGGCCTTGTGGGAGGTGATTAGGTCCTTATGGCAGAGCCCCCCTGATTGGGATTAGTGCCCTTACAAAGGAGTCCACAGGAAGCTAGCCTGTCTCTCTGCCAAGTAATCCACAGGAAAAAGGTGCCAGCAGTGAACCAGGAAGTGTGGGTCCTCACCAGACGCCGGATCTGTCTGCGCCCTGATCCTGGACTTCCCAGCCTTCAGAATTGTAAGAAATAAATGTTTGCTCATAAGCCCCGCAGGAGCTGGACTTTTTTGTTATAGCAGCCTGCACGGACTACGACAGGCCCTAATTAAGTAACTGTAGTCAGCAGTTACTGTCACTCTCTACCAGGCAGTATATTAAGTGAGGACTGCCTAGTAATTAAATCTTCACAAGGTGCTAGGATGGTCCTCAGGCTTCAGCTGACAGAACTGAGGCTCACAGAGCAGGTGGCTGAGCTAAGTTGGCCTCGCTCCGACGCTCATGCTCTTAACACCTTTACTCAGTCCACCGGACCCACCGGGGAGGGCTTCTCCTCCATGTCACCGTGCCCACGGCAGTGAGCCACAGAGTAGGCAGGCCTTTTGTTTTAAAAGCAATTGAAATCCATGACATAACGAAGACAGAGCGAACTTCCTAGAACGTACTCTGGTATCTACCGTATTTTTCAGACCATAAGACGCACTTTTTTTCCCCCAGAAGTGGGGGGAAAAAGTCCCT